GGGGGGGGGGTGGGGGCAACAAACAGAGAGTGTTCGGAGAGGTGGAGTGGAGGAGGTCGGCGGGGTGTGTAGGGGGGGTAGGGGGTTGGGGGCGGGGGGTGGGGCGGGGGGGTGGGGGGGACGGAGAGGTGGAGTGGAAGAGGTTGCGGTCAGGGCAGGGATGGGGGGAGGTCGAGTGTTCGGAGAGGTGGAGTGGAGGAGGTTGCGGTCAGGGCAGGGATGGGGGGAGGTCGGGGGGGGGGGGGGGAACAAACAGAGGGTCTTCACTGACGCCGCCCCCGCTGTTGCTGGGGTCGGCGGATTATTTATAATATGATTATTGATACTATGAATATTGATGATATTTTGCCGTGTTGGTCTCCAGAGGCTGCTCTGTTGCACCCGCAGGCTACATCATCGAGAATGGCAGCGCAGCGCGGAACAGCTTCGATGTGCAAGCACGCTGCGACGACGCTAATGGGCAACCCGCTTGCAAGCAAGGATCTTGCAGCCTGAGCCATATCGCCCCATGCTCCACAGCCAGCCAGATTCTGGACTGCACAGGACCTGTTGTGAATTTTGCTTAGATTTCCAGAGGTCGTTCTCGATTGGTGGGTCAGGTACGGAGGGATCGCCGTCGTGACTCCTTGCTCCATGACCTCCAAGAGATTTGCCCTCAGCGGCTGCCTGCTCAAGGAGCAGCGCCCTGGCCGAACGAGTTGTGGACCATGGTGGGCCCTCTTTTGCCTGGATGGTGCGTCGCTCTAAGGTGTTCCGCGAAGCGCTGCTTGGTGAAATGAGAGTTGTGGGCCTGTGGGCCCCTGCCGCGTGGCCCAAAAAGGAGTCGGCGCGCGCACGACTGCTGTGATTTCTGCCCCTCGGCGCTAGAGCCAATGGTGAAATTTCACTTGCAGCAGGAAGCTAAGCTCACCACGGAACATTTGTGAAAGCTGAGATTGAGAGGGATCGGAGGGCATGAAAGGTCCGTTCCCAGAACTCGACTCGGAGCTGCCAGCTTTGTAAGGCTGGGCATGCAAGTCTCCTTAATCTGTGAGCCTGCGGTAGAAGGAGGTCTCTATTTGGGCTTGTCGAAACAGAGTGTCCGTTTGCGCCGCAAATCGGCGGCGCCAGGGGCAACCTTTCCATCAAGAAGGGCTGCTAACTCGAACATGCGATTACTCCGGGACGTACAGGCTGCTGTGTGCAACATTCTGTGAAGGATGGTGACCGTGTGAGGAACCGGGATATGTGGTAGCAATATCAACCCTAAGAGCACTGACGCACCTCTTGCACCATGCCTCGGACTTTACGGTGCGGTGCCACCTGGAACCATCATGCCTTGGATAACTTGCGGTATGCTGCTGCAGCATGAAGAGAGTGAGCTTCCACAACGTTGCTGCATCCGTCTGCATCCGTCTGCTTGGTTTGGCTTTGAGATGCTTTGAGTTGAATGACTCTGGCAAAATGGGACGGGAGCTAGGGGGGTGAGATGCGTCTGAGGCCGTTACTCGCCGTTCAGTCCTGCTCCCCATTGCCAGGGCCCAATTCCGTACACGAACTGTTCTCTGGACTTCTCTGGAAAGTATGGTTACAGTATGGTTGGTATTGGGCTCACACTTGAACACACCACTTTGCGCTCTCCGGCATGCAGCTGGTCTGATTGTTCGATGGCTTCCAGAAGTCTTGTTGACCCATACTCTGTATGCCTTTAGCAATAATTTGATGACTGTGTCCTCGAGCGATAAAGCTTCATAGGGTTACTGGACAGTCGGCGTTCTAGCGCGTCAAGAGCATGCCCAAAGAAACTCGACTTCTCCAAGACCTGTTCCGACCATTATGCAAAGCGCTTGTGAGGTGCTGGCAGTTGTGGCACTGAGGGTCAGCTTGGCTTTCCTCCCAGCCCGGGCGCCCGGAAAGTAGAAAGGAATAATGGCTCACAGGACAGTACTCGGGGCTCTTCTTGGGGTGTTGCAGCTGCTAAGTAGGACTTGCTGCGCTACTTGTGCATGCTACTTTTCAAGGCCTTTTGAGGTACCTTTTGCACGCACGCGCGTGCCCATTCTCAAAGCCTGCCGTTCCAGTGCCATGGGCCTTGGCAAGCAGCATGCAAGTTCCGTGTGCAGACGCTGTGCAAACACCCTGCGCACCATTCTTGGCGCTGCAGTCCCCGGCCGCCGCGCCTCGGATCCAGCCACAGCTCCGTGCGGCCGAGGCGTGGGTGATGGGTCGATGCAAAGAATATCTGTCGCCGCATTCCCTAGGTACGTAAGCTCCGCTCTCCCTTGGTGTCCGTCTTCCCAAGTGCCTTTGTGAGTTGTGTTTATGGGGCCGTAGTGCCGTAGGGACGTGGTGTGCAAAGAAGCGTATGGAGATATGGAGGCGGCCGCCATCTCGACTGGCCTGACCCTGGCCGGATCCATGCCTGCCCTGGCCACCTGGAGCGAGGGCTCCGAGCCCGGGCAGAACATCGACCCAGCGGGGTGGCCCAGTGCCACACTTTGATACACTTTGCCGCTTCGCCGTGCAGCCCCAGCTCGGTGCATCCTGGGCTTGCAGGACTCCACGGAGGCCTACAACCGCAAGGCACGATCCGAGCTCAGCTCATTGCCTGTACCATTCTCGCTTGTCACGTTCCGAGATCCTCAACGCCACCGCCATTTGCTTGACATTCTCCGTCTTCTTGGTGGGTCTCGTTGTCAGCCAGGCCGGCTGCCAGAAAGCCGCCTAAGCCAACTCTCAAACCTTAGAATCATCTCCGGGTCAACTCGAATCGAAGCCATTTGAATGCCCCGAATGCCTCTTGAGTACGATTCCGATATTGCAGCTTTTAAAATCATCTGCCCCAGGCTCGCAAGCTCGTCGAGAACAGGTGGCTGAACTGAGCGCCTTATCTGAGCGTGAAGGGGGAGCCAGGTTGTGGAAGGCTGTGGCATTTCGTGGCTCTCGGCCGTCTCTGCTACAGGATGCCTTTGACGATGCTTAGTTCGTAGTGGTTCGTCTCGCAGATCCGAAGCCCACCCGAGAGGGGCCCGAATCTGTTGCAACGTTGGGTCGTGCTAACTCCTCGGCCCCACTGGCAGAACCTTCCTCGATGTGAGGTGGGCTGTGGGAGGCAGCGGTTTTTGAACCTTGGCGGCAGATCGCACCTCCTTGTGTTCAAGCACAAGTTCAGTACAGTGGTGGGAGCAGCACTCGCAGCGGAACAAGGCAAAGGCACCAGTTTACATCAGAGCACCTTAGGAGCACATAGGATGCCATGTTTGCCTGAATTTCACGTCTCCTGGCTGAATCTTGGCATCCTGCAAGGACAGCGGAGTGCACCGGCTTGTGCCAGGTCTGGACGTAGTCCAAGCTCCCAAGAAAAGAACGACTTGCTGCTCTTGACATCTGTTCTAGCTCTTCTGATGTACAATGATGTGCAGGTTCCGTGCAACATATCGCCACTTGTTCACTTTCTCTTGTTCGCCTGGCAGGCAGTAAGCAGATGGAGAACAGCTCAGTGACTTAACGGGTCCAATCGCGACACAACCCATGCTTGATAGAGCACCGGAAAGGGTCAAACCATGGCTAACATGGCACAGCTTAACTAATGAAACTAATGGTTCAGGGTTCAGCCATCGGTTAGCAACGCCTTCCGCTGGAGTGCCGTGAGCTGCCTTGGGCCTCATGGAGATGCGGAGTGCGCCATCCACGGCGACTCGGTCTGCCGTTTCGGTTTTTCAGTGAAGTGAGGAGTGCTCGTTTTCAGGTCAAGACGACTCAGTTTCCACGTTGAATCTGCAAGCTCCGTGCTGAGGCGCGGATGGGCGCGTCCACCCGCACTCCGAACTCTGCGCCGTGCCTCTCTTTCGTGGAGCCCAGACATGCACGTCAAGGCTCGGAGAGATGGACCCAACAGACCGCGCCTTAACCAAAACCACCCCTGTCTCGAAACCTTCAGCGCAATAGACACACCCCAGGCTTGCTTCCGGGCTTGTCCCCACTAGGGAACTGCAAAGCGCAGCAGGCACGGCCTGGCCGCGGTTAGCGCCTGTCGCTGTAGCCTTTAGCCTGGCTGTGGATGGCCGCCTGCGGTCCAGGCCTTTGCCAGTTGATGCCATATCATGTTGTGAAAGTGCCTTGCGATGTGTCGAGGCTTGCAGGCTTGGATGCCCGTGGATCATTCCTTGAGTGTCATTCTTGCCATCTTCAATCAAGCCATATCAAGCCAAGCAGTCCAAGCAGTCCAAGCAGTCCAAGTAGGCCAAAACGGACGCCTAGGGCCTAGCACATATTTGCCAAATCCGAAAATTTGACAGTAGGTTCAACGTCTCAAGGTGTAAGGGTGACCAGCGGTGAGTTGCTTGTCAGCGAGGAAGCAAGCAGCGCCGAGAGCTTGTTGTAGCCGACGACTTGCGAATTCCATGTTTACGAGAGTCATTTCTTGGGTGTGAAACACCGGACACTCGAATCAATGATTGTGTGTGTGGAAACAGCTTTAGTCGTATAGCGCTAGCAGGCGCTTACGTTGACCTGCCCCACTCAACAGGGTTTAAGTTTGCATGTCTCACTCAACAGGGTCTACATGCCGAGTGTTCCAGTCAACAGGGACTGAATATGCTTAGTGTCCCGACTCAACAGGGTCTAGATTCGTTTGTAACAAGGTCAAAGTTTCATCAAGGTCCCACTCAGCAGGGTCTGAATTTGCTTTGGTTCCCATTCAAAAGTGTTCGAGTTACTAGTGCTACAAAGTTTTGTGCCGTCAGGGCCCGGTGTGCCAGACGGGCCTTGGAGCCCGGCAACTCACCGGAGGACCGGATCCGAAATTTTTCGATCATCGCGCACATCGACCACGGCCCCTCAGCATTGCAACATGTCTGGCGGCTAAACCGGAATTTGCTCTTAGGTTAGTTTGTTGTTTGAAAGTTCGAAAGGCAAGTCTACCTTAGCTGACCGCCTGCTGGAGATCACCGGGACCGTCACCAAGGAAGACATGAAACAGCAGTTGCAGCCTGGCTTTCAAAACTTGGCCAGTCCTGGAGACCCAACTTACCCAAATCAAACCCAGGTTAGACAGCATGGATATTGAGAGGGAAAGGGGTATCACCATCAAGCTGAACACGGCTCGGATGAACGTGGAGGAGGATGGCAAGGCCACTCCCTTGTTCGGGTCGCAGGGCGTTACTTCTGAAGCTTGAAGCGTTCCATGTCCAACGAATGCTTTTGCTGACCAGAGTTATGCTTGGTCTTGCTCTGTTTTTTGTACCCGTTTGCAGATGTTTCTGTTTCCGTCTTGGCAAAGGATTACGTATTGAATCTCATCGATCCTTGGCTCTGCATGTGGATGTTGCCACCATCGGCGAAATAAACCAAGTTTCACAGCCCAATTTGAGTCCACACGGCGGAATGCCGAATATGAATTTTGGAACGTAAGTTGTCCTAACAAGGATACGCCTGGACACGTGGACTTCACCTACGAGGTCAGTCGTTCACTGGCGGCCTGCGAGGGGGCACTGCTCGTGGTGGATGCCACGCAGGGTGTCCAGGTGGGGACCCCGAGGCTTCCTTACGCCAGCAAAGTGCCGTTGCACCCTTTTGTGACCCAAGGCCCAAACCCTTGCCAATGTGACTTTAGCCATGGAGGCGGACTTGGCTACTCGGACACATAGGGTCGCAACAGTTTCGGGACCAAGCAAAGTCGCTAAGCGTGGGTAAATGGCTTCAGCGAGTAACGGCTATGGATCGAAGATGCAGAATCGCCTCGCCCCAGCTCTACATCGTACCCTGCAAACTCTGGGCTTTGAGACCCAGTTGTCGCAGCAAGAGTAAGAAAGTTTTCAGGGTTCAGCAGAGCCTCAGGAGATCGTACCTGTCCTGAACAAGTGCGACTTGCCAAGTGCCGATCCCGCGCCTTGGGCCGTTTTGTCCGTTGGTGTCAGATGACGGCTCTCTGAGATGTTTTTGAGAATTTCACCCTCGAAAGTCCTTGGGCCCTATCACCTGTCCTCTCCAGGATCGGGTCTGCCAAGAGATCGAGGACGTGGCCGGTGCCTCAGGAAAAACGGGGCACAATTCTGCAATGAGGCGTCCAACTCGAGAGCCAGAATCTTACGCTTGTCGTGGTCTTTCCGGCTGAGGTAGGAATCGACTGCAGCAATGCTCTGCAGTGCTCTGCAAAGACTGGGGAGGGGGTTCCTGCGATCATCAAAAGCTACTCGGCACAAGGCTTGTTGAAATTGTTTGCGGCCTTTGGGCTGGATGTGTGAGGCATCATCGACGCCGTGCCAGCACCGACGAAGTCTGAAGATCAGAAGATGCGTCCGACCCCTCAGCACATCGCAGCACATCGCAGCACATCGCAGCACATCGCAGCACATCGCAGCACATCGCAGCCATGTATCGTCCTCGGCACGCTGCATCAAGCTGCCTTGACGGGCTTACCGGGTTTCCAGGACTCCTTGTTTTCGACAGCTTCTATGACAACTACCGGGGCGTCATCGCAATGTTCCGCGTGGTGGATGGGAGCATTTCCAAAGGACTCTCCATTTGCATCTGTCTTCGGTGTGTGTTTTCTGAGCCCGCCACAGCGCCCGTCGCATGTCTCTCTTCGTCCAATTCTAAGGACAGAAGATCCGGTTCAAGAATTCCGGAAAGGAGTTCCTTGTAGAGGACTGGCTCCGCATGTGCGCAGCATCTGCTTGACACCACCTTGCTATGTTGCAGGAGATTGGCATTATGCGTCTTGGTATGCACTCCTGGAGGGGAAAGTGGTGGAAAGTGGTGCAAGCGTGGAAGCGGTTCTGCTGCTTCTGCAAAGGATTGGGGGTGCTCGGCGGCCTGTTCAGAAGCTGGCTGTGGGCGAGGTCGGCTACGTCTGCGCCAACATCAAGACGGATACTCGTTGGCAGTCGGTTGTGACAGATTGTCTGACGCAGGCCACTTCAGGCCACCTCTTCTCTCTGTATGGCCATGTTGCGGTCGCCTTGCACTAGCCCAAGGTCGGTGACGCTCGTGTGGGTGATACCATCATTGAGGCCGGTACTGAAGACGAAGTGGAGGCCCTGCCCGGCTACACCGAGGCCCTTGCGGACGGAGTTTGTTGATCTTTCGTGCGGCATTTCCAGCATCACAGGGTCCAGTGAGTCGAGTTCTGAATCCTTGGAGTGCCTCTGACGTTTGTGAGAGGCTACGCCGATGGTCTTCTGTGGTGCCTGCGGCCGCAATGGATGTCAACCTGTGGATGCATGTCAAGCTTCCTCCGGAAAGTGCATGCTTCAACCTATGCTCCTCAATACATCTCAATACCACATTCTCTGGTGCATTGACGCATACATATTCATGTATACTGTATATTGCTAGCGGTATCTGTCAAGAACGACAGCGCGGAAGAAGTCTAGTCTGAACCAGCAGTCTCCAGGCCTGTTTCCTTCGGAGTCGGGAGACTTTGATGCCATGAGGCGCACTGGGTCGTCCTTGCCATCTCTCATTATAGTAGGTGCTGGGCTCTGATCTCAGGTTATGCATGAGAGGCTTTAGAGCGTTGCAAACAGTTTTCCTCCTTGGTGGGCATGGGGGTCCCTTTGGATGGAATTGAAAAGGCACCTCTTAGCGATGACCAATCTATGATTGAACAGCTATACTACATGTATCAGTGGGCATTTTTTTGGCTGGCCCTGCCTTGCATGGCCAGTCTTCAGAGGAGTGCCTTCGAGAAGCTCAGTTTGAATGACGCAGCACTCTTCTTCCAGCCGGAGAACTCGGTGACTCGACTGACTTGTTCAAATGTGCAAGTTTCTTGCTGGGGCATTCTTGCTCCATGGAAGGCCCATGGGAGCACCATGGAACGCTTCATCCTCATTGGGAAACTCAACGGTCTCATGTTCTTGTCAGTGGGTGATGCACGACCTCAAGGAAAGGGGGGGAGACACACAGACACCGGGAGCTGAAGACCGTAGGCCTTGGTTCACCTCCCTTTCGAGTTGTCCCGCTGCGCTGAGGTTGCTTTGGGCCTCGGCTTTCGCTGTGGATTCCTCGGCGTCCTGCACATGGAGGTCGTTAAGGACTTGACGCAGCACTCGTGCTCGGCGTCCCAGTGAGTTCCACGGAAAGATGCAGGAGCGTCTCGAACGAGAGTACGACCTCGACCTCATCGTGACTGCCCCGTCGGTCGCTGGCATGATGTATGGCTTGTGTTGAGAGGAGGATCGCCTAGATCCTAGGTGACGCAATTCAAGCGGTGGCCGCCTTGGCTTGATGTCAGGTAGAGTACCAGCTGCTGATGAAGGACGGAACAGAGACCACGATTCAGCTGCTTTGTGGCATTCAAGTTGCGTCACAGGCACTGCGCACGATTCGAACATCAGCATTTTTTTGTGCACTTTGACGAGGTTTGCCAACATGCTGCCGCCTCCAATTGACATTGCAGAGATCCGTGAGCCGTACTGCCTGTTTCTCGGCGATGTCGACGAGCACCGAGCTCTGACGATGCCGTCACTTTTTTTCTCACGTTGATCAATGAATCGTTGTCCTTGGTGTGCTTGTGCATTGAGGCTTGAGATGATCGTCCCAGAAGAACACATGGGACCCTGCATGGAGCTGGCAGTTCAGCGCCGTGGAATCTACAGGACCTGGGATTGTGTTTGCGGGGTGGCGGATCCGTCCTGAGCATTCTCTAGCTTGAGCTCAAGGTGCACCTTCCTGCCTTGCCGACTCGCAGGACCACCAGCTTTCTCACTCAAGGTCGAGCCTTGTTGGAGTACGAGCTGCTCGGCAATGCTCGGCAATGCTCGGCAATGCTCGGGAATGGGTAACGGGAACATGTATTGCAAACGAAATCAGGATGCCCATGGCAGAGATGATCCGCGACTTCTTCGCTGCGGCCTGGCTGTAGTCGTTGCACGCAGTTGAGGGATGAGGATGCAATGCAGGCAGACAGGTGCCGAGTCGCACGTATGTGAGAAGTGTAAGAAGTGACACCCTTTACTTACTGTGCTTGCTGCTCGCTCGCAGGCCTTTTCCATGGCCATTCTCTTTTTGAGGACATGTCAGCAACATAGCCACAAGTCTTATCAAACCGATGACCCGAGAGACATCATCTCCGAAATCTAATCATACCCCGCAACGCATCGCTGACATCCAGTGTTGTGTGAGCTCAATTGCAGCTCAAGTCTTTGATCTTAGATGTACTTTACTATCGGTACGGTATCAGGTACACAAAACATCCAGTCATACTGGACTCATCTGGACTTATCCTGGGCCCTATTTCTGCCAAGGAGCTGAAGAGCCGCTCCCGTGGCTACGCTTCCATGGACTACCGCATCATCGACTTCAGGACTCTCAGGGCACACTCTCGGCACACTCTCAGGGCACACTCTCGGCACACTCTCGGCTGAGCCCGGCTTGTTGGTTGGCTTGTGATCTCAAACTGCCATTTTTGGGTGTCACTTTGGGCGCCAATCTGTAACATATCTCAGTGTACTATGCTCCGATGTACCGCGTCTTGCGCACTTCTGTGAGGGCTCGAGGCAAGAAGCCAAGAGACAGAAGAATCTGCATGCCAGAAACCATCTAGCAAGCAGAGGGACACGACATGCTGCAAGGGCCAACGACTTGGTGAAGCTTGAGGCATGGACTGCCAGAGTGCTCGAATCTCCCCGCAACCACCATCCCCCGTCATCCCGCGATTGCGAGCCTTACGAAGATAACAGGGCCAACTAGCAAGGGCTAAACTGGGGCAATTTGCAGGGGTCAAAGCGAGGGGGAGCCGTCAGGTGGACATCAACAAAACCACGGCCAATCCGTTGGCCCAGATCGTGCATCGCTCCAGGGTCACCGAGTTTGCCAAGTGGGGAACTCAGAGTGGAGAAGGTCAGTAGAAGGCATTGAGAAATTATTCATTTGCTGAAGCCTCCGTCGGGATGCTGACGAGTCTCTGACGAATTATGAATGTGGTAAAATGAATGATGAATTCTTTCCTATCTGGATCTTTCATTCGGTACATGTGCAATGGTGTGCGCATTGGGACGCCAAACTGCAGTACAGTATCCCCATGACTGGCAGCCTAGACTGTAGATGGCCACAATCCTAGGGCTTATTCTGGGAGTGAATGCGGGGACAAACCTTGCCTGCAGGAAGATCACGAAGATCTTGAGGGATGAGATCCCTGCACAGCAGATCAAGGTCATCATCCAGGCACGCATCGGCTTCACAGCTGCAGGAAGAGAAGGGCTCGATGTCTTTCATAGACCAACAAACACCGAGAAGCACCTGCAGTGCCCGAGGTACCCATATCGTTTCCTCGGCGAACATCAAGGCTGTGCGGAAGGATGTCTTGGCGAAGTGCTACGGCGGCGACATCACCCGCCACTTGTCGGCTAAGCTGTTCAACCTCAGAACAACCGCGAGAGGAGAAACATCACAAACCCTGCAACTGTCGTCCTTGGGTTGCGAATCGGGATCATGCCGGAGTTTTTCTGGAGACGTATCCTTGAGAGTGCGAGCTGCTCTGCGGATCTTGCATTTCTTGCATTGTAGGGATTTCATGGCCAGGCAAGAAGAAGCTGCTGCAGAAGCAAGCAGCGGGCAAAAAGAGAATGCAGGCCATTGGCAAGGTCAATGTGCCTTCAGAGCCTTGCTGGCACACGCGCTGTAGACCTGCATGCCCATCCCCCCGCCCCCGCATATGAAGAGAGCGGAACCAAATATAACTTGCTTTTTGCGAACCTTTAGCTGCAGCTGAGGAAGCGATTTTGGCAGCAGCTGGGCTGCAATTTTTTGTTTCGCGTCAACACCCTCTCGCGGATGTCGCCTCTGCTTGTGTTCGGCTCGATGTTTGCTCTTGGCCCACCTTATCTACCCCGAAGAATTCTTGAAGAGACCTGAGCATTCCAAGCTTCCAAAAAGGTCATCAAGCAGACCTGAGACCTGGCGAAGGGCGGCGAAGGGTGATCCTTGGTCCAAGACCAGGTTGAGTCACTCCACGTGTTCGTCCGGCGCTGTCGCCCACGGTCTTAGGATTCCTAGCTCGAAGCACAAGGGAGTGGCCAAAGGAGAATAGGTGGGCCAACTCGCCTCCAGAGAACAATGAAAGGTGCCCAATGGAGAGTCATAGCTTCACAGGCTACTTCGCACTTGGTCGCATGCATGGCGGCAGCGAGATGATGACCAAGCGATTTTCCCAGTCGTTCGCAGCAACAGACGCTGTGCAGCAAAATCCGGGCAATCTGCGGAGAACTTGGTGGAAAGGTATTTCAACCTACCGGGCCCAAAGAAGTGTGTGCGGAAAGCACGGGCAGCCGAGATGACAAGTTTGTGAACCTGCGTCATCGCACCCAAACCTTCCAGGCTGCTAGTGCTGCTTGGCCCGAATCCGCCAAGAACTGCTGAAGTACTCATCCGTGCTGCAGGGCACAGTTTTCGATCGCATTTTCCGCGCCCAGCGTGCGAGCGCGCCACCAGTTGAAATGACTCAGTCCTTGCTTGCGTGGCGCGGGATCCCTGGCGCTGGCCGAAAGCTTGACACGCTCCATCCCTCATCCATCCTGACTCGGCCCAAGACGAGAGCCCCATGAACCAGTCAGAAGCTCCGAAGATCTCTTACCCTAAGGCTTATGTTGTTGCCCTCTTCCGTGTAGTCCGAGCCCAGAAGCTGCAGCACAGCACATCATGGCGGAGCCATCAGAGGAGATGAAGGACGCTCGGAAGCCGTGTCTACTCGTACACCCCTGGCCAGCGGAGCTTGTGGGTGCGGAGGTCTTGCCAGGTCTTGGATCTTGCCAGGTCTTGCTGCTTTTGCTTGCTCAGGAGGTCATGGCCGCCGATGACGGTGATGAGGAGGTCATCGGTGAGGAGGAGGAAGAGGAACCGGAGGCAACAGAGCACACAGTACATTTGCCACGGGTGACTGGTAGGCCCTGTAAGCGCCTGAGTGACTTAGTCTGAAAATCTCCTTGCTGCCAGATGGAGGGAGGCGAAGGCATGGATGTCTGCCGGCCGCCTGACGAGGAGGACGAGGCACATCGGGTTTTCGGGTTGTAGCAGCTTTGAACCTTGCACACTTCGTCAGTGGCGGAGTTCAAAACAACAGCCATGATGCGTTTCGGTCATGATCTCATATGATCTCTTTCTCTGACGCTAGGCTCTGCAGCTGGACCACCAGCTCGACGAAGGTGCCGCAGCTGCGGTTCGCTCGTGAGGTGAGTCCTTAGACTCCTTAGACTCCTTAGACTCCTTAGACTCCTTAGCCTCCTTAGACTCCGTAGACTCCTTAGACAATGCTTGAAAGGCTTCAAGGACGGATCTGGTTCTGAACCGAGGCAAGTTCCACGTGGGTGTCAGCTGGGTCCATCTCTCTGGTTTGAAAGGCAAGCGTGAGCAGTACAACGGAATGATGCTGGTCCGCACTCCTCACTGGCCCATGCTGAAGCCGATTCTGAGTGAATCTGCCGTAGCTTTTGAGGGGATGCTGACCCCAAGGAAATGCTTGATCACGTCGGCAACCTGGCAATTTACAGCTGTGGAGAGACGCCGTCGCCCTGTCATGACACGAGCTCAGGTCCTTTGGAGTTCGGAACCCTGCGATGGTGAAGGTGCGGAGTTGCGACAAGAACGAGGACTCCACGGCATGGGTGTCCTACGTGAGTGTACTTGTGATATCTCTGATCGCTTGCAAGTTGCAAAGCGGCTCGTGACATCAATGGGCCCTTGCAGCCATCATGGGGCCTAGCATGTCGAGTGACTGCACTGCAAGGACGGAAAGTACATCGCCCTCTGGGTGAAACGCATCAACTGCCGCAACACGGTCCACAAGGCCATGGGATGCAGGTGCAGAACAAACCCTCGGCAAATGGGTAAGGTTATGTAAGATTAGGTAAGTAGAGAAGGTCTATGAAGTGCTACGAGGTACTGCGAAGTACTTTAGCTACAAGGTCCCACGAAGTAGGCGTGCTAGAGGATCTGGAGATATCTGGAGCCTTGCTTGTTGGAGGATACTGGTGCCTGGAAAGCCACCCCGAACCCCGAGAACACAGGAGCCCCGGCAGTGCCATCTGAACTGAGCCCAGCCCGGCATCCGCCGGCCCGCTTTGCGAGGAGCCACAGGGGCGGCCAGATGGGTGGCCTTGGGACGACCCGAAGTGGATGCCATGCAGGCTGCGGGGGAGTTCACGGCGCCAGAAGGGATAGAGATGATAGAGGGCCCTGTAGGCTCGCTACTGTAATGGTACGGCCGCGCAGCTGAGGGAAAGCTGAAGTTCCAGAAGACGCCCGAGGCGAGCCGAATGAGTCGTCTCTTGAGTCTTGGCCCAGAAGACTCGCCACAAGAGCAAAATGATCTGCTTCTGGCTTGGAAGGAGGAGGCAGAGCGTGCCGAGCTCTTCAAGCTGGTGGACATAAACCACAATGGGATGGTAAGTCTGGCGGAGGTCGACAAGGCACCTTGCTAGAATTGCACCACTTGCCAACTTAAGGATTTTTTCGATGAGCTTTTTTGAGATCTTCTTGATAGTGGTGTTTGCGCAGTTTGCGTCCACTCGTAGGCCCTTCCAGAAGTCATGGGATGCACGGCGCTCTTCAATGCTCGCTCCCCGGGCCCGATGCGTTGCCACTTGCAGTCGCTTGCACCTTTCATCACCTTTCCGTTCTCGAGGCGAAGCCGGCCATCATCCGGGCCTTCCTAGCAGCCACCGGACGCTTCTCGTCCGCCACTGCGGGCTTATCAAGGGCTGCGCTCAGTCTCACTGTGTCTCACTCTATTCACTCACTTGTTGTTCATGCGTTCTCTATTCACACTGTTAACACTAATAGTACAAGTTAACGCGTGAAAATCAGCATTAGTGTGTGAACGCATGAGTACAACATTAGTATTATTACGAAGAGAAAGAGCATACTAGTTTTACAAGCCAGTTTACGAACGAAGCAAAAGAATAAGCGAATGAACATTCGCTCCGCAGGAGATCACAGCACCTGGAAGCTCAAAGGTGATATCTTGCTCCTAACGGCATCTCCAAAAACTTCGCAGGGTCGGGAGTTGGAGGGCGTAGTGAAAGCTTCGAGGTTCAGGTCCAGCCCGCAGATCCTATCCACATTGACCCCGTACTTCAGTCAAGGATAGCGCCAAGACAGCCGGGAGAGCCATTGCAGCATCACCAAAGCTTCCTCAAAATATATGATCCCCATTCCGGTATTGCTTGAGCCACGAAGGTCCTCCAGCCCGGGACGATCGCGCTGCGTCGGACCCTGAGCGCTTTCGGAGTCGCAAAAGCAGAAAATGTTAGCTTCCGCCTCGTTTCTGGCGCTGCATCGTAGGTTTCGGGAGCACGAGAAGCACTACGTGAAGCCCGGTGAGCAGTTCCGCCTGTTGCCCCCTGGAAGCATGGCATGCGTTTGGCCGCAACCCAGGCGGCTCTGAAATGTAGGGGCAGGAAAAACATGCCTTTGGCAGCCCTGGTCGGTGGGAGTCCGGTCTGCGGGCGGTTTTGGATGCCTCGGCAAGAAGAGAAGCTGCTAGCAGCTGCTAGTAGTTCCTAGCTTCCCACAAGGTTGCAATACCTCCATGAGTTCTTCGAGATGCATCTTGGAGTGCAGCTAGACAATCTGGGCCAGGAAGCTTTATCCTCCGGCTGACAATTCAAAATTGGTGTGTGCATAGCGACCTGGCCCTAACATCGGACATGGCACAGCAGAGGTTTGTGGGGTCACTGTTCGCGTATTTCCGGCCAGGGCCCAGCTCCCTGAGTTCGTGGAATTTGGGTGTCATGAGTGCGGGTGGGGGGAAGGGAAGGGGGGGGGGTTGCCTTGAGCCGGAGAGGCTCCTCATCCCGCCCCAAAGTAAGCAGCAGCAAGAGCAGAATGCACATGATCAGAAAGAACGACCCCGGTAACCCGAACCTTCAGCATGACAAGCAAGCGGAGAATCAGGTACCTCATCTTCCAGGACATGGCTGATGCCGACGAAGATCGTCGCATTGATTGCAAGGAAAGGGCATCAGTGTTCCACCTCCCGCGTTCTTGGGAAATTGCCATTGGCCAAGCTGTATGTGCCAAGCTGCAGGAGTTTGCCGAGTTCATCGCGTCGGGCAAGGCCGAGAAGGTGGGCATCAAGGTGGCTCGAATCAAGTTGAGACTTTGAAACGCCGTACACTCCTAGGCCTTGTTTCCCGAGCAGTTGGGAGACGCTGTGCCAAGGTTACTCCGGAAATGTGCCTGGCCTCTATGTTGGGAATGGTCTTCTTACATATTGGGCACAGATGCATCTTGAATGATAGTATAGTATATGCTCGATGCGATGTAGTCTGGGCAAGGATGGAGGACAGATGTGGGGCGACACTTATGCCTGGCTACTCGCTCTTCAACGAGATGCTTGGACAGCACTCGTGGCACCCACTTGCCCATTGCCTGGTTGACCAGCTTTCTACAGCCTGCCCCAGTGAAAATGTGCCATCAACAAGGATTGATGAAGATCAAGGAGGTCAGGCCCTCATTCAGTAGCTGTGCTTTGTACACTCTGCAACAAGAGAGTGATGAACCAGCTGTTTCATCAGAAACCATGAGAGAATGCCTCAATGAAACGGAGGCTGTATCCTGTTCAAAGAGTTCTCCGACTATTGCATCCGCATGGGCCTACGGGCGGCTTGGACCACAAGAGCGGCATCCTTCACTCGCCATGATCGATGATCGCACCGCCCAGACACGCCCGTAATGCTTAGCCTCAGAGTAAGCGGAGCACCCTGCGCCACGAAACGTCCCCGTGTCTTGGGCTCAGCAAAGCCCCTTTGGAGTGCGGCTTCGACCTTCTGAAGCCGTTCGACACTGGGCAGCTCCGACCCGGCTCCTCCTATCTTCCATCTCTTGTTCTTCTTCCTGTTGGTTTAGAATGAAAGTACTGAAAGTCCCAGAGCAAGTAGCCCTATCAAATGCTTCAACATGATTTGGCTTCAGCTTGACCGTGTCTCCTAGCTGGAGCCCCACTGAATCCTCCTCATATGGCCAAATTGCTCGCCGCGAGCTACGACGCCTTTGTCGCCATCTTTGGCCCGCTCCCATCTTAGAAGCGTGAAAAAGCGTGACGCTGGTCTTTGACTTGCGCGCCACCGACACAGCTCTTTTGACGAAGGGAACCCAGACCTGCGTGTGGCAGTTGTTCTGACGCCTATCTGTCGCCGAAGGAGTGCAACGGACACAGTCACCATGACTGAAACCTCCTTGCAGGAACATGCTCGTAAACCCAAAACGAAGTCCTGGCTACCACTACGATCCGCTACAGGGCTTATGCATGTTTATGCGTGTTTATGCTGATTGAACTTCGGGCTCCTTGAAATCTGGCGAGCCACGTTCGGCAAAAGTACGCCAGAAGGGGCATTGATTGTGCAGTGGTAAAATGCAAGCTTCTGTAGTCGTGGCGTGGTGTCGTATGTCCTCGTGATTCAGATACGTGCAGAAAGGTTTGGTGGCCGGTTCTGTCAATGCCGAGGATCCGAGTCGCAACCCTATGGATGGCCGCAGCCTCAGCCTGTTGCTTTTGGTCGGTTTCAGGAAAGTTGTGTGACAACTCCGAGCTTGAGCTCTCGTTTACATCCCACATTTCCATGATGCATGCGTAACGCACAGGAATCGTACAGAATCGCTCTGAGGGAGGTTTGCAAAAACATGTGCGTGTTTGAGGCGACACAACCAAGCTGCGTGAGATGCCACTCGCGCTGCAGTACTGTGATTCATCGCCGAAGTTGAACCGGCCGACGTGAGTTTAATCTGCTGAAAACGGTCGGCAAAGGTTCCACAGTGCCAAAGACATGGACGATGCAATGTCACTGTCACGTTTTGTCGAGATCCTGCGGCTTGGCGGCTCAATTGTGCGAGTTTCAATGCCCAGTATTGTTTTTGAGCGCAGTTGCCTCAAACATGTTTAGTGAGTTTAGTGTTCGATTCCGCATCTCACAGGAAGAAGGTCGGCATTAAGGACTCGGAGAGCCTTGGCCTGCAGATGCTGAGATCGCCTAGACGAGAATCCATGTAGTCCTTTGGAAGCCTTGGCACGTGGTCGCCACCCTAAGGATTGATGCCATGATCAAGGCCACAGACTCTCAGCAGTGCCAGTAGCTGATGCCAGCTTTGGGGCCCGCACACCTGCATGATCTCACATGCTATTTCCCCTGGGTGCAGATGGGGATGCTTGTTTTAGGTAGGACGCACCCTCGTGTGCCCTGCGTTTCCTGGGGTTTCCAGCTTGGGGGGCTAGGGGGGGGGGGGGTTGGGAATATCCACGTTGGGAATATCCATGTTGGGAATATCCATGTTGGGAGTATCCATGTTGGGAATATCCATGTTGGGAATATACATGTTGGGAATATCCATGTGGGGAGTATCCATGTTGGGAATATCCATGTTGGGCATATCCATGTTGGGAATATCCATGTTGCGAATATACATTACATAACACTTGCTGCAGGCATCTCCCCCCGGAAAAAAAGCCGGCCCCAAGCATCCCAAAATCCTTTCTTGCCTGAACCTTCAAGCCCACCAAAGCAGTCCAAGCCCAAACCTTCCCAAAGCCTTTTGGACCAAAACCTTCAAGCCCAAGCATCCCCAAAGCAGTCCAAGCCCAAACATTCCCAAATCCTCTCTTGAAAGCAGTCCTTACAAATAAGCTCAAAACACCTAAAACATGGTATACACAACTTTTAGGTTTTCCTGCCTTTCAAAACAAGGCTCCCGCCTAGGCGAAACACTCATTTTCAAGAACAAGTGCCCGCCCTTCGAGGGATCAGTGGCATGTCTTCCTGGTTCGGAAAACCGGAATGAGTCAAAAACCTCAGTTTTTTACACTTTCCAACTTAACCACACCCAACGAATGCCAACAAAACGCAGGGCACTCCAGCGCGCGTGCTACCTTGCTTTGCCTTCTTGCAGCCAAGGACAAGAACCGTGACTACAAGATCGATATCGACGAGCTCTGACCTCAGGGCTCGTAGCAGTGGGCATCATCCACATCAGCAAGGGCTAGCATCCAAGCCAGCCCCAGAGGGGAAGTAGATGTGGCCATGGAATCTCCGGGCATTTGCTACGTCAATTTGAGGTTCATGGATTGGCTCATGAGCGACGACCACAAGACCAGCCTGGCTCGCGCCGAGCCTTCATGGCTGCGCGGGTAGGGTCCTGCCGTCGGGTGGAATGACGCAAGCACGGACGAGGATGTTGACGGACAGTGTGAGAAGCTGTGTCAGCTTTCAAATGGTGGAACGAGAATTGGCTTTCCCCCTCCACCCTCTCGCCACAAGGCTGTATGGGGCGGGGGGGGAGGCCGAGCTTCGGAACCAAGTAACAGAGACTCCCTAAAGCCTGAAAATCATAGGCCCTAAAGCCGGAATGTTTTGGGTCGAGCTGGCTACTCTTTGTACACACATGGGTGCAGGTTCCTCCTGAAAGCCTTGGCAAAAGTTGTGCCGCTTCTTTTTCGCATCTTTGTAACTGTTGGAAGAGTCCGATCACAGGGTTCCGCCATGTGAAGGCCGGGTAACTCCAGAGTTGAGTTGACCTGTTTAAGCCGCTGTTTCACTCTTCGTCTGAAGGTAGCTTGTAGACAAGAACGCATTTCCCGCACCCACAGTGAGAGCATGAAGTAGTTTTGGGACCATCTCAAGCTCGACACCAGCCATATGCTGAAAGGGTGTTGGCCTGAGGCCAACAGGTCTTCGCTAACAGTGGAGATCTCGGTGCCTGCTCCGCAAGCTTTGTTCGGGAATGAAAGAGCGAGTGGCATCGAGGTGTTTTGTGTGAAATCATGAGACGCTTTGCGCATTTTCCAGTTATGTGTCTGCCGATTTTGGCTGCCAGCTGTTGGGTTGCCAATGTGAGCCTAAAGCTACCCTCCTCGTGGTGCTGCAAAGGCATCGCGCACTGGGCTCTCTCTCTCCCTCTCTCCCCTCCCTCCCTCCTCTCTCTCTCTGTTTGGACGTGGAGCCTGAGGCAAAGATCTTTTGTCTCTCCCGCTCACTTTGTCTTTGTCTTTGTCTCTGTCTCTGTCTCTGTCTCGGTCTCGGTCTCCGTCTCCGTCTCCGTCTCCGTCTCAGTGTACTTCTGCCTCCGGCGAGCGCAGGCCGTCCATGGCGGCGCAGCTAAAGGAGATCGTTGATAGGCATCTCAGCTGCAACGGAGTGCAGTCACAGCTCGTGGATTCAAGCCGTGTTGAGCACGGTTTCACCCGAAGGCTCAATGCCGCTCCGTTCAACTGTGATTTGTCCCTTGTGGGCTTCGATGAGAAGGCAGGGCAGACAAGGATGCAGGTGTACGTTTCTGTACGTTTCCACATCTAGCGAAAGTCCTGACTCGTTGTCATGCTTGCCGTTGCAGGGTGTCTAGCTGTCATTGGCTTGCTTTGGCGATTCGTGCCATGGCAGGACCCGTTTGAGCTCATGGAGATTCTCAAGAAGGTGCTCGTGTTCCTGGATCCAAAGCACGATGTTGATCTTCGGGAGGCACCGGCATGTGCAGCAAGCAGATGGAACATGGTGAGACATGCCGGTTTCAGGTGTTGCAATTTTCATGCTTTAGCACTTAGTGACTCAGTGGTGCAAGGTCCTCGGTACTTGTCAAGCTGGTAGAATGCAATTGTGTGCAAGGAGAAGCCTGATGCAATGTACCAGCGCATCTCCGAATTCCTGCACATCCTTGGATACCAGTGCCGATCCCCACGTGAGCCTTTTTTAGTACTTCGCTCGGTTTCTAATTTGAGCCAAGCCGCTCCTCTACAGGTGCTCGTTTGACATTGAGTTTCAGCAGGGCCTGAGCTTGGGCCGACTCCCTACGACTTCCGGACTCCCTACTCTGCAGTTCTCATGGCCCATTATCATGAGCCGTGAACGGCTGTGAAGGTGACAAAAACACAGTCCACCCCATTCTCTATTGGCTGCTCAACAACCTTGATGCCTTGAGAGTCTTGACTGCACTGGAGAGCTCTTGCTGAGCGGCTGTGAGCTGGCACTCGAGCATGGAATGATGTCTCCGCGCATGGAATGAGAATTCAAATCAAAGGAAAGCGCGCCTACTTGGCGAAGTTCTGCATGAATCTGGAGGCCCGTTTCTAGCTTCCTGCTTGCACAGGATGACATGCTTTCGGCTTTAGAAGCTTCAAAAGAAGGCTTAAGATAAAGCTTGTTGCTGGAGACAGGTGCCGGAGGAGTTCCTGCGAGAAGAGCAGGTCTACTCCGTGTACCAGAATTACAAGGAGAGCTCTGGTAAGATCTTCAGCAATGTCAATGATCTTACATGATCCTGTTCTCATGTAGTCTCCATTTGCAGGAGCTGCAGTCCCAGTTCAAGGCGACGCACTCGCACGTGGAGCAGGAGATGGATCCAGTGTACTGTGCACCAGAGTTCGGCTTAGGGTTGAAGATGGATGTCTTGCTGTGACAGCAAAGAAACGAGCTGACAGCGACAGGAGCGGCAAGGTCGCATGAACCCCGTCGACCTGCAGCGGGAGGTGCTCCGGCCAAGCTCCCGCATTCCTCGCAGGTTGATCATGTTATCGCTGAACTATCCGTTGACGTGGGCTTGTCGCTTGGGGTTTGCGCTTCTCATCCCCGAGGTGGCGCAGCTCGACGCCGAGCGTGAACAGCTGGCGCAGAAAATCCAGCACCTGAAGGACCGGCAGCCAGAGATTACTCGTAAAGAATTGTGAGATCAGGTAAACATGCCTGAACAGCCCCATGCCCTTTCTCCGAATAGCCAGCAAAGGCGAAGACCGAACGGGACGAGGGCTTCGCAACGCTGCTGGAGGCTGGAGTCCTTGCATCAGACCGGTGAATGCTAGCTACAAGATGCTACAAGTTCCGCTCGTTCGGGGAAAAAAGAGGCGCCTGTTGGTGCTTTGGAGATGGTCCCGCCCGAGAAACAGAGCTGACTTTGCAATAGCCGCCGTGAGGTGACCTCCATGCTCCGAAAGGAGCAGGAGGAGGAAGCCCGACTGGCCGAGAAGCTTGCGGAGCAGAAGTACCAGCCAGCATCCCAGCCCTGCGCACCAAAGCTAGTGGCTTCAAGTCTCTGCTGTTAAACCTGGGATGCTTGTGTGCAACGGTCCAGCTAATTGCTTGTATGCAGAGGCCAGCAAATGTAGTCCCTTGAGTATGGGCCTCCTTTGGGCTACGTCTACAGTAAGCGCGTTTCTGTGCTAGAGGAGTAAGGAGTTTGGCCTTCGAGACATGAACATTCTTACTGCGTGTTTCATCTGGAGAAGGTGCAGACTCGAAGATCAGGGATTGCGAGTAGGGAAAGATTCTGTGTGCGCCCAGGCTGGAGCAGACAGAGCCTTCGCTGAGTGTTCGGGCAAGCCCAAATTGCTCATGAGACGTTCATAGTCACAGCAGGAGTATTTGTGCCGTTCGTTATAACTTTGTAGTGTTAGTGCCTCGGCGCGGCCCAGTCGTGTGCAGACCCGCAATGGCTAAACCATCCAGAGCACAGGGGTCATAGAGGGCTTATTTCATTGTAAACACCTCGGGTGGGTCCTAGGGTGCCTAGGCGCGGGGGATCCCCGGTGGGGGTCTCAGGGCGGGCGGTCCCAATGGTATTTCTCTAGAGCTTTTGTTGCCTCATTTTCGCGTTGAGCTGGCAACCGCAACACTCCTACTTCCTCCTCATGAAGGCCACAAACCTCTTTCTCAATCTGTAACCTTCATTCCGCCCTAGAATGAATGATTCGGAGAGGTTCGTTCACCTGGCTTTATAGTACAGAAATCTGAGAGGATAAGAACTAACATTAAACTTACCCAGTATTCTTGTTCATGTTGTTAATAGCTCGAAGTAGCGGACTGTGGTAACCTCTCAGTAAGCTCAGGAGCAGCTCTACATCGAGCGCTCTGCGCGCCTGCGTGAGATGCGAGAGGCGGTTGGGTGTTTCTTGGCACCTGTGTGTCTTGACAAGGAAGGATGGGGGAGCTGCCTGGTAGGCGCAGCTCCATGAGGGCGAAGGCAGCGCGGAGGTCATGCTGAAAATGCTCAGTGCCGAGGCGGGGCCGGGGAAGACAGGTTTGCCAACTGCGCTTTGATTGCTCAAAAACTTGTTCTTCCTGTGCCTGTCTGTCGCAAGGTCATCAAAAGCAGAGAGGCCCTGGCGCGCGTCAGCCAAGCTCCCAGAGAATTTGTTTTGTGCTCCGGGGACGCTCTTAGGGATTCCTGGATGCTGTCGGTCCTATCGCCTCCTGGCTTAGTTTTGTTGCTCAGTGTTGCTGAGCTCCGTTGTTGAAGTGTAGCGCGCTAAACGACCTTGGCCATTAAACAAACACCCCCCATGTGTACAGCGTCATCCGTGATCTAATCCCAAACGGTGCTGTGCCTGGAGCCTAGAGCCAAAAGATGAAACAACACCACAAAAACATCGCGGCGCCAGTCGAATGCGCAGTAGAGCGCCTGCGCAGGAAAGGAGTCCGAGGAGAAGATGGACCGCCTCAGAGAGTTGGACTCGGCCCTCAGTGAGCCTCCGGCCCGGGCCCCCGGAGCCACTCTATTTCACCGAGAAAGAGACTCAGACAGACTCTGGGCTTGCTTTTGCAGAGTGCGGCTGTGCCTGTTAGGTGACCAAGATGGACATCGACAGCCTCGAGGCGGTCGATGTCGCAGAATTTGAAGTCTCGGGCTCCAGCCACTGGCTCCAGCCATAGCAATCGGGTGTCCTCTCGGTTGAAGAGTCGCCGAGCCGTCAGGGTGAGATCCAAGCGATGCAGAATGAGATCCACGCCCTTGAAGAGAAGGTGAACGAGCAGAACCAGGACAGCATGGTATTATGTAGTATTTGAGGTCGTTGTGCGGGACATCAGTGCGTATGCTGAGATTGGTGAGACGAACATGGCGAATCGCACCGAAGCACACAGACTCGAGGATTCACGGTTGGCGGTGTACAAGCAGCAGGCCCGGGGGGCGAAAGAGCTGCTAAAGGCTCAAGAGGCTCAAGAGGCTCAAGGCTGCCCGAGGCTGCAAAAGGCTGACCCTTGCACATCGGTAAGAGGCGAACCTCGTGGCGAAGAAGAAGGAAGCTGTCCTGAAGGCCAGTGGTTTCGTGGTTTGGTTCAGGAGACGCGAGGCGTAGTCTGGGTTGGCCTTGGCAAGAATGCAGGACAAGAGGATGTTGGAGGATGAGAGGGACAGTCTGAGCAAAGACCTGTCAACGAAGGCCCAGTGCATGTGGAGAGGGGGTGCTGCAGGTGTAATGCCCTGAATTCATAATCAGACTTCTATAGCGTAAAGCTGATGCCTGCAAAGGCCTAGGGTTGGTAATCTCGCAAGGTCCCGTTCCGATCCATCTCGGCACACTTCAGTAGAACTTACACATGATGAAGGGATCGTATCTGTCGCCCACGACAGTCAATACACGTCCGCTGTGAGTACCACATTCCGTGCAGGAACGAGAATACGAGCAGATGAAAGGCAGCCAGACCGCAGACAACGCCTTCTTGTGACTTGTGTCACAATCTAGCTGCTGCGGTCAACTCGCCTCATACTACTTTGTAATGCTGGTAGTGCTCTGTTGCTTGTTTGCGAGTCGTTAAAGGTGCTTTAGCCCTTGGGGCTTGCCTTCAGGCCACAAGTTCATGAAGCGAGAAGACTTCAAGACCTACGCTGCTTCGCTGAGGGACAAGTCTGCCAAGTTCAAGCTAAAGAAGGTTGCTTGCTCAGGGCTTTGATTCCTGCATTTTTTGCGTGCAGCTCTGCTGTGTTGCCTGTTGCAGGCTGAGCTCAGTGAGCTTAGACACGAAGTTGCGGTGCACCTTTGCATGTTTCACGGCCATCTAGGCAAGGAAGGTGGAGGGATGGTTTTGCAGCTGTTGTTGGGGGGGGGGGGGGGGCGGAGCAGTCTGCCAGAAGACATTTGCCAGAGAACAGTCACGCCAGGTACTTCAGCGTACCGAGCAGATCCTGCAGTCGAAAGACCCAACTCCGGCTGGGTCTACCGGCTCATTTTTCCTGTTAGTGTGTTTTACGAGACGTGCTTCATCCCGGAGTATGGAGCCAGGCTGGTGGAGACAGAGCAGATGCTCGAGAAGGCATCTGTTGAGAAGTCTCAGGTGCGGGGCCTCTCTGAGCTTAAGACTGCAGGCGGTTGAGGTTTTCCAAGAAGAGCTTGAAGCAGCCAATGACGCCCGGAAGGTAGACCGGGCAAAGGGCAAGACACTGGACGAGATCTCGGCCATTGTCCAGACCTCACAGACACTTCTAGGTGTCATGGCGACCAGAGCGAGCTGAGTGCTGTCATTGTGGTTCCCAGGTCCAGAAGATCAATGCCCAGCTCAAGGAGAAGAAGAACAAGCTGGCTCCGCAGATTAAGGCCATCGCGCTCTTCCTGTGCGTAAGATATCTATATACATATATACCTTCGTGAACCTCTGAAATTTCCCCCCCCCCCCCCAATGACATTGCCCTGTGTTCTGTCCAGGCGGGAGCTGTGTTGTCGGAGAGCATCTTTAGTTTTTTGTGTGTCACCAGCTGCTGTGAGAGGCGCTTCGCTCGATCCGCCAGAGCTTCCAGCAAGTGGAGGCGCGCTTGTCCGGAACAGCCCAGTAGACCCACTCTCTTTTGATCTAATCCGAGATGTTTTTTACATCCCCCCCCTCCCCCAGCGCAGATGTTTTAGCCCACCCCCCCCATCTGTGTGAGTTTCCCCTTTATGCCACCCGCGCACTCCCCCTTACATTGGCCCTTCTTAGCCCTCAACTATCTCGGCGACATCCCAATCAATTTTTTTGGATCCCAGACTTTTTTTGGCGGTCTCCCTCCCCAACAGCTTCTCGACGCACCCGCCTCCCGCCTCGCCTGCAAGACCCCCCACCCTCACCTTTGCTATCAACGCCTTAACCGACCCAAAGCTGTTCTTTCCACCTGCCCCGACCCCCAGTGTTCGACCCCGAACACGTTTTTGCGGGATGTCTGCCTGTGCACCTGCAATCAGTGCTTTTGCCGCTATGCTTGGTTCGACAAGCTCGAACCCTGCTTGTTTGTAAAATGCCGTGTGGGAAGCCACCCAGCAAATTCAACAAAGAGGCAAGGAGTTCAACAAAATGATGTTGGTTGAGGTCAAAAGAACATGAGGGGTCCAACAAATGTCGCCCACTTCTCATGAATGGTCGGCTTCCTTCCTGGCCTTGTGCAGGTGAAATATTTGGACAAGAAGGGGCAGTACGACCAGGCAGAGCATCCGAAAGTGCTTCTTCCGCACGCGCCTGCAACCCGCTTTCATCGTAAGGTCTTGAGTGCTCTGGATGTGCAGCATGACAACCGGTGAGGCAAAAGCAGCCGTCGACACTGACCTTTCGAAAGTCGCAAGTGACGTCGGAGCGCCAGTATGAAGACAGCTCGAAATCCCTTAAATTTGGTGGAGTTTGAAGCTGAGACATCTCGTGGATTCTTTTCAGCCTGTGCTTTGCAAGTCTGTAGGCAAGTGGGTTTCAATCGTTGCATGCCATGTTCAAAGGCTCAGCCTAGCTTTCACTGCAGTTGCTCAACCCTGCGTGCATGACGTAACTTCGACAAGCAGGAGTCGTGCCGGCAGCACTGATAGTTCTTACGAACCGGTAAGGTCGCCGTAGCAGTTGCAAGACAGCACACCTGCAACAGCAATCCAAATAGGAAAGATAACATTTTCTCCGGCCCTCCTGGCAGACAGCCCTTAGCCCTTAGCCGTAGCCCTTATCCTTGTTTTCTGCTGCATAAGCTGCACCAGATTCGCCCCATGCCTGCGGCTGCCTGTGGCCATGGCAGGATCGTCCGGATACAGGCTGGGTCATGCTACCACCGCCATGCCACGGGCGCCCTCCCTTGGCCTCCCTCTTTGAGAGTTGCGGTGGGGCACAAGTCGACAGCCCGACCCCTTCATGCCGAAATTCACATCGGTGAGGCGTGCCAGCTCTACGCTTGTCGAGGCGATGCAGTTGGACGGCTCTCAAAACTCGAGAGGGAACATGTAGGGTTAGGCAGTGTGCGTAGTGTGCTTGGGCAGGGCAGCGACCATGACCTCAATTCGTTGCCAACCCGGTCCTTGACGACCCCGGTGTCTTTGCTACGGAAAACTGCAAGTTCACCGCGGTTGCATCTATGGCAGAGAAGACCCAAATGACCCAACAGGCCCACACCCTTAACCCTCCAGCTTCAACAGCCGAGGCGGACTGGAGGACGGAAGACGATTGCGAAACTGATCCGGAGGATTACTCCGACAATGAGCTTGTTGAGATCGGTGGCTTGGACTTCCCACCACAGTTGCGGTTTAGATTTCGGATTCCGGTGGTATGGAACACCATGTATGCAAAAAAGTGAAGAGGACTCTATGTCATACAATTGACATGCTGGGAAGCAGAAGGCCCAACATATGCCCATGGAAATGAGCTTCACGAAGGTGCTCCCATCATAGATGTGTACCATCGGAGCCGAGGTGACCCAGCCAGCCGGGCAATCACCCTGCCCAGCTTGACAGCAAAGGACGGTTGGGCATAGCGTAGCACCCTCGCATCTTGGAAGAAGTTTGCCATTGAAATTAGAAGCTGTCCCGAGAAGCTAGGGGAAGGAAAAGCCACTTCAGACAAAGCCATTCTTTCTTGTTTGCAGAAACTGATGGAGATCTTCCCTCAAGATGACGCGGGCTTTCGACCAGGCTCAGCGATAGACGTGACGTTGAAGTTGCTCTTCTTTCAGCAGGTTTCTTTTGTCCTCCGGCCCGGTGCCCCTACTGCTTTGCGCAGGCTTCGGTTCTCCGTACCGACATGGTCGAAGGTCAAGCAAGAACCGACTGCAGCGGGAGAGAGTGCTCCAGAATCTTGCTGAACGCCTTCACAGCAACAGCTTCGTGCCTTAGCTGAGGCTGGCACTTCTAGATAGCCCCAGGTACTGTGATGGAAAGCAGGCCCAGTCATTGCCCCGACATAGATGAAGATTTCAAGAGGGTCGATTGCCATGCACCACACAGGTTTCCAATTTGAGCTTGCCTTGATTGGTGGGGACTCGGGGTTCAGTTTTTGTCATGTGGATTTTCATTTTGGGATTTGCTTTTGAGACGTTTCAGGGCTTGGTTCAGGGGCATCCTGAAGCGACTTGTATAGGCGGCGCCCTCAACCATACTGAAGCCTTGGCCTTTGCGCGGCAGAAATGTGGCGTGTGAGCTCTTCTGAGGAGTTCGTAGCCGAGCGCGACCTGGCTGACCTAGTGAGCAACGAGCCTTGCGGCGAAGTGACCAAGACGGAGCAGAGAAAGTCAGCTAAGTTCTACTTTCGAAGGTGAGGCCGCTGCTGCAGCAGCGGCTGCCAAGGCTGCGGCTGCAGCACCTGGTGCTGCAGGGCCCTTGTTTCATGCGGAGGAAGGGCTGCATCGGCCGGCTTATGTAGATTCATTTTCAACAACGTTGCCGCCTGACCTGAAATGCCTGGCTCTGGACAGTCTGGCACGCAACGTGCCAATCGTTTGCAGGAGACGGTGATCATCTTCGACTGGGATGACACGCTGTTTCCCACCTGGTTGCCTGACCAACCGGTCATTCCAGCAGGGACGCTGAAAGGATAAAGCCAATGCGCGTTTGATGCAGCTTGCAGCTTGAAGGCTGAGGCCCCAACCCGCACCCCAAAACCCTATCATCGACTCGGATTGGTAGAGCATTGGAATAATTTCCAAAAGCTGAGGTTTGTCACAGAGGTGGTCAACCCCTGCCTGGAAGATCCGCAGTGTGAGCGACTGCCCGCCACCAGTCCCTTCCTTGAGTGCCTCCAGACCCAAGCCCAGACGGCACCTCGGAATCTGTGAAATCTCAGAAGCTTTCTTACTTTGTCGAAGCTTCACGTGGCACCACACTTTCTTCAGGATGTTGAGTTTAGATGTGTAGGTTCTGGGCTTTCGCGTGAGCATGGGATCAGTATGATCAGTTTCTCATTGCTCCCCCCGGGCATTTGCAAGGTCGAGCGGATCCTGCGCGCAGCGCGCTCGAACGGCCGCGTGGGGATCGTGACCCTGGCCCAGCGCCCTTGGGTGCTGCTTAGCGTGCATGAGGGAGCGTAGCGACGACGACAGTCCCAATCCAACGAGACGTTGCATGACTTCGGTGGCATGCTTGAGGCTAAACTCCGCGGCAAAGTACCTTCCCAACCTGGCCTCGTGGCTTTGTAAGGCTTTTTTGCGGAAAGTGCATTGCCATGGGGCATGGCGGACTCAGGACTTGCCAGGGTTGCTGGATGAGCTTCAGATTCCCGTGATTTATGCCAGGGAGTGCTTGAAGAAGTACTTGATCCAGGTGTCCTCGTCACGGAGCTCGAATCTGCTCTGTGAGTGCGAACTGCGGCCCTGTGTGCATGGTATGCCTCGCACCCCTGCGGTCTGCAGGGCGGAAGCGAAGATGGCCTGTGCTTGTGGACTATGGCAAAGCAGGCAGCCATGACGAAGGCGCGCGCTTTGCAGCAAGCTTCACTTCTTTGGCTTTGACAGTCCCGAAGTGCAGATGCGCCGAGGTGCTCAGGAGACTCTATGGCAGGGAAGCACCGTGGATGAACGTGCTCTCTATTGGTGACTCCACAGTGGAGCGCACCGCCATCACAGAAGTGATGTGGTCCTCGCAGTACGAGGTCGGGGGGTACAGATGCACATGCCATCCTGTGGTACCCCTTCTGCTCTTGAATGAATCGCAGCACGGTACACACATTCTCATGTAGTCTGAGCCGATAGTTCAGCCTATGCTTAATGACGCAGAGCTCTCTGAAGAGTCATGAAGTGCTGAAATCGAAATGATGCACTGCTGTGGCGAGCTTTGAGGTTCACTAGTCACTAGCAGCTCCAAAGGCATGTTCAGTTCTGTAGACATCGCAAAGCCGAAGCAGCCTGCCAGCCCGTGCTGGACGCGTCTGGACGAAGTCCATGTTGCAAAACCATCAAGTTGATGGATGTGGCCTGGCCTGCTTGGCAAAGGGGCATCAAAGCATGTCACAGCTGTCGCCAGCTTTCTGCTTAGGCTGCCGGACTTGTACTGGTGAGACAGCACTGTCTTGCAGGAATCGTCAATAGAGCCGTCGGCTGCACCTCAGGATCCCAGCGTTGAGCAGCTCCAAACTCAACTCATCATGCAGCTGGGCTGCAAGCATGCTTCGGGTTGCAGCTGCAGTTGCAATACGTTGCAATATGTTGCAATATGTTGTGCAATGTGCAGCATGTTACAGTATGTTTCCATGGGGTGAGCTGGCGGACTCTCGCACCGAGGCTGAGCATGTGGATGACGCAGTTGGCTCAACATGGTCACGATTTCGACTTTTCTTTGGATGACTCTGACGAAGGAAGGATGAGCATCCACAAGCAGCCTCTTGGATACAAGAACAGGAAACCAAGGAGCACACGTCCTCGAAGGTTTGGCCTGGTACTGTCCGACTCTGTGCAGGGTCGCGTAGTGGGTTGAAGAGGAGTTTGCAGGCTTGTGTGGCCAGTATATCTTGTGGGCCCAACTGCTCTCATGAGCCTCCAGCGACTGAGGTTTGTAATCAAAGCGTCGGCTTAGAAGATCCGAAGCTGACGCGTGCCTTCGCACCTGAATATGTGTGGATTTCGGTTTTTTGGTGGGCCAGAGCTTCTTCGTCGTAGCCCTTGCTGCAGTACCTGAGGCACATTGCGTTGTGGGCATTGCTGTTTCGACGCGATCAAGTTAGTTCCTGGCGTGTTTCAGCCAGGAGAGCGACATATAGGTTCTTTCTGGGAGGATTAGGGAGGGGGAAGCTAATAACTAAAACGAACTGACAAAATCCTCCCAGACAGACATCACACATCGTCACCGACCCTAGTTTTGAAGCACAGACTCGGTAAATATTGCCGCGTTGAACCATTTCGCGCTTCACTTCCCCAAGAGCGCTTGAGACGAGAAGAGACTCGGTGAGGCCGGAGGTGAGGCGCTGCTTCGAGCGCCCAGAATGGCTGATAAAAAGCTCTCTTGCGCCTGCGCCGCTGTTCGCAGCCGTCCAGCTGCGTGAGCAGAAGAGATCTTCATATGTATCAGGTCTGAAAGTGCTGGATAGGTGGCACTCTGGAAGTAGCACCGGAAGCGTAACTGCGTAACACTTTGGGCTGGGCCTCTTAGCTCTAGTAGAGACATGCACGTTGCCCAGGTCCGGCAGCTCGAGAACGAAGTTCAGGAGGCGGAGCAGGCAAGCAAGGGCACGACTTTGGGAGTTTGGCTTCAGCAAGCTGGACATAGGACAGTTTTTGTTTGGAGTGCCGCCTGGTGGCATTCTTATGTCCAGTTGGCTGAAGCCAGACTCCCTTGTCACAGTCGTGCTGAAACTTTTTTGGCCTGCTGCCAGCAGTTGCCTTGCTCCATCCAAGCCCGAGAGCCACGCTTTTTGTGCAGAACTATCACGAGCTGAACATGCAGCTTCTGACCGCCGAAAGCCCTCGCCTGACACAGGGCTCAGGGGTCAATCGGGAAAGGGGGCGTGTGAGGATTCATCAGGGAAGTGCTCAGGGTGTTGCTTTCAGGAGTGCAAGACTGTGAACCTGGGGCGCCCTTCAAAAATCACCCCGACAAAGGCAAGCTCCAAAGGGCGCAGTGGGAGGCGCGATGCCTTCGAAGAGAGGAGGGCGCGCGCCACTCGCAGGCACCGACCCCGCCTAGAGAGTTCTGGGAGATTTTGCGTTTGCAATAGCTTCGCCAATTGTTGCAAGACACCCCTCTGTCACTGTGCACCCAAGAAAGTGTACCCGTTTCGAGTGTATGTGCTGGATGATCTCAGCACGCGCTGGTATGGAGCGCCAAGCCAGGAGTATGCGACTCTGTCCGATCAGTATGCGGCAGAGATCAGCAGGCTTGACGAGCAATGCAAGGCTGGAAAGTGCAGGATTCAAACTACCGCGCCTACTTGCTTAGATCCGACTACAACTAGCCAGGTATCGGAGCAGCTGTTTGCGTTCAACGAACTGCGCATGGCAGGATCTTCGCAAAGATCAGAAGGTCGTGAAAGAGTCCCACGAGGAGCTGCATGGCATCGGGGAAATTGGGGTATTGGCATTTTGGGTGTCCTTCGTGCTTGTAAGCATCATGTGCCGTGGGAGGGGGACCACACGTTGCCAGGAGAACCTCAAACAGAAAAGAGCTTTCGTCCAGCTAGAGAAGCTGATACAGATAAAGCTCAAGGCGCAGCGGTAGTTTTTTGCTTCATGTCCAACTTGCTGTTTGCTTGCAGCCAGTAGCACAATCTCATGATCATCACGGAGCGAAGCTCCGGACTGCACCAAGAGCCATCATGCAGGTATCCATGCAGGAGTTGCAGAACATGGCAGAGGGCAGGCATCCGGGCTGCAAGAGTGGGTGACGGTTTGCAATGGTACATCGCAAGTCACAAGTCTCTGGTGAATGTCACTGTGAACGTGTTTTGGGTCGGCTGGCTTTTGTTGTGTCTTTTTGGCATTTTTCCCTGAGAACAGGTACGGAGGTATCGGCGCTTCCCGGACTGTCTGCATCTCAGCTCAGAACTGCGAGACGCTCAAAACACCCCATCTGCTCCGGGTCACGTCTGCACCGGACTGCGGACTTCGAATTGAGATCCGAGTGTTGTTCGGGGGCACCTCCTTCACAGAATACAAAGGCCCCAGGTAAGAAGCATCTGTTTTCATGCATTTCTTTTTGGTTTTGCTTAGGTCATGGATGCATCGACTGCGGGCGTGGAGCGGCTTGTCATCGAATGAGATGTCGGCGCTGGCCCTTACCCCGAAGAACTCCCAGGTCAATATTATGCTGCGTTCCATGCAGCTGCCCCGCCCTACCCCATGTCACCCAAGTCGCCCGTATACCCAGATGTCAGGAATTCGTTGTCATGCAAGTTTCACTCGGGCTGCTCAGCCTTGCATGCTTGTACAGAGCAACCTCCACCTGAGAGAGGATGCAAAACGCATGTGGCGGATTAGCAAGACATCTGTACTAGTAGTTGCTGGCCCGGTGCATAGTGGTGTAGAATAGTGTGGATGGTCGCAAGAAGTCGCAGGCTGCTCAACCTAGGCTCAGGTGTAGGGATGGGCAGCACGCCCTGCGCCTGTGCCCTGTGAAGAGAAGTATGATACTCCTGTTTCACTGAGCCGTGGTGCTGCTAACATTGCGAGAAGATTCAAAAAACATGCTACATGCAGTTCTCCCCGAAACCCTTAAAAATCATGTCGGCTGCTGCATGCGTCTCGGCTCTTGCGATTACGTCGTAGCTTGGCTCGAAATGGTCGGCACGGTTGCCGACCACTTACACGGAACATAGGAGCTCGACCAGACAAAACTTATGAGACGGGACCCCTCGCATACCCTCGTATTTTGTAATGGACGCCCCTAAACACTCAGACTGCCCAGCAGTCCAATCGCTTTGATGTATATGTAGCCCCCTTCGCTCGACTCTCCTGCATTACCATGCTAGCTGCTAGTAACTGGTAGTAGGCGCTTCGCCATGGAGTACTGCACGAAGTGCACACGGCCGAAGACGCCATACGGCCAACTCCCGAGAAAGTCGTGTGGCCATCACGGAAGAGTTGCAAGTTCAAGACCGGACGGGAAGTGCGGCTGTCTGGTACTAAGAACGGTAGCGCTCCGCGACCCGCCTCGGCCCTTCCCAGCGCAGCTCCCTCAGCATGTGGAGCCCGCAGCCACGAAGGGCTATGTGCTCAAGCCAAGGACATGCCAAAGCCCTTCATCCCCAAGGGGCGACGTGTCACCCGCGTCATTCACTCACAAACTCAGCTTGTGCAAAAACAAACAAGTGTGATACTTTGTAGAGGGGGGCACAGTCCCCACGAGTCGGGAACGAGGCGGGGGGGGGGCACGGAGGGGGGGGTGGCGTGCGTGGGCAAAATGCTCCGTGCTGTGCGTCGGCTCCCGCACACCTGTTGGCTAGGGGGGGGGGGGGTGAAGAACCCATTTCAGCCACAAAGTGGAGGGGGATTAGAGGTGGGGTGCCCGCTTTATGCTCCCAGACACCTACAGCCCAAGGCCTCGGAGGATATTGATCACGCCTCCGCTTCTGCCATGAGCGTAGACTGATGAATCCCAGCGAGCATGACTTTCCACTGAGCTTAACAGATACACTGTACTGAGCGGCAGCTGCTAAACCAACTCTCTGTTCTCTCGGCGACGAAGGTCGGCGTGGGTGCTACCATGGGTGACCTTGCAGAGATCCTGGCGGGCTGTGGCGACTTCAGCCGACTGTTGGGCGACTTCCTACGCGAGCCGACAGCATCATCAGGCGAGATTTCATTTGAGTCTACATCTTGTTCGGAGGGACCAGCGGACGACTCATCTAGGTTCGTGCTCAGCCATATATGCCATTATACGCCTCTACACCCGTGGTTGCTCGGCTAGTGCTAGTGACTGCCAGTGCAGGCCTTGCTGATCTGGTTCAGCAGGCGCAACAGTTGGCAGAAGGTGCCCCATGACATGAGACTTTGAAGTTTGCCTTCACATCACATGTACACAGGTGTCGCAAAGTTTCAGCATTGCCTCCAGGCAGGGCTCTGAAGGTACTTACAGCGTGTTTATATGTTTTATTTCATGCAGTCAAGACCGAAGCAACATGTAGTCCAAGTGCGGACACGGGAGTTCACAGACGAGGATCACATCCAGACCATCAGGGCGGCTCTTGTGTGCTTTTTGCAAAGACAGCCGACAAACTTGAATGTGTCGCAACTGGTTTCCCTTTTGAACATGAGAAACATGTTTAGAGCCTGTACGCCAATTGCCCGCATTAAATGGCGAAGAACCGAACAGTTCTATTCTTGGCTGCACACTGAAAAGAAGCCACGAGTCTTGGACCTTGAGAACCTAACCCGACGCCGGCTGCGGTCAAGAAGCTCAGCTTGTTGAGATATGGACCGCAAGACGGGTCCAAGAGCTAAGCTGCCAAGCAAAACAAATGCCAGATTCTTGTGCGGTTTTTGGAGCTAGTTAGTGCGCACAGCTCCAAAAAAGAGGTCGTTTTTCGAACGTGTTGCTTTGGGATTGTCGAGTGTTCAGCGATGTTGAAAGGTCAATCTTCCCGAAGTTGCACACACGCCTTGGCTCTCTAAGCTCTCTCAACGCCCTAAGGGCCCAAACATGTCCAAACCCTTCCAACGCATCCTCTGGGCTCTGAGGAGGTGCGGCAGGGCGATGCTGCACCGGCTTCGAAAGCAGTACGCAGGCCGCAGAAACATGGGCCGTTGCATAATGGTAATGCGGTTCATTCGGTGCAACGGAGTACTGTGCCACTATGTATAGCGCTTCACAGAGAGAGGAGTACTCGGCCGCTCACACCATCTAGTGTCTCGTCATTTGCCAGGTAAGTCCTCGTGTGATTTGTTCCAAAGTACTTCTTTAGACTTATAGCCATTTACTTGTGGGATGTTTATTTTCTTGGGGGGAATTCTTAAATTCGTGTCCATTTTATGTCCTGCTGGAAACAGGTAAGCAGTTCTTTGAAAGTGAAGAGTATACTAGGCTTGTGCCTATCGTGTTGGCTTGCTAGGGCGGTGGACAAGCGACTTCTCGATCTACCGAGCACGCTCGAGGTTCGCAGCATTGCTCATGATGTCCGGCATGTGTTTGGACGGACCAGGCGATGCTTCTCAATATCCGTTGTCTGATTCTAATTGTCATCTCTCCAAACAATGATTCTTTTGTTGGTTCCTTCAGTGCGGCATGGCAAGAAGACGGGGTAATGTAGATACATTCATTGAAAAACATCCGGGGTCCATGTGGCAAAATAGTCTGCAGGGGGTCTGCAGGTGCAAGAGCTGCTTCGACAGCTGGATACGATCAACGGTACGATCCGTGCCCTCGACGAGGCCGGGCTTTGACGAGAGGGCTCTCTGGGCACACGCCCAGCAGTCTTGAGTCGAACGCAGATGATGGCTGCCGAGAGCATTCCGCTGGCCGACTGTTTCAGCATCGCACCCAGTCGGAGGCTCAGCGTGGGATGATGCTGCCTGAGCGAGAGCTTTGTCAGGTGGGAGCCCTTCATGATGCCTTTGTGCTTCCCCGCGAAAGTTCGCCCGAAACACATTGACATTCAGCTTAGTGCCCAGGTGCAGCGCTCTCTGCAGGGCACAGTGCATGGCACCCGGGCCCTCCTGAGGCGAGGGAGAATCTGCAAATGCGAAAGCACGGAAAGAGGGGTGTTTGCTGCTCTGACCTTTCTTGGAGGAAGCCGAAGCGGCACTCGTGCCAACGCCTTCAACCGTGCCAGGGCCCGAGAAAGGCCCGCAAAGTTCTTGAGCCGTAGGGTCGCCAACCCAGGCCGGCATGGCCCGGCCAACTTGGCCAACTGGTGCAGAGCTCCATCCCTCGCTTAGACCCAAGCCGGATCGACAAGCGGCGCTGCACCTCCACGGCGCGTGCTCTGTGTCTGAGGTGAAGCCGGGAGTCCTGTGCGCGAGTCGGGTGACCAAGGCAGGGGCACCGGGCCGAAAGTGCACTGTCATGGGCCGAACAATGTCCGTGTGACCCCTTCACATGGCTTGCAAGGTGCACTACCGGCAGAAGAGCCGCCAAGCGTCAGCGACCCAGGAGGTAATTGTGCCAACATTGGACAAAGTAGCGAGATGTAGCAAGTTCCGAAGTCGATTCTGAGGCCATGGTGTTGTGGCAAGAAGAGACCATGCAGATTCTGGCAGAACCACAAGATGTCAAAGGCCCCCCACGCATTGTAAGGTCCAAAACCAGCCTACTTGACAGCTGGGCATCATGTGAAGAGAAGTCTACATAATGCTTGCATCGTGCTGCCTCGTTGTTATTAGTGTCTTCTTCCGCGTAATGAAGAAAGCACAAGAGCCCGCACTTCGTTCCCCCAACATTATAATGCATGCGTTCACATGTTCACTTATAATATTGTGATCTCTTCGGAATAAATCTGATAATAAGAAGAGAGCAGTGAGTTTCGTTCATATAATTCGTACGTTTCGTGCTCTCACTTCGGTCACTTACAAACGCCCTCATTTTATCCTCTTCACGGTGTTCATTACATTCACATTTTTTAATTTTATTAACCTATCCCGCGTGCATATTGAGAATACGAAGTGCTCACGCGGCAATATAAATGACCCTGCGAAAAAAGAGAAATACAGAAGCGCCCGGAAATTTCGTTCATTCAATATTGAATTTCGTGCATCAAGAGGGGTCTGTACCCACGACAGGTACAAGAAACGTGGGCTTCAGCCCGGGAATCCGCTTTTTCAAGCCTTAGAGGCCCTTAAGAGCTCCCAAAACCGGATTCCCGAGCCGTTCTTCGGTCCATTAGGCCATTCCAGCGTGTTCTGTAGGACCATGCAAACCAGGCCGGGAATCCGCTTTTTCAAGCCTTAGAGGCCCCAAAAAATCCCAAAACCGGATTCCCTAGCCATTTTTCGGCCCACTAGGCCATTCCAGCGCGTTCTGTGGGATTCTAAGCCCCAAACCAGGCCAAGCCGAAAGGCCGCTTCCGTCTACCTCCAAAGCCTAAAGCCAATGCAGCTTGCAAGCCCTGTTCAGCATGTGCTTGTCGTGTTTTTGTGTGCTTTTTTGTCGTGGGTCCAACTCTCTTATCATCTTATAATGTACAAATTCAATATCAATTTCTCTACCTAATAGTATTCATCAAGGGCCCAGTAAAAAGTGCCAGGCCCGGGTGGCATTGCCGCGAGTAGGGGGTTGTATCGAAACCGTTCTGCTCTTCGTTGCACTGCATGCCACTACTCCCAGTCCGCGAGGAAGGGTACGAACCAAGAGGCTCCGACAACGGGTATGTATCAGCCGGGGTGGGGGTGGGTGGGGGGTCGATGGCAAGACCTGTTTTGGTCTGCAGGTCCGGCCTTGTCGGGCCGGCGCCTCGCCAATGCGGAAGACACAGCAGCCGCCTTGGACGGCATGCGGGGGAAGTGAAGGGCTGGGCGGTTGCAGATTGGGAAATGTCGTGGCAAGGTACAGGTGGCTTCGCTGCTCTGCTCGCCGGGATCTCCGGGCTCTCCTCCGGCCCTGCAAGACGGAGATGGGCCACGGGTGGAGTCGCAGGCGCTGTTTCAGGTTGTACCAGTGGGCTCTGAAGACTTTGGCGCTGCAGGGGATGCCAAGAATCTCGAAGACGATCCTGTCCTGGCTCTGAAGGCGCTCCCAGCAGTCCCCACCCGAAACTCCCTGCCGTTGCCCGCCTGCCGGCGTGTGGCATCACGCCCCTCCAAGCGCAAGTCAGCTCTTCCACAAGTTCCTCGGCTTCCTCCACTTCCTCCGCTCCCGGACGGTGATCTCATTGAAAGCTTCTCGGATAACCCAGTGCATAATGCCCTGCAAGACCTTCCTGCGACCGGGCAAAAGCTGCAGGATCAAGATGGATCAGAGCCGGAGCCAAGCAAGGCAAGCAAAGGGGCAAGCGAAGGGGCAAGCGATGCGGGTGCGGCAAGCCTGTACAGAGGACCGGAAGAAGCTGGGCCCACAGTCAGAAGCCCTGCAGGTGTCACACCAAACTGCGCGAGGAGTCCGAGGACCAGCGCATCCAGAGGCAAAGCGGACCGGAAAAGCCGGACCAACAAAGACAAAGGCAGCTCGTCCCGGTTTCAGGGCCGTATAATCGATGTCACAGACTTTGATGGCAGCGACTACGCCGAGCCAGCGAAGCGCAGGAGGCTTGGACAAGACAGCAGCGAGAGGCAGGTTGTGCAGTCGGACCAACTTCAGCTGGTGCTCGAAGAATCCGCTGAGGCTGCCGCCAAAGAAAGCTCGGGAAGTCAGAGAAGTCAGAGAAGTCAGAGATCCTCTCAAGGCAAGAAGCTGCAGCGGGTGGTGAAGCCACAGCAAGGTTCCAACGATGGCAGAGTCGCGCGGCGAGCGCGGCTGCTGCTGTCCCAGCGCTTCTTGTCGCAGCACCTGTCACAGCTATCACAGTGCCTGTCACAGCGGATGGCATCAAGCCGGCAAGGCCGGCAAGGCCAAGGCCGGCAAGCCGCATGCCGGGGTGCCGGCCGTCGCAGGGGCTGGAATCTGGCGAGGCCCGTGCAGCAATCGCCACCCCTACCAGCCCAGCCAGCCCAGCCAGCGCAACCGCTGCAGCCAGCGAAACAGGTGTCTGGAGCTCCAGAGCCTCCCGGCCTGGCCTCAGCGGCGCCGGAACGGCCCGACGTGCTGTTCACGGGCTTTGCGCGAAGCGATCTCCACAACCTTCGCAGCATGGTGAACTGCCTTGGCGGTCTGGCCGTGAGCTCTCTGACGGGCGGCCGGAGGTCCAACGTCCGACTCATAGTCCAGAGCACGCGAAGTGAACGAAGCGAGGAACGGCAAGTTGCAGCTATGAGATCCGTCAAGTACATGGAGGGAGTTCTTGCTGGTGCCTGGGTTCTTTCACCCGAGTGGGTGCACGCTTCCATGCGAGCAGGACACTGGCTTCCCGAGGCGCGCTGACGCAGGATTCGAGCAAAGCCCTCACGCCAATGACACCAATGTATCTAGTGCATCGGAGGGTTATCCCTCGGTATACCATGAGTCATACTCGATCCTCGTCTTCAACCGTATTCCTCCTCTTCTGTTTCCACTTTAAGTCGATTAAGTCCTTCGAATCAGGCCCGCTTCGAGCTGGCTGGAGATCAGCACGCTTTGGGTGGCCCGGCTCGGGGCCGGAAGCACGGCCCGGAACTCTTCCGAGGCTGCCGCTTCCACTTCGTCGCCTGGGCCCCGAGCCACACAGTCACTGCAGTTGGGGTGCCGCTATGAAGCAGTTCAGATTCCATTAGATGATGGGCTGCGGGGACACCAGCGAAAAATGAGCCGCTTCTTTTGTGAACGTGGTGGTTCTGGTGTTGCGTAGCGCTACCGAGGCCATCCCGCGTGGGAAGAAGGATGTGCAGGTTCTTCAGAAGAGCGTGGAAAGATGTGCAGAGATGCAGAGAGAGAGGGAGAAAGGAGCTTCAATGTCCCTGCGGGGGTTTTGGCCTCTGCAGGACAAGTCTTGTCCGAGCATTGCTGAGGAGGACCGCTCCACTCTCGGAAGAAAGCCCGTGACCTCGGCAGTAGGCTGCAGGTTTCAGCTTAGTATTCACATCCTCTAAGAACCGTACAAACTCTAGCACTCAGCGAGCTTTCCAGGGGAAATGCGAGGTACGCTCACGAAATTAAGCTGCAAATTTGAGGTGGCCGCGAGGTAACTTAGTTCAAAATTCACAATGGTGGGCTCGAATCGTGGCGTCATCTCAGCAAGGCTCTTGGGATGCCCTGAAGGCTGAAAAGCTCGGAAACGCTGGCTTTGTGAAATGTCAGGATCGGAGCCTTTCCAATCCAGAGGCCTCAAGCACAATCAACCTGAAAAGGTTCAACGACCCGAAATTTCGGGTCCTTACAGTTTGGAAAAACAACCGCGCGTCGTTTGAGCCTTTGCCTTTTGGGGGCTCCCAGAGCTTTTCTGCGGGTTTCCTAACCTAGAGGCCTCGACTCAAGATCCCCCAAAAGTGTAAATTTGGAACCTGCGGACTGGTTCTGCAGTGCCTCGGTTTTGTAGGGCTTTGGCTTTGATTGAAGCCATTGTAAGGTACTAATTGAGGTAAGCGTGAGAAATTCGCGAGGCATGCCTGCTTAACTTTACTTTCGAGTTACAGACCTGGAGGTGCAGGACGTGAAGTATTATGGTCTGCCCAGCTAAGAATCTCCAAGCCATCTCAAACCACATCTCCGCAAAATCAGCTTGGAGGAAGGGCCCACACCAAGCCAGCTCAGCCGAGTGGTGCGACGTGGAGGCGCCCAGGCCAGCGCAGGGGAGTGCTTAGCGGCCCTCAGCATCGGGATTGTGCACAGTTCCTGTGTTGCAAACAGACGCTGGGTGAAGGCATGACAGACATGACATGAAAAGATGCAGTACTTGCGTAGGTCTTACTTGGTCTCGGACGGTAGCTCACATTCTGACCCTGCATCCGGAGTTGCAGCATGTTGCGGCGGTTCCGTATCCTCAACGTCGGCATCAGCGCTGACATAGCGGTGGTAAGGGCCACTTGTGTAGAAGTGCTGCTCCTCCATCATTGGGAGGTCTTGGAGGCCCTGCAAAAGCTCCCGGATGCTGAGGAGACGGTTTCGCTTCCTGCAGTTCCGTTGGCAGCAAACGCCGAAGTCTTGCTGTCACAATTTGGTTCTGATGTAGACATTGCCACCTACGCAACGAGGAGGATCCACCCCACTTGGCCTCAGCAGTGCTGCAAGCCTCCAGGTGCACCATAGCAGGAACAAGCATCACCGAAGCCCCACCTTTCACAGCATCCCTACAGTAAGCCCATGTAAGCTGCATTCTTGTTGGTGTTCTGGAGGTCCAGAAAGCGATCAAGCGCTTCAAGCTCAACCCAGGCATTGAGACCCCAGGGCGAAATCATCAGGGTGTCAGAGTTGACCGCAGAGTCTGTAGAGTGCTGTAGAGTGCTGTAGAGTGCTGTAGAGTGCTGTAGAGTGCTGTAGAGTGCTGCGGCTTCCACTGCCTGCTCATTGGATCAGTGGCCATCTTCGAGTCTTCCACTTGGGTGTAGTTTAGGGCCTGGGGGGCCAAGAAGGTGAGCAGCTTGCCACGCTTCTGGCACCGAGCTCGGTGGGTCCGAGAAGGCGACGTGGTGCAGTGGGGATGGGGTCTTCCGGGAGGGCGGTCCCAGGTGGCGGAAACCCATCATGGTCAGCGTCCCCGGCAAGGCACCAGCCGTGATGGCAAGCTAACGCAGAATCAGAAGCCTGTGTGCTCACGAAAAGGAGCATCAGGGCAGCCGCCGCTCCGCAAAGCTGGCCAAGGAGCTGGGGCCAGAAGCCTACGGAAGCCTGTAGCCCGCTTCACGTGTCCGCCCAAGTTGAGGCGTTTGAGATTTTCTGCAGCATGCAGCCATTCTGTGCGCCGAGGTGGGTGTCCATGCCTGCTGAATGGCTGTATGACTGCATCTCTCATGGAGAGGCCCGCTTTCTGGCAGTCATTCAAAACGGTAAGCAGGCCGCTGTTTTGGTCCCTCCCTTGGAAGGTTAATCCCAACAGACATGAAGAACTGATTGCTGGTTTCTAAAAATTTTGCCACCTTCTTCAACTCTCCGAATCCCAAGTCTCACGGCCAGATCTGCCTGCCGGGCAATTGCGAGAGCGAGTAAGTCGCTCTCAAGGCTCCCCAGCACATGAGTGAGTGAGTCTGAGCAGTCCGGCTCGTGTTGCAGCAGGCACCCGGAGCAGATGCCGGTCAACCAGTAATTAGGATGCACGCAGGCCTGCCGTGGCTTCCTTGTCATGACTCTCATGCTTTCGCCGCGGTTAAACGGGGGCAACGGCTGCTGCAGCTCTCTGCCTGAAGCTCTGCTGCCGGTGTAGCTGAAGCAACAGCAATCCTGCGCTTCGCCAGGGAGCCTTGTGGGGGTTTCTCAAGGCAGTTTTCCTGGCCAAGGATGACGAGGCACCGGTGCCGCTCGCACGTGACGGCATGTCACGACTCTCTCAGAAGCAACGGAGCAGACCTTGTTGCCAGGCCGAGGCTTCTCGCCTGCCATTTGCTACGAAGCAAAATGGGGCGCAGTGATTGCGAGTGAAGAGGTGTTGCACAAAACAGGTTGAATCAAGTTCAGTTCAAAGACGACTTCAGCAAGGCCAGAAGCAAAATCGCAATTGACGAACTCAAAATGCCCCCCCCCCCCCCCCCGCCCCCCCAACCCCCCCAATAGTCGAGTGAATTTGTAGGGGCTGCGTGAATCCCGACGGGCATGACAGTGGCAGTAGGCGTAACAGAAACAGCAACAGCAACGGCAAGCAAGATCATGGTAACAACGACGGCGGCGGCCGCGGCCGCGGCGGCAGCAGCAGAAGCCGCCGCCGCAGCAGCAGCGGCGACGGCGAGGGCGACGGAGACGGCGACGGAGACGACGACGCGGCGACGGCGACGGCCATGAGCAACAGCAAGCAGCAAGCAGCAAGCAGCAGCAACCACACGTGCAAGCAACGAGACCCTGGAACACCAGCTAAGCAAGAACAAGCAACCCAGGTAGCAATCAAATGGCCAAATTCAGAGACGTAAGTACACGGAAGGAACACAACATTCAAAGCAACAACAGCAGCCACAAGAAGCGAGCACAACACTATAGGCCAGCAAAGTGCAAGTTATGGAGCTAGGCTTGAGTTTTCGTCTTGATTGCATCATAAGAATAGGTCAGCGACAGATCCAAGGTGATGTCGGGTATGGGGCGCTTGAAGTTGGCTAAGTGCAGAAAGGGCACAAAAAAGCAGGGGGCATGGGCAAGTCCACCGCACTCACAAGAGGCGGCGTTGTTCGCAAGCACACCTTGCGTGCACACAGGGCTTGGGGTGACACAAGGCTTCAGACCTAAGCTCTGAGACAGAAGCTTCACAGAGTGTGTCAGAGCAGGGCGGGCGTGCGTTTTGGTCGGGGCGTTGCGTGTAGTTCTGTTTACGGGCGTCTTGCAGGAAGCAGTACAACACCGAGGGCTAGCTTTCGTTGGTCTCCGCTTGCTCCTCAAGTAAGAAGGTAACATGCAGATAAGCACCACAGGGAGTGAACATGATGCAAACAGGGGCAGAGGACCCGGAAGCTCTCGTACCGTTCTATTGTAAGCATGCGAGATGCCCATCCCTTGTAAGCCAAGGAAGCAAAGTGTTTGCACTGAGGCTCACCTGACGGCAGGTACAATACAACTTGAGATGAGTTTTGTAGTGGCAGCGAGACAGCCTCAGGCAAGTCAGAGTCTACGAGGGTCCAAGTTCTGTTCACCACTCCTTCATGACTCTTTCGTAGGGTTACCACATCTCGAATTACACACCAAGATTTGTCCCCATGGTGCAATGGGAGAAGCAAATTGAAGAGCGCAGTGTTCCAGAGTGGCGCGTGGCGACGGCACGTACTAGCTTGCCCTGCTTGCCCTGGCGGCTACAGTCGCAGTCATGTGCTTGCTGCCGCAGGTAGGGCTTGTGACTTGTGGAATATAGCCCTCGCCGAGGTGTGAAAACCGAAAACCTAAGCCCTAGAACATCGTAGGACATCTTAGAACATCGTAGAACATCCTGGAGCGCTAACCCTTCTTTATCCCTGCTTCGGCCCCCAAGCATCCAAGGGATAACGCAAAAAGATGCAACAGAGGTGTAGTTCTGGGAATTCCTCTTCTGCACAATAAAATGTCTGATTCGACATCCGACTGAAGATGGCCAGGAGAAGTATGTGGCGTACGCGCGCCTCAAGAGAAAGTTGGCGAGAAGCCCGGGGAGAAATGAGCTCGAGCATGAACACTAGTCTGACCTGCACAAGCCAGTAGAGACAGGTAGGTCGGGATCAGGCGCGCACGTACATCCCAGGACCCCAGATTTGAGATCATGCTGAGGAACAGATCAAGGCCGCCACAGTCAGCGAGGAGGAGCTTCGGATTCCTGCGGATGCAGCGTTTATGTTTTTCAAATTTTTGTCTCTGAGTGCATGCTGTATGACTCTTGCAGGAATTCATCGCCCGTTCGATAACTCGGGCTGCAATGGAGAGCGACAATGAGCGGCATCGAGCTTGGCCTCGTTAATCTCTGCTACTTCTCAACTCTGCTACTTCTCAACTCTGCTACTTCTCAACTCTGCTACTTCTCAACTCAGCTCGTGGTCATGGTGCACACGCAGAATTGACTTGAGAAACGCTCTGCTTATTTTGTAGCTAACTATGCCGACTCGAAGGTCTCGCCCGTCGAGCAAAGAGATCGATGCAGAATCTCCGCTCCTTCATGGAGAGGACGGCGTTCTCATGTCTGACGCTGAAGCTGACTACCTCGTAATGTTATCGGAGCTTAGTCGCAAGTCACGCAAGAGCATGCTGCATCGGACTGTGCGTACAGCCATCAGGCTCGAGTTTTTTGCTCAATGCACATCCATGTGTTGCTGGTGTCTGTTCTGATTCTACACCTGCAAGCAATCCGGGATGACCACTTTGCATACCTGGATGCCGCTTGTCTGAACGAGTCCAGCTTCGCAAGCAGATGCAAGTTCAGGGTTCAGGGTTTGCGCATGGCTCGCACTTGCTGCATTTCCGAGTCGCTTGTGCGCTGTGCTTGAAGCCTCCCAAATGCCATGAGCCCCCGGCAATTTCGTTTTTTCATTTTCATCCGGTGTTTCTGCAGCGCAGGTAGATGCAGACAATGCAGCAGCCACGAGCACGTGTCCGGAAGCGAAGATCGTGTCCAACACGTCCGTCCCAACAGTGCTTCTTGGTCTTGTTGGTCTGAACTCCTTGTTCTGCTTTCTGTGGTGCTCTGCAGCCATGCTTGTCTTTCTTGGACCTCCTTTTTGATTCTCACCAGGTTTGAGCTGAACTACAGCTATGCACGGGACCTCGACTTCATGGATGACTGGGCCCTGAAAGCATACCCCAGCTGCGTGGGCCCTGCCACGTGCTCTGCCACAGTCTCCCCTGTCATCAACAGTGCCTCGCTGCAACCAGGTAAATCCCTCAAGATCGAACAAAAGCCGTTTAGACTCTGACACACATGAAAAAAACCCATGCCATCACGTGGGGCGATATTGGACGCAGCAGGCACTGACCCCTTTGTTGGCTCGAAGGCGCGACAAGGGCTTCTCTCGGACTCCCGATTGAGTGGGCCTAAGGTGTTTTGCCTCCGTGGCAGTTCTTGGGCCTTTCAGTGTCTCTGTGGTGGTAACGATTCAGTCACCCTGCACCCGAAACAAATGCCCGAACTTGCCGTGCTTGGATCTTCAGTTCCATGCGAGGCGCTGATCACGGCATGGTCCGACTGTCAGCTGGCCAAAGGCTCACAGCTCTTCCTCTGCGGGAGGCATGCCACGAGCTGCGCAGTGGCCCGGCTCCAATGTAAGCTGCAGGGTCTCTGTGGGGGCCTAAACAGTTCCAAGCCGTGCTTCCCTTGAACAGCTGCTGAGTGTATATCATTGTATATCACCTGCACATGCGAGGCAGCGGTCACGATACCTACCGGCTTCTCGCGTCTCCGGCATCTTCTCAGCTACTCAATCTCGGCTCGAAGGTCACCGGCCTGGTTAGGCACATACTTCCCACCAAGGTTTTTTTGTTTCTTTTTCTCCGGGGTTCGGCTGCATGGCCTTGGGAACCTTTGTGTGACAGAATGCCCAAAACCGCCCGAAGCCAAATGTGTCTACCTCGCAAACAACCTTGTGGTTTGTGCTTTGAGTTATCTTCCGACCTCCTCAGGATGCAGCGCCTGGATGCCATGCACAGCATCTTCCAAGATTTCGTGCTTGAGGGCCTGATGCTACTGAATGCCATGGCGACGATTGGCAGCTTGCTGGAGGATAGTCATGCTGCATTGCCGTGAGTGTGTATGAAAGGAACCTTTGAATCTTGAAGGCTTTCCTTCTGATTCTGAGGTGCTGTCTTCTGGCTGGTGCGAGAGCTCTACATGCTCTTTGCGATGCCCGCCTTTGACCTTCGTGCTATTGATGTGGATGAGCATCTTGTTATCCCCGAAGCTCCTTGGTTGCGAATGCGTGAGGAAGGCTTCGATTTTCATACCAACCGACGCCAATCAATAAGCGCTCCATCACCCATCAAAATTATGATGCTTCAGTCTGTCGATGCTTTGGTTCACCCATTTCGACCCCCGAGGGCCCTTGATACCCTTTGGAGAACCTGTGGTTGCACGTGCGTGCTTATGCACTCAGTCTTGCACTTTCCGGGCGATGGCTTTTCTAATGTCAGCGTCCCAGGCAATCGACATCATGCTTGAGGGCATGCTGGATGCGATCTGTTTCGTTTTGGGCTGTATGCTCCTCTTGCTAGCTGCTTCGACATTCCTGAAGAAGTTCGGGAGCAACGACAATCCGACGGATGCCATCATCCTGACTTATCCGCTGATTTTTGGACCAGCTGCTTTGCTGCGCATCTTCTTGTGTATCAGCCGAAGGCTGCTGTACCATACCTTATTCAAGCATGGCGTGATCATCGACTTCAGCACAGGCGTGTCTCAGCACGACTTCCTCCTCACGTGGTCCTACCTGGGCTTTGCTGTTGCGGTGGGAATTTTGGGGTTGGACGCCTACCGGCACGTGCATGAGGGGAATGTCACGGCCAAGGCTATGACGATCAACGCGATTGTGTTCACCTCGCCACTGTACTACATGGTATCCTCGTTGCTGAACTCCCTTCGGCTGGAGCAAGAAGCCATCCAGCGCATGTGCTTGCAAAAGCTGGGGACAGGCCACGGCTCCGAAGAGGTATCCCCATCTGCCACGCACAAGCTCTGCCCCATATCTGAGGGCGGTATATGCAGTGCAGCGCGCGCGAGGACAGACCTGCACGTGAGTATCAAGGTGGCGAAACAAGATGCTAGCAGCAACGAACGTTTTGGGCTGCGGGACATGTTTTGGGTACCACGGCTTGTGTCGGGTACTGGCCGATCCACTTGCGGAGCACTGCTATTGGTGATGTCCATGCCAACCATGGCAATCCTGACCATGCTCTTGGCGTTAGTTAGCATTTGGCCATCGATTCGAGCAAACCTTGGTTTGTATACAGTAGCAGTTGTTAAAGCCCATTTGTGAACCGCAACCTTCAAGCGCCTCGAGTGAGTAGTGCAACTTGCAGGTATGGCATGGTTCATCAAGCACCGCACCGATGTGCCAGAGATCACATCAATCGTGGCCGATGTGCCTGGACTGCATCCGAACTTCACGCCCGAGGTACAAGACTATTCGCCCCTTGGAGGTGAGCTAGTAAGTCCTCTGTCGATGTCGAGGCGCAGTCTTTAGCAAACTCAATTTCGGGTTTATCTGAGGCTGTTTATTCTGGATACCTACACTGGCTTCACGCTGACGTCCAAGGCTGATCCAGAGCGAACAACTTTTCTAAAGAACAGAGCTCCTTGACTTTGCCAAGCCCTGCCGTGCTGCGAGTGAGGAATTGCTAGACGGGAGACTGTCGGGGTTTCGCAGCTGGAGCCTTGGCACCGCCGGTCTCAGCATGAGCAAAGGTTTTCGATGGATCCTCAGAGATCGATGACGCGTCTGGTGAATCAAGTTCTGGTGTGTTCCCAGATGCAATGCAGCAGCTGCATGAGCAGTTTTCATCATGTTGGCCCTGCACAGGGCTTCCACGCAAGGCACAGCAAGGGATCTAACATGCAAATTGCTGCAGCAAAATAGCAAGATGTGACTTGTGAAACCTGACTGAAACTCCGAGGCTGATTCATACGGTGCCATTACGCCGCGTGAATGCCTCTTATCCCACAATCATTCACCTTACTGCTGGCACCTTCAGCCAGGCCCAGCCGTGGGAGTATGAGCGAATGGTAGCGGGAAGCCTAAAGTCAAGTGACTTGGACAAGGCAAGAGCCCGTAATGTTCAGCTACGGCTGAGCACTGTCTCCGAACTGGCCAGTGCAAGCAAACGTATGTACTGCTTGAGGTGAGTTCTGTATGTTACGGTCAAGGGACTGTGCTATAACCGAACACCACGAAACGGAGCACATGTTAGCCGAAATTGCAGGTGCAGACGTACACGATTACAGTGGTCCACGTCATGCCCCACTTCAGCCCGGCTCTCTGAGTTCGCAGTGGCATTCAGGGTGAATTTTCCCTTGAGGTTGGCACACTCACAACTCGGATCTAGTCGGTTTCAGCCAAGTGCCATAAACATCATAAGAAGCTTCGACGGGCCAGGGTTTTGCGAAGCCCGTGCCGTTTTCATTCAAGCCGCACGTGTGTGAGTTAAGCTGACGATCCGACTATCCAATCTGCGTGGCTCGCATGTCAAGTGCAAGCCTGCCAGGAACATTGATGCTCACAGGAATTCTGGACAATGGTGAGGAGTTTGAAGAATGCAATTCGGGCAAAAACGTCGAGAGAAGTGCGCTTGCGATTCCGGACAATCTGGTCTCACTGCCGCTTGCCTTCCTAGCACCAGAAGGGAGGGAATCCAGCACCCTAAACACGAAACCCTAAAATCCTGCACCGGCAAAGTTTTGCAAGGGCGCAGGCGGGAATCTTGCCGCTTGAAGTAGGCGTCTGCCGGGGACGTGGATAAACCCAGGGCTGCATGCCTCAGTGAACGAATGGGGAAAAAGTTCCTCCCATATGACGAAGAGGAAACGGAATCAAACACATACACACACACACAAGAAAAGGAGCAATCCCAAAGATTACCAGACTCCGAGCATGCAAGAAACACGTTGAAAGAAGCTTCATCGGTTGAGAGGGCTGGTGAGCTCCTGCAGTCAAACTGCGAGGCGCGTGGAGGCAGCTTTCGACCAGTTCTACTTTGGCATACCATATCGCAATGTACGAAGTGGCAGAGTTACGACCGTGTTCAAGACCTGGAACGAAGACACAAAGGCCGCCATTTGTACAGGGCTTGTCGGAACTTGAGCTGCTTGTCATGGCTGTGCATGTGGCAGCAGTGCTGCCTTGTGCGACGGGAGGTTGGTAAGTGGCGCTGTGAGGGCTGGTGTCAACGGGAGCTGTATTGCTTGGGCTTCCAGGAGAGCCGTGAGGGCCACTTGGTAGCAACAGCTTGCGAATTACAGACGAGAATGAGTCGAATGACTAGAGGAAGGCTCAGCTGCGCAGCGTCGCTGCAGGTTGTTTCTTCGCGATGGCTTCCGCAGCAGCACTTCGCTGCGATGCGGTTCTCGACACGCAGAGTCGTAGCCGGCCCTATCGTGAGATTCTCAACTTGACTGCATCTTAGCTGCAAATAGGCGGTGTGCCGAGATTCGTGCGATTCGTGCTGAGCTCACCGTCGCGCCCTGGTGTGGCCTTCCGTTGCCAGTGCCGTGCATGCCATATGCAGTGCCGCAGTGCCGATGTGAAGTGGCTTCGAACTGCGGAGCGGAGGTCAACTCTTGCCATGCACTTTCAAGCACATCTTTTCAAGTCCTTTTCAAATCCTTTGCACTGAGGCACAGATCTGCAGCGCCAATAGCCCGACCTGCCTCCCAGAGATCAACACGGAGTCCGGCGTTGTACGTGCAGCTGAGTCTGAAATAGTCTGAACTTATGCGGGCTGCGTTCAAGACTGCGACCCGAACTTTCGCTCTAGGCAGACATCTCAGCGCTCATTCTTCACGACGGTGTGGTGGAGCAGATCCCAGCCGTAATGTTCAAGGCTGGGCTGGAAGTCCAAGTTTCTAAGACGCTCTCTGTGTGAGAAGGCCGCAGAACTCCAAAAACACTTTCTCAACAATCCTAGGTCCTAGAACTAGAACATGACCTAGAAGTTTTGGCCTCAGGGTGTTTAAGGTGCAGGTATTCCCGCAACACATGTTGAGTATCACCAATCTCCAGCTTTTCTCCTGAAGGCAACCTTGATTTCGGCATCGACTTTGCACAACTTTCTCCAGCAGAAGGCTGGAATTCAGGGTCAGACTTGGATGAGGTCCGTTGTCGCTTCTCCTCTTGGAGCATCTACGCCTTCAACATCGCCTTTGCATGAAGGTTGCAGTTCCAAGAGGAACCTTCAAAGCCCCCCACTCCGACTATGCTGTCCGCATGCCACACCTTGCCGCGCAGCCCATTCCACCCACTCCACCTCCTCCTTTGCCTGGAGGTCTCCTTCCAGCTTGGCACTCCAAGTGTTCGTCTCCTGATCAGAAGTGCTGACGCTGTCAAGTTCAAGTATGAAACCCTCGCTGCAGAAAGGATGCCGTGGGTCGCTCCTTGTAGCTGCAATAGTTTGTTTAGGCAGCTGTTGCTGGTGCTGGTCGGCCGCAGGTTCACCAAAATCCAGCTGTCTGTCAGCCACTCCTACATATGCATTTTTTTTCAGACGCGACATGCTGAATGCAAAAACAGCATCTTCTGAATCGTATCTCTGACCTGAGGAAAACCACAACATGGGCCCTGCACAGAAGATTGCAGTGTCCCTGCCGCTGGGAAGATACTTCAGGTATCTTCAGATTTCTTCGCGTTGCACATGAAGCATTGGGTCTGAGCATCGAAGAGCCCAAGCCTAAACGCCAGCTCAATTCCGATACTGAATTAGTCCGGCTTGACATGCACCCGACGTCTTTTCGTCAAACTTGTGATTTGCTGGAGATTTGGCTGAAGCAAAGGAGCTACAACGCACTCGATATGACAAGCCCGAACGTCACGGTGTTTGTTGCAGCACTCTTCGATGACGAGGCCTGCGCACGCGCCAAACTCGGAACAGCGACCATAGGCCAACACTCGGCCATCACAAATAGAAGGGGTCGCGTCCTGCGTGGAAAGCGCGCCGGGCTTGCAGTGACAAGTGTACCGGACGGCATCAGTTTCTCATAGACCTTAGCATTCCTCCACTGGCATGGGAGTTTCAGGATTTCTATTTGGAGTGGGCGTCTGATCAGCCCGAAGTGCTCGACCCGTACAAGATCTGGGTCATCTTTCCAGAATGTGAGAGTGGCTTGTCATACCGAGATGGTTTGCTGCTCTGGAGCTGCCCCTGTGTCTGGAAAGGAATTGATGGAGGTTAAACTTGTGCTCTTCATTCTGTCCTGTCGAGACACAGCTAGGCAGTGTGTGCCACGGCCTTCATGTGCAACTCTTGCGCAGAGTACAACAGCAGATGTTTGTTAAATCTTAGGTGAAGAGATGGCCTTGTACGATGCCTGCGGGGGCTCTTGGAACACGAGTCTGGGCCAAGCCCCTTTGGCTGTCAACTTTGGGGTGCAGTTCCGGTTCGGGGTTGCAGGCCCTTGGACTTGGTGAATGGCGCCAGTACTTGTGTCTTCTTGCGCTTCGGGACGCACGATGGGCTGTTGTGTGCTTTGTATGACAATGTACGGATGGTGCAGTGGGTGCTCGGAGTCTTCAATTGGCTAAGGCTTCAGTCAACAAGTGGTCGCCCGACCTCACCATGCGTGGTCAGATTCGATCGAAAGTCTCCGACAAGATCTTCAGGACCAGCGTCAGGGCCCATGCCGAAACGCAACTTGCTCATCACCACTGATGCCAATACCTGCAATGCACCCCAAAACATGTTATGCATGGTGACACCCATACGCAGCGCTTCTTTGGGTTGGGCTTGAGATGGAAGTGACGAACGCATACCAACATACTAGTGACTCGAGGAGAAGAAGTGCGAGAGAGAAGGCATGCAACTGTGTAGTTTGTAAGTGTTCCTGGCCAGGCCGCGCGAGCTGCATGTTTTCTTGAGCTTCGGGGGTCAGATCCAGCCGCTGCAGCATCTTGTACGTGAGAGCTGCAACGTGCCCATCTGCCGTGGAAACTTCGACAAGTGCTTCGCTACCTCATGCAAGTCGGACCAGTGCAAGGCAAGGTGAACTTTCACTGTAACGCATGTTATCTATACAAATACAAATACAAGTACAAATACAAATACAAAAAGAAATAGAAATACAAATACAAATACAAATGCAAATGCAAATACAAATACAAATACAAGCACAATATCATCCAGTATAATATACTATAACAGAATATTTCGCAAAATATTATATAATGGTATCATCTAAACAAAAGTATAATGTGATTTTGTAGCCGAGCCAGCGCTTCTCCGCCTTGGCCGGAATCGTTTTCGAAAGCCTGCTCGGCATGGGGTGCCCCAAACTTGTAAAGGTCTCTTTCCTTTCTGGGGCCCCCTCCCCCGCCCCTGACAAAAAGAGGGTACGCAGAATGTACCGGAAGCTTTTTTCAGTTTGCAGAGTCCTACCGGCCTGAAGAACTCAGCTTTATGGAGCATTCGGGGCTTTGGGACGTGAGGAACCTATCGTTTCGCGACTTTTTCGTTTTGGGTTCGCCACAGAACTTCTGGCGAGTTCCAGAAGGGACGGTCGATACGGGGAGGGTGACTAGAAGGAACTGGCCACCTAAATATCTAACAGCAACGTTCTTGTTTGGCTTCGGGTCTGTTTCCGGTTGAAACATGCATAAGCGTTGTAGAATGCTCTGCAGCCATGTCAAGAGAGAGGAGTTTCTAGGTGGAGGATGCCTCGTCTAGGGGTAGCTTCATGTCATGTCGATGCGGCAAGGAGGCTTGTCTGCAGGAGGCCTACAACTTCTGTTCAGATGAAAAACACAGAGGACCCTGCAAAAATTGGGGCTCAGGGAGCGATCAAGAGTGATGGGCCACGAAACAGATCCGAAGCTGAAAGCAAGGAGTCTGAATCTGTGTGAAGGACGCACTCTTGGGATGCTGATTCCACGCGAACACAGCACGTCAGCCCGGCTTTGGATGGCCCAGAAGAGGCCTGGCACTCACCAAACTTGTGTGACATCGTGTGACTATCCGAAGGGAATGGGTACAGTTCCGACCAGGCCTGCAAGCAAAGCTGTGTGATTGTTCCACAAACCCAGGTTCCGCACGTGGCTCCAAGTGAGGATTTTTCCAGAATTCGAGAAGCTGTTCACGATTGAGGCACCAAACGGTTGCAGAGTGCGTGTGCGGGTGCAGGTGCAGGTGCAGGTGCAGGTGCAGGTGTGTGTGTGTGTGTGTGTGTGTGTCTCTGTGTGTCTCTGTCTGTGTGTGTGTGTGTGTGTGTCTGTCTCTGTGTGTGTGTGTGTGTGTGTGTGTGTGTGTGTGTGTGTGTGTGTGGGTGTGTGTGGGTGTGCGCACGCGCGGGTGTGTGTGTGTGTGTGCGCCTGTCAACGTATCGGTTGCACAACATCTACATCCCGAAAGATGCTGTCTTCATGTCGGAGATGTTGACAAGCAAAGAATGACAACAGTGTGTGGGTTTGTGTGCTCCCAGAAGGGGCAAAAGACACTGCTTTCACGATGCAGAAACGTAACGCGCACCTGCTCCATCCTGCTCTCTTTCCTGCAATCCTGACTCTTGCCAAGGTGATTCTGGATATCGCGACGGGCTGTGCATATGGAGCCCAGATTGGCAGTACTGAGCAGAGTCAGCATTGTCAAATTGGATCGTTGCGTGCGCGTGTTTCAGCGCATGGTGTGGGAACTTTAGCAACCGTTTTTGTGTGCCCACGGAGCTAGCCATGAACTGGATGGCCTCACCCTCAAACAAAGCTAAATCAATTGCTTCATATACAGAGAGTATATTCTGTCACTGTCGCTGCGGCATCGAGGAACTGGCCTCTTCAGCATCGTGAGGCTTCATAGAAAAGTTCGCTGTTTGCTTGTTCCGTGAGCAGACAGTTGTGGCTGTAGAGAGCGTCTCCCTTGGAGGCCTTGGTTTCTTACTCGCATGGGCACTCCGATGGGCTTCAAAATTTTGGAAGCTTTGATGAGGCGTGGCCTGCAGACACATTGTAGATTGCACGACAAGGTTGTGGAACACGTCTTCCCAAACTTGGACCTTTGACCAGTTTTGTACCTCTAAGCCTGCTTGTCCTTGCTGCAGCAATGATGATGAAGATCTGGAGCTGGATCTGCCATTCGAGCAGAATCCTGCACCCGCCTCGGTCGCAATGAGCCAGCAAACAACCAGAGTTTGCCAGCAGTCTTCTTTGCATGCGGCCAAGGTTATGACAGCAATGTTTGACAATTCCAAGGAGGAGTTGCTGGTGTGTACGCGTGTGTTTGCTTGAATGGTTGTTTGATTAATGGTTTGATTCACCTTGTCTTGGTTGTCTTTGTTGTCGTCTTTGTGGTCGTCTTTGTTGTGTTTGCTTGAATGGTTGTTTGATTGATGGTTTGATTCACTTTGTCTTCGTTGTCTTTGTCGTTTTTGTTGTCGTCTTTGTGTTGTCGTCTTTGTGTTGTCGTCTCTGTGCCGTCGTCTTTGTGTTGTCGCCTTTGTGTTGTCGTCTTTGTTGTCGTCTTTGCTGTCGTTTTTGTTGTGGTCTTTGTTGTGGTCTTGGTTGTGGTCTTCGTTGTGGTCTTCGTTGTCGTCTTCATTGTAGTCTTTGGTGTCGTCTTTGTTGTTGTCTTTGCTGTTGTTGCTGGTGGTAACGATCTCGTAACGTTCCGCAGGCTTTTCCTTACTTGGCATATCGAGAACACTGTCAGGCGTGGTAAACTTCAGCACGCGGGGGTGGGGGGGGGGGAGGCGGGGGTCTGCCAGGCCTGTTTTGCAAAACGCGAGTTTGTGGCTTTTTGCGGCAAAGGGTCACCGAAGCATTTTTTGTGCCACAAAAAGTGCATTTTTACCTGGGTTTTTGACATGTGACATTACCAATCTTGGAAGAGAAGACGTGTTCTCAGCGAAAACATGCGTTTCGCCTGGGTTTTTCCGTTGGCAAACGCATCCATGTCCGCACGATGAGAACGTCCGTGTTACCAGCGCACGCGCATGGCCAGAGCATCCATGCCCGCACGATGAGAACGTCGATCCGTGTTACCAGTGCGTGCGGCGAATGGCCGGAGCATCCACGTCCGCACGATGAGAACATCCGTGTTGCCAGTGCGTGCGAATGGCCAGAGCATAGTCCGCACGGTGAGTACGTCCGTGTTACCAGTGCGTGCGAATGGCCAGAGCATCCATGTCCGCACGATGAGAACGTCCGTGTTACCAGTGCGTGCGAATGGCCAGAGCATCCATGTCCGCGCGATGAGAACGTCCGTGTTACCAGTGCGTGCGAATGGCCAGGGCATCCATGTCCGCGCGATGAGAACGTCCGTGTTACCAGTGCGTGCGAATGGCCAGAGCATCCATGTCCGCACGATGAGAACGTCCGTGTTACCAGTGCATGCGAATGGCCAGAGCATCCATGTCCGCGCGATGAGAACGTCCGTGTTACCAGTGCGTGCGAATGGCCAGAGCATCCATGTCCGCACGATGAGAACGTCCGTGTTACCAGTGCGTGCGAATGCTGCGAATGGCCAGAGCATCCATGTCCGCACGATGAGAACGTCTGTGTTACCAATGCGTGCGAATGGCCAGAGCATCCATGTCCGCACGATGAGAACGCCCGTGTTACCAGTGCGTGCGAATGGCCAGAGCATCCATGCCCGCACGATGAGAACGTCCGTGTTACCAGTGCGTGCGAATGGCCAGAGCATCCATGTCCGCGCGATGAGAACGTCCGTGTTACCAGTGCGTGCGAATGGCCAGAGCATCCATGTCCGCACGATGAGAACGTCCGTGCGAATGGCCAGAGCGTCCATGTCCGCACGATGAGAACGCCCGTGTTACCAGTGCGTGCGAATGGCCAGAGCATCCATGTCCGCACGATGAGAACGTCCGTGCGAATGGCCAGAGCGTCCATGTCCGCACGATGAGAACGCCCGTGTTACCAGTGCGTGCGAATGGCCAGAGCATCCATGTCCGCACGATGAGAACGTCCGTGCGAATGGCCAGAGCGTCCATGTCCGCACGATGAGAACGTCTGTGTTACCAGTGCGTGCGAATGGCCAGAGCATCCATGTCCGCACGATGAGAACGCCTGTGTTACCAGTGCGTGCGAATGGCCAGAGCATGCATGTCCGCGCGATGAGAACCACCGTTTTACCAGTGCGTGCGAATGGCCAACGTTTACCAGTGCGCGCGAATGGTCAGAACAAAGCAGAAACAAACCCAAAAATTTACACGCAGCTTTTGGCCCTCAAGAGTCCTCAAATCACACAATTTCTGCATGTGGTGTCAAAGAAACCCACGCGAAAACCCAATGTCGACCAACACTGTACGTCCAAAAAACACCTGAAAAAAACCTGCGTGCGCGAAAACCTCTTATTTTCAGAAGCTAAATTTTCGACCGCAAAAAGTTACTTTTACGATGCCTGAAGACCAAAAACCCAAGTGAAAACGCGTTTTTGGAGAAAACGTACAAAACAGAACAATCGCGTTTTACAAACTGAAGTTTACCACGCCTGCCAGTGTTTCCGACATGTCGCATAAAGAAAAGAGAGGGGACTGTTGTGAGGCGGAGTTTTTTTGAATGTGATGCAGTGTTTTGGACTAAGTTCATGTTGTTGCGAGTGCAAAGCAAATAGCTACCCCCCCCCTAAAACCCACCTCTAAAGTAAAAAGTTCACGACATCAACTCCGACAATCCTGAACCCCATAAGATTCCGGCATCGACAACCCCGTATCAGCGTTGCTGCTGTCCACACATGTCTGCGCGCATCATACTCTTGTCTACAGATCCTGTATACGTTCACGAGCATACTCCGCAAGCTCCGTCTCTAGATTAGACTTGCGAGCAGTGTCTTCCCTACATCTAGCACAGGACCAACACAGATGGCTGGATTGACGGGAGTAATGCATTCTGCAGCTCACCGCTCCTAGCGATTGAACAAGTACCCGTGTCAGCCACGACATGGCCACAGACCGGTGTTTACCAGCACGACAGAAGAATCCTAGTTGTACTACGGGGCCTTGAAACTGTACAAGAAAGCGAAGCAGTTTATCTACTTCTTTCGTGAAAAGCTTGTGCCCACTTACCGAAGCAAGTGTTTCATCGTGATGTCCTGAGTGTGAGCGCAAGGACGGGTCGTGTCCCGGGTCGGAAAAGCATCTGCAGTCAACCACGTAATCTAGATCCCTATCATCTGCTTGTCCGCCCCATACGAGTATGCGAACTTCTCGCTGATGGAGCACGCGCCAAGAGGAGGAAACGAAGGCCCTGCTGGTCGGAGTACTTCCGGACGAGGCCCAGCAGTCGCTAACCATGGGGGGGGATACGGCGGTTCTGTTACTCGAAGCCGTCCATGAGGGATCTCTTCGGCATTTGCAGACTTCATGTCCACATGCTGTCGGTTGGTGGCTGCACCTATCGGCGTGGTATGAGATGGCTGATACTTCCGGACAGCCCCTATAGGGATGACATCGGACCGCTTGCACTCGACGCCGGCAGAGGGGACAGCCTGTATAGGGATTCCATTGGACCGCTTGCACTGGACACCGGCAGAGGGGACAGCCCCTATAGGGATGACATCGGACCGCTTGCACTGGATACCGGCAGAGGGAACAGCCCCTATAGGGATGACATCGGACTGCTTGCGCTTGACACCGGCAGACACTGTTCTCAACGCTGTTTCTGTCTTCGGCTCCTTCTTGGTAACAGCCCCTATAGGTTGCATACGAAGATCTGTCTTCGGCTCCTTCTTGGTAACAGCCCCTATAGGTTGCATATGAGGACGCCTCACAAGGCGGCCCACCGGAAACGGTAACATGGCGACTATATGTACTACTCTAGTAGTTAGTATCCACATGACCCTGGATAATACTACTCGAAAACTGCATCATGCTATGGTATTGTAATAGCGACTCTTATTAGTTGCTCTATATATATATACACGTACTATTAAAACAAATCAACATATATATATATATATATGGTGTCCCTCCCCAAAGGATGTGTATCTACATATGGTATCATGTGCATACGTATTTACATGGGCATCGTTCCAAGCCAGCGCCGCATCTTGAAACAAAACTGCGTCGAATCTGTCCTCCCTCCCCCAGGGAAACCTTCCTCGAAACCGACAAACTGACACAGCAACCGGCCCCGAAGAATTTCAGCTAAACCCTAGACCCTAAACCCTAAACCTAAATCCTGACCGCCGCGGCGACAGCCTAGGGGCCTAAGAGTTTAGGGTTCAGGGTTCAGGCTTTAGGGGCTTAGGTGGCTGCAAGTTCAGGGCCCGGTGTTTAGTAGGGTTTAGGGCTCATAGGGTTTCAGGGCTTAGGCCCGTTTAGGCTTTGGGGTCTTTGAGTTGAGGAACCCGGTAACTTGTAAGGTTTAGGGTTTGGGGTTTAAGGCATGGAAAGGAAGCATTGTGTGAGGTTGCGGTAGATATGACGAAGTTCATTTTTTGAACCAATTGTGGCTGTGACGGGGAGATCCATGTTTCAAAACAAGGGCTGTGTTTCGAAACAAAGGCTGTGTTTCGAAACAGGGAACTTCCGAATAACATGTCTGGAAATACGTGAAAGCAAACCAACTGTGGCACAGCTACGGCTGTTACGCTTGAGGGGGGGGGGGGGTGAGGGGGGGGGGGACTCCTGCCAAGATGGGCCAACTTCCAAGGGACCCCTCCCCCCCCCCACCCCCCCCCCCCCCCCCCCCCCCCCCCCCCCAAATCACGGTCAAGATTCCCACTTATGAAAGGACTGTTGTGAGGCCATAAGTTTAAAGTTGTTGTGAGGCCATAAGTTTAAAGTTGTAAGCGTTTACTAACCCCTAAACCTTATAGAATGATTGAAAACTACCCAACAACTCCGCCTCACAACAGTCCTTTCTGAAAGAAAAGCATGCGGACCGTTGCGAGATCGCGACCTTGTTGTTGTTGTTGTTGTTGTTGTTGTTGTTGTTGTTGTTGTTGGTGGTGGTGGTGGTGGTGGTGGTGGTGGTGGTGGTGCTGGTGCTGGTGCTGGTGGTGGTGGTCTGTCGCGCGTTGTCTCAGCGGAATCGCCCCACATACGAAAGAGCTCGAGGATTTTCTCACAATGCTGCCGCTACCCGTGGTGGCCATGTACAAGCCAAAGTTGAGAGCTTTGACCCTGCCGGTGCCCAGGCTGCAAAAACCCGCTTGATCACGGAAGCCCGCCAAGCACCGGCTACCGAGGTATGCTTGTCCACAGATCCTAAATCTGCCTTTATCAATTCTGACATTCTTGCCTATTTTGTCGACAAGATCCTCGTAGAGACATCAGACTACTTTGAATCCCATATGGCACAGAATTCCATCAAAGACCTCGCAGAGTGTGCCCGGAGGCCATCTTTAGTTTTCGTCCCGACCATCACACGACGTAGTTCTTGCGGTGCGGATGCTGCGCAGGAAAGGTCGAGCTTTCAAGCCATTGGACTGTCGCAGCTCTGCCTCATTCCATGAGTTGCCAGTAACTTGGCAGAAGGAGCAATTGCCAGTTTGCCTCAGTTGTTCTCCTCTCCGGCTCGTGATGCCTGTGTCAGGGAGGCGGTTGAGTGCAGGCTCGTTCGAGGTCGCGAGTGCGATGTCTTATGGGGTCCAGGCGTTTGTACACTCATACATATGTATATATATATGTGTGTGTATTAGTCTCTTGGAACAGTCTTTCAAGCAATGGGTTGCCCTTGGAATGTACACATTTTTCCACGTGAGAAACGCCCCTCGACACTGAGCCAACAACCCTGAACCTTCAGCCCTACAAGCCATGAACCCTGAGCCCCATACCCTGAAGATTCTGAACGAACTTCAAGCCTCTAACCCAAAACCTAAAACCCCCCTCACACCATCCGCGCCGTTTCTTCGACCCCAGACGGTCGCCATCTGAGCCGTGCGGGCGTCGCGCCTTGTGGCAGTGCTTGTCCCTTACATCGATGTATACTGGCCGAACAGAAGTGTTGGGTGGGAAGCAAGCAATGCTGCGAAAAGCGTCTCAATGCCATGGCCACCACTTGGAATGAGAAGCTGCGTGAAATTGTACGCGATGTTCTTCGCAACATCCAGCTTCTAGTGAGAAGCATTCTTTGGATGCACCCTGTCTCGCACCGAAACGCTTGCACCCTGACAAGTCTGCCTCAGCTCAGCACTTTGAAAGGAGGGTGGGTAGCCCAAAGCCCTGCGCAAAGGCTGGCAGGGCTGTGGGGACGGTCGTTCCGGCGGTCCAGAGAGCGCACTCCCCGACTGCGGAGCGAGTGCGCGCTGTACACCCGCCCCCTCACCCTTGTTCTCGTTTTCCTCGGTGTCGCGCTGTTCCTTTCAATGCTTCTCACTGTGGCTCGTGGCAGCAGTCCGGTCTCCTTTCTACAGTACGAGTCGGACTGCGGTGCGCGGCCGGCCGTGTACTTGAAACACATGTTTCTGCAGTTTCAGGAGATGGTCACTTTCGCTTTTCTTGCTTATGTCCCATGACAACGTTCGCTTGCAGCAGGCTCGGGGGAGAGAGGCCTCTTCACTACACACTTTGAAGTAGGAAGTCATTCTTGTAGCTCCCGTTTACGGATTCAGTCTCCGCTTCGCATAGTTCGCGTTGGCAATTTTTGCGCTGCGCAGAGTCCAGCCTTTTTTTTGTGTGGAAAGCGCATCCATTTTCTTGATTGTGCATAGCATGATGATGGCCGACGTCGACACGCTGCTCACGGTTCTACGACTCGGCCTCCCGGCCTATTCAAATGACACGGCCAGTCTCACAGGCCCACTGTCCTGCACGCCATAAAGACTGTCGCGGCTCACAGCAACTTACGGCTAAACACCGAGAAGTCACCGAGAAGTCGTATCTGCTATGCTCACAGGAGGCGCGCAACCAGGTCACTCATCGGGACGGCACTCCCGTGAAGATCACTACGCAATGATTCCTTTCAGGCATTCCAACCTCTCCCCATAAGGGTCCAGGTCCCAGAGGGTCCCCACAGGGTCAAGGTCCCTGTAATAAAGCGAAAGCAATCTGGAACACCTTCCGGGAGCGGGCAATCCTTATTCTGGTGCATGGTAGGGGGAAAGAGGACTGCCTGGAAAACTTTCCGGGAGCGGGGAAGGCCAGGGGTCCCCAGTCTGGTAATTAATCAACGACGGGACACGCTTTCAGCGATACGAGAAAGAATTTTGCAGCATCTTGCTTCGCACTCCTAGACTACTTCAGAAATCCAAAAAGTTCTTCCCAACTAAATCTAAGCCATGCTCGGAAATGCCACGCGGTTAGAACTGCAATGCTGTTCCGTGCTATGGGCGGGCTGCACCACAATCCATGTAATCAGGACGGCTCCAGACCATCTCTCTACGAGTTGGCTCCCTCTGAAGGCGTGCTCAAAAGCATGATCACTGTTCCCCGGCAGCACACAGGTAAGGTGATCTGGCGAAACGTACCATGTGACAGCAACTCCCCTTGATCCTGGTTTGTTCGTTCCTCCCGACTGGGGCAACTCCCATGAGGTGTGCAATGTGTCTGGAGTACTTGAGCACGGCCAGACTCTCTTGCACCTGGCCTCGGCGAAGAGCTATGCTGCAGCACTGCGACAGGTGTACTGAACTTTACCAGTTTGATTTGTGGTCAAAGCCAGATGGTTTTGGTTGTCAAAAGCGCAGGAATGCTTTTTCATTTGCTGTTGGAGCTCTTTTGGGACAACGTGTACATCTATGTATTGTTATGTATGCATGTATGCATGTATGTATGCATGTACGTACGTACGTATGCATATATTTCTGTTCTCACTTCAATAAGCGCGAACCTAGCTGAGGTCTTGGAAAAGCGGGGCAACAGCAGGCCTGACATCAATGCGGAGTCCACGATGGTTCGCCCGGCGAGTGCTCTCATGGTACTTGTCACAAAAATGACCGCGCTGCACACGGCAAGTGAGACGGGCTGTCTCGATTGTGCCAAACTGCTCCTGAGCCATGGTGCCAACAAGGAGGCTCGTATGTCCCTTAAGGGATTCCCGAAAATGTTCGATACTGAGTTTGACCTGTGGATGTACAAGGCCATGAATGATGTCCAGAAGAAGGGAGAGACTCGAACGTACCCTTCTCTTGTGCAAGTGCGCCCAATCCACTTGGCAGCTAAACACGGGTGCTGCGACTGCATAGAGCTGCTTATCATGCATCATGCCGATGTCGACGATGCGATGGTTCTTGCCTACGAGCACAACTATTACAACAAGAGCAATGAAGACCGCAGTCACGTGGCCACAGCAAGCTTCATGGGAGCAGATGCGTGCTTTATCCGTCCCTTAGATCTTGCCTTGGCCTACAGCGCCAACACAGACGAGGGCAAGGTCTGTGTGAAGAACTTGTTGCTTGCCGGAGCAGCCACAGACCACATCGTAGTTGACGCGCAAGGCGAGCTCTTGGAAGATGCAGGATTTCTGAAGAGGTTGGAAGTCGTCAATGCCACGGCCAATGCGACACCTCAAGTTACCAAGTGCAAGCACTGGACACTCAACATCAAGACCAAGGGCACTTCTCCAGGCCTCCTGATACAGGAGATGTGAAGTCCTGGCTTCTGACGCGCCTATTCAAGCGAAGAAGGGCAGAGCGTTGCTGAAGAGCCGCAAAAAGTACTACGCTAAGGCATCTTTTCTTTCACACTGTCCTGGCCTTAATTTTCAACGATGAGGGTTTGTGATTGGCAAGGGCGACTTCCTTATCTGGGCCTTAACACGAGCCCCACCGTCTGGCTTCTTGGAATTAGGGCTCTTGAAGGGTTTGCAGGTGAAACCGAAACGCTGAAACACTCGATGCTGTAACTCGGGCCCTGCACAACTCTCCTCAACCCGGTGCGGTCTGAAGGAGGCGGTTCGTCGAAAGTCGGGACCTGAAGCTGCGATCACTTGGGTTTCAGGGTCTATGGATACATGTATATATATATATATATACACATATAATATAGTATACATGTATGTATATGTATGTATAGGGCTTGTGGGTGTGATGAAATTGAGAGGTGATTTTCAAGCGAACGTATCAGTGCCACCCGTCAGCCTCAGGCAAGAGGAGTTCTTGCATGCGGTGAAAGAGGAGCTCGTCCGCGATGAGCTCAAAAGGAGCTAACATGTAGTCTTGGGTTGTCGAGGAGCGTAGAAAGCCCATCAGTGCTGCTAAGGAGTTGGGCAGTGGTACAAAGACCAAGTGACAGCTCTTGAGGCAGGCCGGTGCAGTTCGAGCAAGAATCCAGATTCATAGGTTAGGAACACTGATCCAAGAGTGGGTGTACCATTCTACCATCTGTACCTTGCAAGGCACCGGATCCTGCTGATTCGAAGCGATGTAGAAATGCGCTGACCTTTCCAGATTTCTTGCAGCGGAAGCCCCAAGCATCTCATGCTGGGCAAAGTTGAAGTATGCGAGGGACGGCCCGCATGGTTGCTGGGCAGAGAGGTACACATGACTTTGTAATTTGTACTTCAACATGGCATGGATACTTGTTATGACAAAATGTGACCCGCAGACGAATCTTGTAGCAGTCCTCATGTACCAATCAAACAGAACCCGGCTCATGTCAACTTGGTGCCAACGGTGAGGGCTCAGGGGGTTTCTTGCGTGACTAAAGCTTCATGGGAGGCAGAGGTGCGACAACTTTCTGGCGAAGATGGCGCGAGTCCCAGGGCCACCCAGCATGGAAATCTGGAGCTTCAGTCTGAGAAGAACTTAACGAAGCTAGCCCCATTGACAGAGGAAGTTTATGGCATTCATAGCTTCATTGCGCGGGTCGCTGCGCTATGGGGCACCCTAAACCCATGGGGAGAAGGAGCCCCTTCAGGAGTTGACACGTATACAACAATCCTTATCCCTGAGCCCTGCCGAAACCTCCCTAAGTCGCCCCAAGAAGTCGAGGACCCGACGTCGGCGATGCGGCGCTCACCAACCTGGCGAATCGAGGCGGGGGGTTCAGGGGTTCAGTATGTGCTTAAGTATGATTAAGTGGCTTAGGCTTAGGGGTGTTCAGGGTTTCTAATGTCTGTTTTAGGGTGTTGTCAATGGGGGGAAGGATGGCTTCAGATCTGTTTCAGAGTCAGACATGCAGCAAAGGTCCGGCCGACATCGAGAAGCTTCACTTGAAGGTGCGTGTGAAATCGGGGGTGGGGCAAGGGGAGGCTGGTTGATCTAGAGCATGGGCCTTGTTCTTTTTCTGTACACCTAATAGTTATGATAACAAAGCCAGCGGAGACCCTGCATTCATTCAGCGTCGAAGGCTGTTCGCCTGACGGAGTTCGTGATTCTGAACGTTGAAGCCCTGCGCAAGATCGTCAAAAAGATGGACAAGATGGAGCCTGAGAAGCGTGCGTGCAATGTGACCTCAGCCGTGTGCGTGCTTGAGCTGCAGAGACCAGCCAACACCGAGGCAGTGTGGAACCAGCTGGCAAAAGGCAGGGCCGGTTCCAGTATCGCTGACGGACCCTGTAGCTGAAGTGGCGAGGTCTTCGTGGAGAGAGACCTGAAAAAGAGCCCGCTTGCCACCAGCTCCGCGCAACCATTCAATGGAGTCTGCCTCACATGTTTGTCGACTTTGACGTGAACGGGCTTGAGCAGTCGACACGAGATGGCTCGCTCTGTGCTTTTCTCCGTTTCTTCCTTCTCGCTTGCTCGCTCTTTCTCTCTTTGCGCCTCTCTCTCTCTCTCTTCTCTCCTCTCTCTCTCTCTCTTCTCTCTCTCTTCCTTTCTCTCCCTCTTTGTCTGTTGCTATCTCCAAGCGTGCCAGGAGCGCGCCCGCGCGTGCCGAAGAGCGCTGGAGCAACTCGTGAGTCCGGAAAGGCGAACTCGCTTTTGTAGTAAAGCGAAGAGAAGAAAGATATCCCGTCAAAAGAATACTCTGAGAGTCATACTACTTAGACACTTAGTCTGAGTCTATATACTTTCTTCCTTTTGTGGGAGATGCTCCTCCTCAGCTGCTCTCCTACTCTTGCGTGTTTCTCGTTTACTTCCTTAGAGAACTCTCAGAGGCTTCAGGAAATGCGGAGCAGAGTCGGGACCCTGAGCACAACACTCCCACTCCATCTCTGTCAGTCGGTCAGCATGTAGCACTTAGGCCATGGAATCGGGAGGCGTTGGGCTTTCGAAGATGCCATGGTCTTGGCGCGAAGCCCGGACTGAGTTCCGACACACAGCTTCGAACTTCGCGTGACCTCATAGGGGGCGTGGGACCCTCGATCATGTCTATGATCGTCTGTGGCTTCACATGGCTCTTGCGTTGCAAGGAAGCGGACACTCGTGGCTGTTGCGCTAGCGGGCGCCGCGCTGAAGTGGTCGGCATCCCGAGCGTTCTGAGGCTGTCCCTGGTTGAGGACGTTGAAGGACACCAAATGGTCCAAAGTGTATCTTTGCACAGCTTTAGTTCTGAGCTGCCATAGTCAGTATCTGCGTGCAAGGTCAGCATTTCGGCTGCCTGGCGAACCCAAGTGTCAGCGGTGCCTTGGGCTGCTGATCTTCACGATGCTGATGTGGGCCAAACGCTCAGAAAGGTGCCAGCTATGCCTTTGCCCCTCTCTGCTTCCTTGCATCTTGGATCTCTCCTCACTTTGGGATCCAAAGTATTGCACTTGTCACTTAGGTTCTTGAGGCCGCCCCCTTCGAAGCGACGGCCATGCCACTCGATTTCGCGATTTGAGGAATCAGCAAGACATGGGTGTTTTCAGTTTTGTGTCTCCCCAAATGAAAGCCAGAGCTGAGAGTGTCGGTCGTGAGACTCTGAGTCTGAGTTGGTGGGGGCTGTGGGTACAGTTCACGCGGCATCTGTGAAGGGTCGAATTGTTGGTAGTAGGAAACATCCTCGACCTCCGGATCCGACGCTGATATCGCTTCAAACCTTTAGACGCTTGGAGCAAGTAGGCTCGAACCTTTAGACGCTTGGAGTAAGTAGGCTCGCTCTTGGACCTCAGATAGAGCCTTGGGAGTCGGGACACTCGGGGCAACTGTGCAGTTATCGCACCCGCGCTTCATCACATAATCGGATCATGGGTGCGGTGGGCTTCTTGTTTATCAAATAGGCCATCTGGTCAGTATGGCCATATATGGCCACTCAAAGCCTCAAATAGTATCACCGGAGCCACATGTACCTTTCTTGCAGGCTCGTGGCTCCACTCGCAGTGTGCCTCGATGTCATGGAAGGCGACAAGCACGAGCAGGCCTGCGAGTGCCAGCACGGCTGGGTGCATCAGTGTCACGATTTCTTTTTCTGGGTTCTGGATCGCCCATGTCAAGAAGCCTTGTCACGTTGATGTTGCTAGGCCAAGATGTTGTTGGCCGCCGTCTTCAACGAGCTGCTGGCATGTCTCATGATGACACACCGCTTGCCTTTTATTTCAGAAGCCCTTTCTCGCCTGACTCGAAAGAGAGCTCCACCAGCTTGTGAAAAGGGTCACCGAGTGAGAGGCTGCTACTGGCCGTTGTAGGGGATGGTGTTTCCGGAGTCAGTGACTGCCAAGTTGGAACCCCCCCCCCCCCCAGGACATAGTGCTTGGAACAGTTTGAAGGCAGTTCATCTGCCAGGACTCCTTATACCTGGTCCTCTCGGGCTTTGTGATGAGCTCGATTTTTTCCAAATGTCAGCTCGAGCTTCGCAGGGCTCCCAGTCTTGCTTCAACCCCCAATCGCCACCGCTTTGTGGCAGCAAGTAGCTACATCCATGCAACAGGTGATTGATGACTGGAGCTCGTGATCAGGTTTCTTCATGTATTAGCTCTGTGGAAAAATGCTAAATGCCGGTGTTTAGAGCCGAGCATTCGAGTTGGCTCGTCACTTTCACCTTGTGTCCTATCCTATCTCCGGCCCACAACATCCCGCTGGCGATTCTCGAGATCCCGTGCTTTTGCTCCCATAGTTTCAAGATGACTTTCCTCAACGCCGACAACCCACAAGTTTGGGAGGGCGGTTCGAGGCGTGGGCTTCGTTCGGGGGTGCATGAACAAAGACCAGTTTCGGGAGTCGACCCCCATGAAAAGGGGCTCTGACCCTTGTTTCTTGCAATGCTGACAAGAGGTGCCGCAGCACTTCTGCAGAGTTTGCTGGGGCGCAGGTGCGCCGTGCGAACTCTTGGGGTTTGCCATGACCTGGGAAAGTTGCTTCACAACTGGGCAAGAGATCTGGAGCGAAACAGCACAGATGGCATTTAGATGACGGGTTTGTTTGTGCTACTCTTGGGCTACAGCTACCGTGGGCTCAAGCTCAGTCTATATCGGGGTTTGGTGTCGTTCGCATTTGTTTTGTGAGCGAAGACCAAGTCGAACGTCTGCTCGTTGAACCCGCCCCCTCCGTCACATCCGTCCCAGTAGTTCTCAGAGTTTTGGCGAAATACATGCTGTTTGGCTTGAACTGTGCTCTTGGCGATTCACGTCGTTCGAATCTGTTTGTCCAGCTTTTCGTGGCCTTCTGTATCCTCTTGGCTCCAAGGTTTGCATCGGTTTGCGTTGACTCTTGTGACCTCATGAACGCACGGCTCTAGGACAAAGCAATGGCCTTCGCAAGTGAGAGCACAAGACAGTGCAGCGTCGATCTCGCTACTTGCGAGGCCAAAGTTCTTCATGCTGGCCATCATGATCCTGGGCACCTCGCCTGGTTGTTGTCATGATTGTCGCTCTTTCGATATGTTGCCATGACAAGGTGCAGTACATGAGACGCGATACGCTTCCGAGGCGTGTTTCTATCAGCACTGCTCTCGAATGTGCAGGGCTTGGCCCGCTTGACAGAGAGCAGAAGAAGACCCAACCATCCCTAACCCCTAAATGTCAACACGGGACAGTCCCTTAGCTGAGGACAAACAGTACACGGACGATGAACAATCCTAGAAAACTCTTGGACGGGCAGAGCTTGCAGAGAGAAGTTGGCGAGAAGGCTCATGCAGGTAGGCAGGACCAGTTCCAGCATCAAGGCTCACAACGAGATGAGAGTGATTCTCCAGGCGTCAACAATTTCACAAGGAGCCATCGCCTGGCTTGTAGTGGCTTCGTGCAGAAGCACGCGGCGCATGTGAACTCAAACATTCATTTGGCCCTTACTCAAGGTGCAAAGGAGCTACAGCTGGAGAATCCTGATGTTGGTACAGGCGAACAGCCCAACTAGGTGACGAGCATTGACCGTGTAAAGCCCGTGAGTCAGGGTGCTTTTGAACTGTTTGTTCATCAGCTTCGTTCTTGCACTGTGTATTCTCACTCGCCTTACATTTAAGACCGTACAAACACCTTTTTGTACTCTCAGGAGCAACAGACGAACGGTGGAATGAGATGAATGAAATAATCACGCGGCCGCGTGCAACCAATCATGCCCTCCCGACGGAGTATTTTCGTGTCCTCCACATGTCCTCCGCACATCCTACACGGAAGCCTCCAAGTCGGATCCGCTTCGTGAGGTCACAGCCCCGCTTCTTATGGTGGAAGTGCTGAAGCCACTCATAAGGGACTTGCCAACAGACAGCCGGATCCACAGTGGCCTGCACCAGCTCTTTATTGTTTCAACGTGTGGGTTTACGTCTCGTTTGAACATGGTATGACATGATCTGCGAGACCTGTTCCGTACGGCATCATTGATTTGTAGAGTCATTGCAAAGGATTTCTAGTTTAAAATGTCCGTCGAGTGCCCAAATGACTGGCCTTCCGAGGCCGCTACTCTCGAGCTCTGCTGTTGGGGCTCGCTTTCTCCTGCAATGCCGAGTCCTCAGATGAAGCCTACACCTCCCGGCTTTCTCGCATACCGTAAGAAAAGTCTGAGCCCAGGTGGGTGGCATGATGACGCCCATCTCATCTCCTCAGAACGTCGCGTCGCTGGAGGCCTGGTGTCGTGGGAGTCGGACGGCGCCCTGCAATGGTCAGAATGTGAGCTAAATGGGGTACCAGAGTTGCTAGGCCTAATCTGGCAGCACAGCAGACAACAAGAGGATAGTGCCGTGTGTTGGTGTCGCTCTGGATCAAGCGTCGGCCTGCGCCAGGCCTTGCGGCAGCATGGCAAGAACATCACCTGGGGGGAATGGTTCCCCTCCAAGCTGGAAACAGGCTGCACGAGTCATCTGGTTCCTGCATGTGGGTCTTTCCGAAAATTGGGGCGCCCCTTTTTATACCCCAAATAGAATAGAATCCCCTGAAAGGGACCCCCAAAAAGGTACCCCCCCCCTTTTCGGAATCCCCCATGTGCGCGCCGGAACGATGCCCAAGGTTGTGCTTGAGCACTCCATTCTGCTTCTTGGCTGTGGTGATAGCCTGGCTCCTGCTGCTTGGCCTGTTTTGGTCAAGATGACCCGAAAGAAAGGTAGTTGAACCCAGACAAAGAAGAGGGACGGAGGCAGGAAGGAATGAAGATGCAGTACTGACGCGGCACTGGCATTGTCCGTTTAATGTGGCTTCATGGCTTGGAGTCCCGTCGTCTAAGAGTCTTTGCACTGTCTATATGCACATCCGCCTTTACCCTAGCACCTGTGTTTACGAAGCTTGTGCTGTAGCTCAGCGCCAGGCTTTTGCTCGTGTATCGCTGGGACATATCCGCGGACGAGGCAGCTGGGAGATGGCAAGTGCCATGCTTGTAGGTCAACTTCCCTTCAGTTCATGTTGCCCCGAAACAGAATCAGAGCGCCCGGAGGCCGACCGCCTAGCCCGCAACGGTGATATGTCGTCCCGCCACGACCCCAGCAAGGTAGTCTTGGTGGAAAGGTGCTTTCAAACCCGGCCAGGCGGCATACCACCTGTGGTTTTCGATCGGGAGGCCCGTCTGTAGTGAGGCCGTGATGTTTTGCTGTGAAGATCTCTTCGGGCACATTGCCTGGATGAGGAGATGTCTTACGAGAAGCTGATCCTCTTTGCAGGTGCAGTCGTCACCCTTGGTGCGTTTGTGCGGCGCTCGAATGGCATCGCGAGAATGGTAGATAAATGCGGCTACTGTGCCGGCGAGTGACAGCCGTACAGACGTACAGAGACACGCTGTGCCAAGGCCAGCGCTGAGGTGGGAACCTGCGGGAGAAGCCTTCTTTCATTGTGGCCAGAGTGGCTGAAGCCATTGTTCTTGCTGCTGTTGAAGGCAGCTGCTGCCTTCGGGGGCACATCTTCCATCGCACTGCTCTTCGTGGTCAGAGCCTGTAGTCCAGGATTGTCTGCGTGGCGGTTCGCAGGGAGTCTCGCATGCCCTTGTGTCCCAAAGGCGATTTGCATGGGAACAGGCGGAATCTCTCGGCACCCCGGCATCCAAGTTCATCCAAGTCGCCCTAGTGGCGGAAGATGCTTTTGGGCTCTGAAAACCGAGGCAGACATTCAACTCCTACAGCTGGCACCTGATGTTTCTCATCGGAGGTGGTAGTGCTCTTGGCGCCACGCCGAGTCCGATTGCCACCTTATTGAGGGGTCTCTATCCGGTTTTATCGCCCTTAAATGTCTTTAATGAGGTTTGGCGGTGCGGCAGAGCGGCTTGCTGAAACTGGTCACAGAGGTGGTGAGGAGGCATGGCCGGCCGATCTGTGACATAGCCACTCTGTTGTGAGCTGTCGCGACTTTTGTTGACACTTGTTGACATGTGTTGACACTGCCTCATGGCATTTCACGACTGTACCGCTAGGTCATCTTCGTTACATGCAGTCTGTTTGTGAGACAGCTGACGTGTGAACTCCATCATCTTGCCTGCTAAGTGGTTTGTCGTCCTCTCCACGGCAGCTGGTGGCAGAGTTGACGCTAGCCAGAACCTAAGGCAAGAAGTTGAGATAACTTAAGAGATTTCCAGCACTTTCCAGCTTGGCACACAGGGCGAATGATCCTCTCAGGTGCTGGTGGGAGCCACAACGTTTGTTTCACACACCGTCGCGGACCTGGTCGCCGTATTGGAAGCCGTCTAGACTCCTAGAGCACGTCATCCAGGGTACTTTCTTGAGCCGCCGAGGTTGCTGCACTCGTCCTCATGCCTTTGGCCCATGGCTGAGAAGCACAGCATACTTACCAGCCATGGCGACCCGCAGTTTCTCCGTTTCGAGTTGGAGGTGGTGGAGTTGGGCCAGGAAGCTGGTGTTGAACGACTGGCAGTGCTGCTTGGGGTGGCGTGCTTGGCCCTGCATCGGGATTCATCCCCAAACACTTCATTGCCAAATACCAAGACAGCTCAGGCGTTTGCTTGCTCGGCAGCCTGTGCACTGCCAATGACAAGCTTCCCAAACGCCAAGTCCTCAGTCATCTGCACTCGGGTTGCCTTCAACAGGTTGGTTCGTCTGCAATGTCCTCGGACGACTTATAGACATGTATAAACCTTAGGCATATGTGTGACTTCAGTTTTCGCTTCCTTCCGGCGAAGCAGACAAGCACAAGTCAACACAGCTCGCACGGCAGGAGCAAGCAAGTACGAGCCCATTTGCTAGCTCCATCGGTACATGCAACATGCGGGACTGTTATGAGCTATTAGCTGATGCAGGTGAATTCCCTCATCGCAGTCGATGACCGTGGAAAGCCGTGGCTCTCTGTGAAGCATTTCCTCATGGCCCGGCTTTGAGAATGTCTGTGTGTGTGTGTGTGTGTCTCTGTTTGCGTGTGCGTTAGTGTCTGTGCATGTGGATGTGTATGCGTATGTGTGTGTGTGTGTGTCGATGTTTGTGTCTCGGTCTGTATGCGTCTTTCTGTTTTCCTGTGGCGGCTTCGGACGCCAAGCCGACGCACCTGCAGTTGGTCTGTGGTTGAATCTGTATAGTGAAGGGTTCATGGGCTTGCTGGACGCTTTGGAATGTGCATACATTGACTCCTCTTACGGGTCGCAGGAAACTCATGTTGCCCTCAAAACTGGTGCAGGCGGGGATCCCAACTACCCTCGCATTCGCTCTGCTTCTGGTCACTGCTGGTGGCATTCCCAGACTCGCAATTCTGACTTGTCGGTGTCGGACAGGCTGGTGGGTCACAGTGATGTTGTGCAATCGTCACAGGCTACGAGCTGGGCGTATGGGTGCTGAGCTGACCGCCCAAAGCAGTGGCGGTGATAATGCCTGGCAGCTGAGCATGCGGATGCCGATTGAGCCTTAATTTCAAAGTATCCTCAACGAGTTTTGTATGAGCAGAGCAATCCTCTACACTCAGAGAAAGGCAACGTGCAGTCCACACATGCTCAGCTGTGTGACTCGACTAGTTAGTACGAGTCACAGCTCAATCATCGGTTCAAACAGATTGCCCACAAGGATCCGTGATTGTGATCCATCTTCGCTATGCTCCAATGCACCTGTGCATCGCACATGCGCGTGCTTGCTTGGGTGAATTTCATCTGCAATCCCCCGCATCTGTGTCAGCTCGCGAGAAGCTTGGCCAGTACGACGCAATGCGGGCAAACTACAGAAGCACCGAGGGTGACAAGCTCATGACGTGAGTAGCAGACGATGAGTGCCCGATCGCTAGCACTCGGAGATCAAGAACGAACATCGGGATCCGATCTTGAAACTGTATTCGTAGTCGCCACATTCCGCCATGGTCCTTCCCCTGGTGGAGGAGATTCGAGCCCTGCCTACGAGTGGCTTGGCCAACAACAGACTCTTTAATTCGAAGACCAAGCCCTTTGGGGCTTTTGGATCGGTCCCGCGGAGTGTTCCATAGTGTTCCTCTGTCACGAGGTTTGCCAACCCGAACATCGGCCATCAGTGAAGGCGCTGGGCGATGGAGGCCATGCAAAGCAAACCTCACCTCACTTGAAAAGCTTTATGGCTAGCAGAGTAGCATTCTCGGCCAGGTTTGTTTCCCGAAGTTCAGAGTGCAACCTGCCCGATCACTACATGGAGCTCAAGGAGATGACCGTGGCTTGCATGACTTGCCCTCCTCTTGACAGTCGGAAGGCAACAACACAGTGGTTCATAATCATGGTCGAGTGTGTTCTGTGGATTGCTTGAGGAGCGTTCTCTGAGCGATGCGATCGAAATCAGCAAGAGACTTCGGCATGATTCTCTGTGCATCAGAACCAGGAGCCAAAAACTACTGACTGCTGACCGTTAGAGACGGAGTGCGCCCCTCCCTCCCCCCCATCCACATCTGCCTCGGATGGTAGGGTCTACTCGTATGGTGTAGCTGGAACTTGTTGTGCTCCAGCTCCAAGCATACAGTGGCCAGGGATACCGTACCCGGACTCGATGTACGACCTTGTGCTTAAGTGCTCGGGCTGCGCCAGGCTGAAAGGGCAGGTCTTTGAAACAGTTCCGAATGGGAAGCTGATGGCCGCCAACCAAAGAGTCTTGTCATAAGCCGCATGTTTTGTTTGTTGGTGGGCAATGTTGCCAGCACTTGATTCGCACATGCAGTGGGATCAAGCAAGGATCCATGGTCTACGTCATGAAAGACGGGTTTCTGCGGGTGATCAACCAAAGCGGTGCTGCCACGCACCAAGTGTCTGCCCGTTCTCTCTTCCATTCTCCAGCCAGAGTTTATGGAGAGCCGGAGAGCTGGAGAGCCTAACAAGCCAGTGGGCAAGGATCACTTCAAGCTGGCGAAGTCCTCGCGGGTCTGCCCCTTGTGTAGTGGTTTGTGAAAATGCTGCATAAAATCAGCATAAACTGCCATGGCCTACGCATTATGGTGTATCCATCTGAAGGTTGCTTGTCCGAAAGACACGGACGAACTGTGAGACAGAAAAATCTCTGAAAACACACTGGAACCGCATCAGGCTCGGATCATCGACATTGCTCTGACCAGGGATGCGTCGGAAGCGAAGGCAGGCGTGAATGCTTTCGCAAGGAGTAGCATCGCCTGACATCTAGGACAGGCAAATGTCACACCCACGCTTCATCTCTGGAACGCCCACGATTCACTTCTGGAGCCATGTGATGTGGAGCAAGTATCGTCATGGTTTATCTGCTATTGCAAAACGTCAATGTGTTGCTCCTTGGGGTTGCAGGGCGACTAATCAAGTCGCAGAGCAAAACATAATGCCACCGTTTGTCAGGACAGTCGCGAGGATTCGAGCAATGTCCTGCTGTGTGGTTTGCCCAGCCCTCTCATGTGCATAGCTTTGCTGCTAGTGCTTCAGGAGAGCCTGACGGTTCCTCTTGGTCTGTTTCGAATCTTGCTTCATCTTGAGGTCTCAACCCACACAGAAGATTAAAGTTCAAAAGCAAAGGTCTCTTCTGGATTCAGAGACTTTGTTGTTACTATCACGAAGAATGCAAGAGGAAACCTTTGAGATTTTGGATAGAGTTCTCTATGTTACTATACTTAAGTTTGTTGAACAGTTGACTCAGGTTTGGATGAGGCTGGTGGCATCACGATTTTCTTTGTCGAGGCACATGGGACAGGTTTCAGCAACATGGCTGTGACGACAGGCAGCAGAGCATTGTCGCGGAAGGTAATCGATTAATGTCTTGGTCTGTAGCAATCTCTGTTTAGTAGCGCTTCCAGGCAGGTGCCAAGCGACATCATGCCGCAATCCGTCACCTCTAGCTGCCTTTGTCGACCTTCTAGTGGCTCCGCAGCAGGGTTTGTACTCGTACTGTCTTTGTGTAGCACCTGTCGCAGGCTTGCCGGGCAAACAAGACAGGGCGCTTGTGCACGCCTTACTTCCCATACGCTTCAAGAGGATGTCAGCCGCCTGACGTCTGAATACATGTTCAAAGCGTTGCAGGAGTGCCTGTTTTAGGGCCTGTATGCAACCATTAAGCGAGTGCAGCAGGCAGCAGATCGAGCTGGTTTTGAGCGGCCTCCGTCCTCGGCGTGTTGTCATGCACCCCAAGGCGGCTGGAGAAATTGGAGTTGTCATCACTTGGCGTTCGTGTGCTTAATCACCCTCAATCGATGGCGGAAAGCTTGGTCAGGATAGCACCTGCTTTGTCACGTTACACTCGACCTCCCTCCGATTGTGGAGTACTGCGCGGCTGCGGGCCCAAACCCACGTGGTGAGCCAAGAGGCTGATGCGGCATGCTGTTGAAAATGGAACATGCCCAAAATGGCAAGCGATTTCCCTGCCAAAGGTCCTGATCACCGGAAGTGTGCATGTGTTTCCTAATGCTGCCAGGGGACATTTTCGAGGGTGTCTTCAGACCCGGAAGATGCATTTTGCTGCGACACGGTGGACTTGCCCAAGGTTCGCTACTTGGGTCATTCGGAATGTTGCGTCGGGCTTGCAAGGCTTTCCGTTCACTTGTCTTGAATCCGGTGACTGGGCAAGGTGACCCCACATCGCAGCGCGGACGGCCAGGCGAAGTCTATTGGGGGGTTTTCTAAAGGGGTGGCATGAGCACATGTGTTGGGATCGTGTTGGGTATGCGTGTGCTGCTGTCAACACATATGCCAACGCTTTACATGAGTCGAAAGCTGCTGGAAAAGGAGGCACTAAGAGGAAAAACCACATGTAGCCGCAATGTGGCCTCTCGGACTCAGATTCGCGACCTCTCCTTCACTGCTGACGGCAGCTGCATTGCAGCCATCACCGAGGAGCAGCTGTGGCAGAACTATCGGGGCTGAAGAGCACTTTAGGAAAAGTAAACACCCCAAAGTGTCGCTAAGCGCGGCACTGTCACTAGATCTTGGACCCTCCGGAGGACTGCCTCTTTGTGTGGCAGCGCTCCCATGGCCCTGGCACACATCAAGGCGCGGAAGGTAAGTGCTGCAAAGGGCATAAGAGGTTGTTATGCGCAGCGTGGAGTCAGAGGATCTCAGTTCTAGGATGTTCTGGGAATCACAGCCCAAACATGGAGCCCGAGACATCTCCACCATCTGACAGGACTCAAGCTGATCCAGCAGATGACCATCGACAAGGCCACGTCCCAGGCTGGTCTGGATTCTCATGCAACTGCAGAAGATCCGACTAGATCTACATGAGCAGAAGGGCCAGAAGCCACAGCACACGAGAAGTTGCTCTCAAGCAGAGGTAGTTGCAGAATCGTAGAAGGTGACAAAGGATTGAAGACCGATTCAAGAGATCAGGTGCTCACCCGCTAATGCCCGCACAGTCATTGACATTGAAGCAGCTTAGAATGCACTACAGGTATAGCACACTATAGTGCACTGATATTTTGTGTGAACGAGCTGGCGTCAAAATCGTTGCCGCAGCCAAGCCTTCAACTGCGAAAGTCTGAGTGCAGCCCCAAGCCGCAAACTTCTTCTTACTGTACACCCCGCTATCCAACTACCTCTAGTGACTCTAGTGACAACAATTCCAGTGCAGGACATCTGGCCGGAGGGCCCGGCCTCCATCCGATTCCTGGCGCTACGGGAGCGAAATGTGGATGTTGAGGCAACCGGGGCTGTTCAGGCCCCTAACATTCCTTTGGTAACAGAGCTTGCCCTGAAGCATCCCAAGTGAAGGGAGGGTTGCAAGGCCATAAGTTCCCGGTACGCAGGTTGAGCTTGTGTTGCTTTTGAGAGTTTGCCAGGCTCTGGTCTTGGCTGCTGCCAACGGGTGCAGCTTGGCGGTGTACACCTTCACCAGGGGCAGTACCCAGCCGGTTGGGGCCCAGCTTCATCTCTCATCAGCTGTGGGTGGATCTATTGGGGGGGTGGTCTCTGTCATGGTATGTTCCTTGTAGAACAAGGTCCCCAAAACCCAAGGGTACAACTTTCAGGGTCCAAGGTGCCCTAAACCCTAAACCCTTGACCCTAAACCCCAAACCCTCAACCCTAAACCCCTATAGGGTTTGGGGTTGTGCCCTGCTGCACAAACTGGGCATGGCTCAGGGCCCAAGCTGTTGTTTGTTGTTTCGTCTGGTCAGCATGATCGCCTTGTCAGCAAGAGATCGACAACTGCATATATACATATATACATATATACATATATACATATATACATATATACATATATACATATATACATATATACATATATACATATATACATATATACATATATACATATATACATATATACATATATATATATATATATACATATACAGATATATAGATATTATGTGTATGCATGGAGGCTGTATGTGTGTGCTTTAAACTTGCATATCTATGTCTATATCTCTTTACCTTTATGATACATTGATATATGTTGCAACACTTAGCAGTGACAGGACGCTTGGGCACGCCGAGGTCGGCCCTCTGTTGCAGTACATCGGCTTTGCGCCCGAAGGCCGGCCGTCCTAAGATTGCGTCTAGCGCCTTTCTCACACCCTTGGCCATGAGCAATTTCCCACTTGACCTACGCCCCCACCGCCAAAACCCCATATCAAGCCCTAAACCTGATAGATTCCAGAGAGTAGAGTGCTGCGATTCGAGGCTCGGACGCGAAGGCCGTGGTGGAGGTCGATAGCATCATGCCCGGACCTTGGGTTTGGCACCGGCGATTTTTGCCTTTATCTTTCTGCTGTTCATCTGGGTTCTGGTTTCGGGGCTTACGGTAGACCACTTCGGTGTGCTACCAAACCGCTATTGGGCGGCTGCTTGGCCATGGGCTGAGGCACGCAACCTTGGCTTTGACTTTCTGCAACCGCAACTGCTTCGCGGTGCTGCCGCTGGCCAGCAACTTCTCCTCCTCCTCGTCCAGGCCCCATCTCGGTGGCACTCTGTGGTCGTTTGCCATTTGTTGGAGGTGTGTGAAGATGTCTTCGACAGCTTTCTCGGTCAGGATGGCCTTTCCCTATGTGCAGCGTTTCCACCACGAAGTAGCCGCTGATCACCTGGCCCTCATGACTGGGTCGCATGGTTGCTTGAAGCTTGTCTTGCTTGTCATGCATACTGGTGGCAGCCATGGTCTTTGCTACGGGGGGATCGCATGTTTCTTGGGTCCCGCTTCTGGGGGAACCGAGTATTTGTTGTGAAGCCTGTGTATTCTTACAGTCCTCGACATCTGTCGCCTTCCGCGGCTGTTGGATCCCTGAAAGACTTGAGAAGTACCAGCCGGAAGGACTGCACTGTCCAACAAGAATGTCCGCACACTCTTCGTGTACCGGATCGTCCTCACGCGCAAGGAAGAGGCTCTGAAATCATTCCTTTTCGCAGTGCGGGATTTGCAGTAGATGTGCTTGATATGTCGAGAATGCATACTGGATGCTGCTCACAACAGTCTCGAACAGGTCTGGCAGTCATCTGTTGAAAGACAACCATCCTGACCTGACGCCTCAACGTTGAATGCCACTTCTGACCAGCTGCATAAATCCCGAAGCCGTTTCAACCGCTGGTACCTGCAGGCCAGCCACGCGAGCAAGCACGAGGTGCTGGTGCACCAGCCAACAAGTGCCCACCTGGTCTCTCCGGAGGAAGCCAGGGTCGAGGTGACGAAACTTTGTCGCTTGTGATGACGGAATTCCAGACGTCTGCTCTTTTATAGGCAGTTGAGGAAGCTCACAATGGACCGGCTGCATAGCATCCTTTCTCCCAGAAAGGGCATGGTCATTGACATTGATGCAACATTCTAAGGAAGACGTACAAGTATTACTAAACAGTATTACAATGTATTTTCCGATGTCTTCTAGGTGTTTGGACCCCAGGAGGCCCCGGAGCTGCCGACCACTCCTAGCAGCTCCAGCGACAAGGGGCCGCCCGAGGAGCGCTCTCGTGCTGCAATGCTGTTGTGCTGGCGGAGTCTTTCGTGAGTGGCATCGCGCGGAGGAGACGGAGGAGGTGGACGAGCCGCCGCCGGCGGAAGCCTGGGTTCGAAGCCAATTTTGTGGTGCGCGCGAGGGTATGCCAAGGACCACACTTGGCCATAAAACCAAACTCTGCCAGAGGGCTTCCCCCATTGCCGCGCAGAAATCAGAGGATCCAAAACCCTCCAGTGGAGTCGCTGCGAGGTTGACTTTCCATTCTCTGACATGGCTGAGGCGAATGGTATCCAAAGTGGTGCGGATGCAGAGGACTCATGATGCTTTCCAGGGCCAAGGGCTTGGGATCCGATAAAGCGAGACTTCCTAGTGCTATTCTATGTACATCGTAGAAGTGTGGCACTAGAAATCAGGGTAATCACAGCTTTAGCAGCCAGGACAAGGGTGGTGATGGTGGTGATGGATCTGGTGATGGACTGCCAGCTGATTCGGCGCTTGCCTCATGATTCAGACACCGCACGAGATATTCGTTTGCCACACATGCTTAAGTGGAGCCCTCGTGACGGTTCTGGTTCACAGGGTGCCTCAGCGTACTTGGGCTTAAGAGCTACGAGTCCTTGAGGTCCTTAAGGCCTCCCAATTTTGGTCCCTCCGAGTGTGTGTGTGTGTGTGTGCAATATAGTCTCAGGGTCCTCGCTTTCAAGCCAGGGAGTGGTTTGAAGATGTAGGACTTGTCGGGAAATCTGGAATGTTTATCGGAGTATGAGTTGGTGAGAGTTGTGAGTCCGACGCGTGAGGCTGGCACCTTTGCCAAGAAGCCGGAGGAGGTGGATATGTTCGTGATGCTCGGCTGTACTCCGCAGCGGTCGTGGATGAACTTTACGGTGGAAAGAAGACATATCTACATGCTGAATATCTACATGCTGAGTGAGCGGTTGAGGTTCTCGTTGGGAAGCAAAGAACTTGCTTGCCCAAGGAAGCGGATAGCAGCTTCGTTCGTCCTTGGACTCTCAAAGAAGCACCTGGCTCAGTGGCATTGTGTAGCCGTGCCCATGGCGTTGAGTGTCGGCGGACCCTGTATGGTGCCGCTGGGAGCCTAAGCTGTCGTTCTTGCGCGATGGGCCCAGCTGTCGCGAGTTGAGGAAAGAGCACCTCGCAGACAAGATAGTGCAAGAGGTGCGGCTGACATGTTGCTGTGTGACATCAGTCCGTGGCGCTGTCCATGTGATGTTTAACTGGTGTTCATCTGTTGCGGAAGCCTGTGTAGGTGGTTGGCATCTTGAAGAGCAATGGGCGGGCTGGCTGCATTGTGAACCCAGGCATTGCTCATACTCGGACTCAGGCTTTACATACTACAGCGCCTTACAGATCAGAAGCCACATTATGCTAGTGCAAGCAGTTTCACCGTTTGATCGCCATATTTGTGAGTTTGCTAGCAGACTGCAACTTGGTTGCTGCCGAGGAGTGCGGGCCAGTCGGATGCGGCAATGATGGATCAGGCGGATTCTTTTATGATTCCCAGCAGGCATCCAATCCAACGAAATGTATCAATCACTGCGCGAAAATCCGGCTGCCGGAGAATCTGCTGCTTTTGAGGTTCTGAGAGCCGGCTGTTTTGTGATAAGAGTGCCAGCCCCCACTTTGGCTGCGCAAGCTCTTGCAAACATGAGGTTTGTGTGGGTTGCCAAGCGTATTTTCTATGAGAGCTCAGCATCCTTTCTGCGCACCGGTACTGGCCAATTCAAGTCGGCACGTTGCTAATAGCTAAGGTCCATTCTACACATGTTCAGGATGCTTTCAGCTGTCTTGTGCTGCTCGATGAATGTTTTTGCCAATGTCGCTGTTTGCTGGGCTGTCCTTAAGTACCCTTTCACCTGCAAAAACACCACGCTGTTGGCTTACTTGCTGCGCCATTTCGTACAGCCTCACACATCTCTGACAAACCCCATCTCTTGCTTGGCTTTATCCTTGTTTGGCCATGGATGAAAGTGTAGCTGCTTCTCAAGCAGCAAGTGAAATATGCATTGGCAAAACGAGACCTCACTTTAGCCGAAGACCGCTGGCTGGCAGGTTCTTGCAAAGGTGCGAGAGGCTCGCGAGGCCAGGGAAGAGCAGATCAAGACTCGCGGTATTCTTGACCTGTTACTGTAGGTCACAAGGAAGGCTGGTGAACAGTAGTGACTCGGGTAGTATGTGGATCCCAGTGAATGTCGGCGCTTTGTGTCTTGGTCGCAGAGACGCTGACAAGGTCCAGTCAGACAGCGACAAGAAGCTGCAAGATGCGGTGCGTGAGGTGGCAGACTGGGGTACAAGCAGAGCCTAGAGTCATCAAGAGCACATTTGGCATCTGCAGATGACCAGGCCACCGATGCTTGGGCAGAGACTTCTGCGGCGAGCATGTCGTCTCTGCTGTCAAAGGCACCCGGACTCAAATTGGGAATCCAAGTAGACAGCAATCTTTTCGGAGCCACCGCTTGACCCCATGGTTCCATTGTTGCGATGCTCCATAGTACGAAAGATGCTATGCCCTATGCAGATGCCCTGCGAGGAGTTCGGGAAGCTTTCCCAGGGCGTGGCATCTAACCTGGCACAGCAGTTGTCCCAATCTCGGAAGCCCCTTGCCCAGAAGTCTACATACTACACGTACAGTAGCACGTCTGTCCTGCTACATTTTTGCGGGCGGTGGGGTGGGGGGGGGGGGGGTAGGGGAATCGCAAGTTGTTCTTTTGATTTGGCCTTTTGCAAATGTTCTGCACTGTGACCGTCTGCAAGACTGCAGCATGACTTTCAACTGCCTTGCATTGCCCTGTGCCTTGCTCTTGAGCTCATTTAGGAAGCCCAGGTTCTGCGAGACACTGGCAAGAGGCGTTCAGAAGTCGGGGGTGGCAGCCACAAAGCAGGCGCCGCCAGAGTTGGGCCCGGGTCCGAAAGGCCATCCAACCCTAAGTCCAAGTCCCAACACTCCTCCCAACAAGCCATGTTTCTCCTAAGCCGCCAAACCCGGTAAAGCTCAGCCTAAACTCCAAACGCCAAAGCCCTCTTGGCCCCTGGATCCGAAACCCTATCCGAAACCCCGAAAGCCAGAGAGACATCCCAGGCCCGAAACATCCCTAAAACCAAAACCATCCTGAGCCCCTAAATCTTGCTAAGCCCTAAGCCCCGAAGGCCGTTAACCCCAAAAAGCCCAAGCTATCCTACAAGCCCCTTCGAATTAAAACCCCTAGACCACGGAATCCTGGCAGGCCCTGGAGTCACTCCGGCCGCCCAAGCAACTGCAGGAGGCTGTGGGCGCTGCCCTCGGCGAGGCGCAGTGGGCCTCTGAGGGTTTGGGGTGTTTGAGGGTAACCTGGTGCTCAGGGCTACGAGTACGGAGTTTAGGGCATGGACTTCCCAGAGCCCGAAACTCCAAACTCCACAAAACTTGCCGGTTTCTCACAAGAGAAAAGCTCTAAATTCCGCCGGCGCCAGGCGCTCCAAGAATCCCTTGCACCAGTCTTCAAGGTTCGACGGAGTGTTTCGTCATATTTTGTGTATCGGGCTGCTTGCCATACTGGCAGAACCTGAGCATCGACAGGCGGAGATCCAGTCTCACTTTGAGAATGAGCTCGGTCCGCTGATCGGACACCGAGTTCGCCACTGAGTGTGTACATGCCCTTGGTCGCCGCAAGGTCCCTGGTGATTCAGTGTCGCAGTGTGCCACTTCCTTCATCCCGTTCCTTGAGGTCAGTGAGATGTTGACTGCTTTCCGAGACTCCATGACGGATTGTCTGGAGGCCACGGTCGAAACGAGCTGGCTTGCGTCTTTTTTCCGCCTTCCCTTCGCCTTCCCCTCCGGCTGCCCTCCGGATGCCTTGACCCTTGGGCCAGGCCATCGCCACGGAGCATGAGCAGGTGGCCGAGCGACTCGGCCGTGCCCGGGCAGCAAACTCCAGTCTCGTTCTGGCCGATGTACGTTCTTTTGACATCTTGCACCAACACTGGCCGACGGCCTCCCTGCCGCTGAGGAGATCTGGCCCCACTCATTGCAGACGAGCTGAAGCAGGCCATTCTGGAACATCTCTGACCTACGGAAACCTTTTCCGAGTTGCACCTATTGAGATTTGAAAGGCTTGTAAGTTCTCGTGGAAAGATGTAGCTGTGAGACTGCGAGTCCGGGTAGCCAGATTGGTTCCGCTATGCTCCTTTCCAGTCTTGTGCCAGGTGCGTCACTTGGTACAGTCCTCTTCAGGCAGAATGATCTCTGCGTGGAAACCATGCCTTGCTAGAAGCATTATTCTTGGGCATTGCGTCTTTCAGATACGCCGCTGACTCTGACAGGGTAGCTGCCAAATTCCATGATGATGTGGCTTGACAGGCGGATCCGGTGCTATGCAGGAGGCCGCAGAAGTTCGGCGATCTCTTACAGTCTTAACACTTGTCTTATACTGGGAACCGCTACGCGTTGGGGAACCGCTGGGCACCTTCATGCTTTTAGAATGATCTTACGATGCTACACCTGCTACGCAATGTCGGGCCACAGGGCCATAGATGCGGTACTGTTACACACTCGCAGGGGCAATAGCAAGCTCCGACTAGGAAGGGGCAAAGTAGGTCGGAAAGCAACCTCGAGGCACAGCTGGACGAGCTCATGCGAGCAGTGGAGACGGAGGCAGACCGGGAGTATGCAGTAGAGTGCCGGGAGAAGGTACGTGAGGATGTAGGAGGAGACATGCCGGGAGTAGCTGAGTAGAGCGTAGCTAGGGAGGAAGAGTAGATAGGCAGAGTAGGAGGAGGAGAGCAGCCGCGAGCTAGTCTTGCTTTCTGCCGAACCCAGATCCGCCTGTCAGGTTATTCAGCCCTTGCACGCGCGTGTGAAGGAGCTGACGGCACAGGTTCAGGCAAGATCAGACACGGTCCAGCACTGGTATGGTCACTTTCCTCTTCAGGGGCCCAGTGACGTCATGGGCAGGCACTGCGCGTGGAGGCAGCGGAGCTCCAGCGGCGCTGTGCAGAGGCTGCTGAGCATCAAGGCACGAAGCCAGTTGTACAAGTGCTACTGCTGAGTCGTTTGTGCCGGCCACAGGGCTTAAACGCTTTAACGGCTTAAAGCTTAAGACGGGGAAAGCTGGGCAGCAGTGCGGCACCTGCAAGCTGTTGAGGTTGAACACATAGACTCTACTTCCTTCTCTCAGACGCAGCCTCTCAAAGCGTTCCCAGGTGCGAACGTTCAAGACACCCCTGCGGCTGAAGCTGCGAAGGCAGCTGCGAAACCCCAGATTTCTCCTGTGCAAAAGTGGCTATACCGTGCTGATGTGTGGAAGCATGTGGGGCCATGCAGGATTGCCGAAACTCTGAGCCCTTAACTTGGTTCCTGAAGTGGATAGCGCCGACCACGTGAAGCTTGTGGAAGGAGTGCAGGTTCCGAAACTTGTGAGGGTGCAGGTAGGGCCTCACCCCGAATATACATTACCGGCCGCCTTTGCTCGGTAGTCAGTAGGTGCGCGCCTTCCGCCAAATCCACAAAAGGCTAAGCAGCTGGAGAGCATGTTCCGGCACGGTCGTGCCGCACCCCGAGGAAGGGAAGTCAGCGAGGTTGTTAAGCATCATTGAGTCTAAGTTGATCCTGTTTCCGCCTTTCCGCACAGGGTCAGAAAAGGATGCTCAGGATGAAAGGATTCTTGATCGTTTTCTGCCATGTGAGTCACAAGCACGCGCCATGAACTTGGAGCGATGCCCCAAGGTGGAAGATGCCTTCCTGCGTGCCATTCAAAAGCAGCGTCAAGCAAGACACTATGATTACCTGGAGCCTCTCTGCCCTGTCTTATTCGCTGGTTACGGCGAAATGGACAGCAGGGTGTCAGTAGTCCCACAATCATCGGCAGGCTTGCGTGCCTATTGCCAGGGTGTTCGTGGCATTTCAGCCAGGTGTCTTTGTGCTTTGGTGCCAGACCCGGAAGCCTGGCTGACAGAGGCCTGCGCCACCAGCGTGACAGCTTTGCCATGCACATGGACATCTTGCAGATGCCATGGTCAGGATTCCTCTGGAAGCCCGATCTCGGCACAGGCGCCGCAGTTGCAGTCAGAATGCGGTTTCATACGTCTCGACGCCACTCAGAGCCAAAGGCAGTGTGGTTCCTGTGCATTGTCTTTGGATGTTCTTGCCAGGCCAAGATGAAGCTGATGCACGCGCTCGCGCTGCAGCTGAAAGAGAAAGTGCTGGACGAGCCGGTCTTCCTCCGCAAGGTATCGGCTGTATCAAGCTGGCTCTTTGGACGGAAGCAAGAGACCATGCCGTTTTTTCGGAGGTTAACTGGATACAAGAGTTGTGGCTGGCAATGGACTTGGAGGACAAGGCAGCACAAGGGAAAATGGAGACGGTTGCAGTAGTCGGGAGCTACCCAGGAGTTTCAGTAGTTACGCACTTCGAGAAAAGAGCTATCTCAAAGTTAGAAGGTTCCCACTCAGTTCTTCTGGCTCCTGTAGAATCCCGTTTCCCAACCTCAGGCTGTGGATCGCCAGGCCAAAGGCCTCTGTGCCCAGCTCATTGAGGCCACTTGGGCCTTATCCGAGGGTGAGATAGGACTTGGGCCTGACATCATGCATGGTCGACAAAGCGGTACGATGTTATGCTCTGTGAATGACATAATGATTCGTGCTTGCCTCCAGCCCCGTCATGCCCACCTGAACCGGGCAGAATTCCGTTGCTTCGGCTTAGGTTCATGTTCTTGGGAGCCATATGCAGTCAGCTCTGACAGGCCCTGGACAGTGCCCAAGCCGATGGTGCTTCGAAAGAGCAGGCGCCCAGACAGCAAACTTTGGAGCGCTTTTCTCATTCCGCGATCGAAATGGATTAGTGAAAATGTGGCTTCAAAATTTACCAGCTTGGTGGCGGTGGCCGTGGCAGGGGCAGCAAGTGAAACCCAAGACCATGAACGTTCAGCAAGGGGGCCTTTCCATCAAACTCCGCCTCTACAGGACGTAAGTAGCACCCACCTGCAAAGATCAAGAAAGGCTTGCAAATCTGGCTAAACTCGAGCTAGTTTCTTGCCCGAAGCGTTGGGATGGTCAGAGCGGCAGAGACTCCAAGATCAGATTTGCTGAAACGTCGCCACGCGTGAGTTGCTATCACGCAGGCCTTCGGCGAGACTGGAAGGAAAACCCTTTCTACTGGGACCTTTCTCTCCTTTTTTGAAACACATTCTTCTTTGCACCTTCAACATGGGGTTCGTAGATCTAGAGTGACATGTGACATATTCTATCATCGTTGCCCCTGCCTACTCACACCATGAAGCCCTCCTAGCTGGCGTGTTCCCACCCTAGGAGGTTTGTTCGACCCTCAATGAATGTAGACGCCTGTGACAGTGAAGCCGTCTCTGAAGGCACTCCGATTGCTGAAGCGCACGCTGCAGCAAGCCGGACTCACAGCATACATGAAGTTCATGAAGTGTATTCATTGGTGTGGGCTCGGTAGTCAGAGCGCAGGTTTTGACGGGTCTTCAAACACCAATCGGTTCAACCCATGGCCACGAAACCCGGAAGCACGAATGCGCCTGCCCCCCGAGGCAGCGAAAATGCTGGCACGTGACTGACCGAGAAGCTGCAGGAATCGGGGGAGTCCGTTTCTAAAAGTTTGACTGCGGCTCGGCGATGTCCATGCTGCCGTTTGAGCTGTCAGACAGGGTGAGAGAGGCTCGAAAGAGCCACGAGGCTCGTTCTCAGAGTTGCTGTGGAAAGACGGCAGGGAAGCCGCTTCAGCAACTTGACAAGTTGCTCGGTCCAATCGCTGCGTGGCAAGTGCTGTGCTGCACACGAAGCACTGGAGAACATGCCGGACATGCCGGGGAAGGTGCGATGGCAGAAGCACTGATCTTGTAGATTGACAGCGCGTCGACCAGACATGGTACAAAGAAAAGTCGACGTCTCGGTCAGCATAGTGCCATGCGGTTTGCAAGCCCCATTGGCAGTGATGCAGCGCACAGTGCACAGTGCACAGCTGCAGCTCAGACGCAGGCGAAGTGCCGAAGTGCCACTTGCGAGCCCTTGGTTCCTGCAGCTCATCGAAGTAGAACATGGGTCCCAACCAAGAGCATCCACCCCCCCTCCCCTCCAGGCCTCCTCCCCCTCCAGCCTCATCAACTTAGCCCACTCATGCCCACTCCCTAGCAGATCCCCGCCTCCTGCTAAGTAGGATGCCTTGTCGCGAAACCGACGTCGACCCAGCCATGGACCGTGCTCCCTCCCGAGAGAGAGAGGGCCATTGAAGGCAGCGCGGGGCAGGGTGTGTTACGAGTTTCATGGGGTTCAGATCTGACAGGAGTGTTTGCGGGTTTCATGATTTCGGGGGGTGGTGGGGTCGTTGGGTTGTTGTTGCTGTATCGCCCGGCAGGGTGCCCATGGAAACCATGGAGCAAGAAGCAGATGGCGACGAGGATGGAGCGAACTCTGGGTCTGTGGTGGCTCAGATGCAGGTTTCTACAGCTTCAAGGCAGCTGGCGAACAACTGAGCGAACACACTTTCTGTGCCCCATGCACCCAAGGCCAGCCTAACCGAAGACGCTGCCCGTCTGCAAGAATAGATTGAAGATGACTGCAGAAGAGTTTCTTGACAGTGTTGAGATAGGAGCACTCGTGATCCTGGGACCAGAGTACTGGTGTTAGCTCTCAGCAGCAGTTGCAAATGCAGGAATCTCGTAGCAAAATCCAGGGGCATGAGGCCTCAGCTAGGCGCGTTTGCATATTGACGCGGCTTTTTCTGGAGGTCCGCTACCCCTAAGATATCAGGGTCGAGGAGCATTGCGCTGTTCGATGCACACCAGTGCTGGAGGATGTGGCCGCTGCCCTCCGCGAGTACCGCGGCTTGCTGACGCGCAAGATGATGCGGAAGGCCCCAGGAATGTTAAGCTACGACTCACATCCGTAAAACCGTCAGGTGCAGAGCACGACTCAGTGGAAGTGTTCTGTGTTCTTCTCTTAAGCACCAGTGCTAGTTTAACCAAAATTCCCGCCGTGCCAATTGCCCTAGCATGCACGCTCCAAAGAAGTTGTGTTCTGAACCTGGTAACCTGATACGAGCTAACCGTTTAACCACCACCATGGGAAGATCAGTGTCAGGTGTGTCTGTGTGTCTCCGTGTGTGTGTGTGTGTGTGTGTGTGTGTGCGTGTTTGCTTGCGTGCTTGCTTGCTTGCTCGCTTGTTTGCTCGCTCGCTCGCTTGCCTGTTTGTTTGCTTGTTTGTGTGTGTGTGTGTGTGTGCACGCGTGTGGGTGGGCGAGCGGTTGAGTGGAGGGGTGTATGCATTGGACTTGATCGTGGTAGTAGTGTGGCGAGGCATTTAAATTTGCAGAGTGTACCTCGTGGTATTCCTGCTTAATTATAGTCTGAAGAATAGCCTCTTTTTTGGCATCTGCCACATCCCTCTCGTATTACAGAAGCTCTGCGCAAGCCTGGGCCCCTAGGCGCGCCGATCCCGAACGAAGCCGAAAACTCAGGACTCCAGAGCGATGGCGAGAAGTTGATACCTGTTACCTGTTACAGGCAGAATGCATACGTATGCCTAGTCACACATGCGCCGAAGACTAACTGACCTCTTGGCGATCAACAAAGCGAGTCATGCGCTACATGTAGTGCCGCCATTGTCGCTGTTTTTGCGCTTGCTTGCTAACAACAAGTTGAACAAGGAGACCGGGGTGAAGGATGCGACATGTCCGACCAAGCGGCGCTTCTATGCGAGCCTTGGTACCCGAATGCGTGGGACCTTTGCCTTCTTGCGCCATCTTGTGCCATCTTGTGCTTTTGTCCTCTTCACTCTAAGACTATAAGGATGACTTCGGACAGCCTGGGACGCGAGAAGGCAGGGGTGAAGGCTGAAGCGGCTGGTGCTGCAAACTCGACGGCTGGGACTTTTTGTGCCAGGCCCTGGATGGCTCCTGGATCGACAAATTGCAGGAACTCCTGGATGAGACGGCCGCCGCTCGATTCCAATGGTATGCTGAGTATGCTGAGTATTCTTCCGCAGACTGCTCGCCTCGAGGATAGCCCGACTCGAACCAGCGTGTTTGCTGCGTCTTAAATTATGGTAAATTAAATTGAAGAAACCAATCACGGCGGTCGCTCTGCCTTTCGGGCTGACCCGAGAGAGATGAAAGCTTAGAAGCTGGAGTGTGGAAGTATTCGACCATGTCAGCAAACGGACCATGGATCAAGACGATGGCCGCCAAGGGAGTCAGCAGGGTGATCGCAGCAGCTGAGGGTTGTTCAGGCATGTCATGTCCTTGTAGTATGTAGTGCTCTGTGGTTGCAATTAACTTCCTGACTTAGCAGCACCTCCAGTGTCGCTCAAGCTGTGCATGTGCGCTAAACCTCCGATGGGCAGGTAGGATCCAAAGTTTTCGTAGGTTTGGTCCAGGGATTCTAGAAAGTCCCGGCTGGCAGTGGCGCACCTAGTCGAGCCCTACGCAGATGAACAATCACGGCAAGGGTCAAACCCCCAGCCGATGTAACCTAAATGCGAGCTCCAAAGCGTTGCATGTGCTGATGTCAATTTCGGTGAAGGAACATTGACAAACCGCAAGCTTGGGACAAACGACATTCACTGATGCATCATGACATGCTATAGCAGAAGGTTGCCGCAAGTGCATCGAGAGCTGCATGTTGCACTTACACTTAGAAGCTATGTGGACGAGCGAATGACACCTCAGGAACCCAACTTTTTTTGGTGCTGCCTGACTTAGCTCGTCGGTCGACCCACGGCCACCTTGCATCAGCGTGCAGTTTCGTGAGCTTGTCTCTGAGGATGCCTATGGAGCTGGAACCGAGTGGCAAGCTGAAGTCCACGATGCGGCACCACCCTCGGTTGAGCTGCAGTGTGAACCTCAATTTCTGCTGCAAGCTGACCAGACATCCACACAAATCACTTCCTGTGCCATTCTTTGCAGCTTTTCTTCTCCTTCCAAGCCTAGATTTTGCCTGCTTCTTAACCCTGAGGAGCAGAAGGAGCTCCGAGACCAAGTTGGGGGCTACTTGACCAGCTTTTTCCAGGCCGGAAGGGCATAGGACGTGACTTCGTTTGTGCCATGTGTGGACAATCCATGCCCGCATGGGAAGAAGTGACAACTGAATTTCCTCAACTGTCGCAGCGGAAGCTTCGGGAGTGCATGTACAGTCAGATTATGCGCTGTTTCATCCTCGCTGTTGTCCTGGTAGAACTAGATGGGCCCAGAAGGCCATGCTGGAACGGCAGAATAACCTGGCCATGTTGGGTTGGCCTTCAGCATCACTTTCCAGGCTGGCAGCGACAGCATCGACGCCGTCACCTCGCACTTGGTGCAAGTCTGGCGGTGCTTGAACACTCCCATGGAGTCCGGTGGGACTCTTGAAGCCTGGCAAAAAGCTGGTTTCGTCAGCCAGGAGCAAGTTCTACTCCTTGCAAGGCTCTTCTGCCTAACGATTGCCGAGGATCCGCGAGAGTCGGCACCGGACTTGGACGGTGCCATGCGGGACGTCGCGCAGTCGCTGAAGGAGCTTGATAGAGACCATGTGAAGGCGTGTAGCCTATGAACACGCTATGAACACGAGAGGCATGGTCTGTATTGAACAGAACGGGTTGCCGAGAGAAATGCCGTTGCCGATGAAAGTCTGCAGCATGAACGTGTGTAGCGTATGCTTCGCTGCAACATGAACGCTAACGTGTCCCCCCCTAAAACCGTCAAGCAGAAGGGGTTCATAGAGGGTCCATACACTTGCCATGTTGTCCATAGGCGGCTCGTCGGAGGCCAGATCCACAGGAGGTTTCCTCAAGAAGGTCCATGGAGGGCCCCTATAAGTCCACTCCTGTAGGGGGTGCATAGTATAAAGAAGGTCCGGACGGCACAAGGTTCGTCCGTAGGGGGTTCAGAGGGGTTCATAGGAGGTCCATACAGGGTCCATAGATAGGGAGTCATGGTCAGGTCGGTACATTGCAGGTCCAGAAGGCCATAAATGGTCCAGACACGCAAAGGTGGTCCATTGGAGGTCCATATTATTTTTCTTTTCTCTCTCTCTCGCTCTCGCTCTCTGTTTTTCTCCCTCTCCTGCAGGCGTCCATAAAAGTGGATAGGGGTCCACAGGGGGACACCACCCCCCCCCCCTTCCAAAAAGAACTGAGCCGCAAGGGCGCGCGAAGGTGCTGGGGCTGTTCTTTTCTCCACACGCCTTTGGCCTGGGGCCGCGGAGGAATTTGCTCCCATGTGTGAGGAGGCAAGAGATGTTGGTTGTTCTCGAGCGGACAAGATGGCCCATCAGTGGTTCGCATACCTGACAAAGGAGGCAACGCATGAGGGAACCGTTCGCATCCAAAGTTCTTGCCACCAGCCAGTGCAGCGGAGTGCGCCGGGTTTATTTCAGAAGCACACCTGCCGAGCATCGTAAGCATCAGTGCAGTCTCTCTGTCCTTAGTTCTTCTTGGGCTCTTGCAACATCATGGTTGTGCCCGAGCCACGGTAGCATCTCCAGAGGTCTTCAAGGTTGAGTCGTTTGGTGAGCACCAGCGCATCCACAGCTTGGAGCAGCTGAAGTTCCTTGGGCATCAATAAAGGCCAACCATGACATGCACGACCCCCATCATAGAGGTCTGACAAGGGGTACCGGGTACAATATGGCATAGTCCTTCTAAATTTAATGAGTCTATTTTGTGCACAACGCTCCGAAAGAGGGCTTTGCGTGCCTTAGGTCCCGGCTGCGCTTGCACCACGACTACGACGCCCTGAGAGATCGCTGGCAGCGCATGGACAACTTGAATGCGGGCCTCGAGGAGGCCGTGAGCAACAAGGCGAACCTGAAACAGGCCTGCGAGCACGCGGAGTCTCTACTGAACCAACAGATTGAGGCAGACTTCCACAAGAACTTCCAGAAAGAGACGAAGCAACTGTTAGTCCAGGCGGCCAAGGCTCGGGCAGACCTGGTGGGGCAGGTCGAAAACCAGGTAAGGCACCGTGGGGTGCTGCGTGCTGAACTCCTGATGCATCTCGGTGAGTTCTCTGAGAAACTGAAAGCCTGGCATCCGAAAACATGCAGAAAGTTCCAGGAAGGCATCAGCTCGTTGAAATCTGCCAAGCGCCAGGCAGAAAATCGTAAGCGGGTTGCAGATGACGCCTTGGCCAAGATCAAGATGGAACTGCAGCGCACGCAGTCCGAGCTCCAACAGATGCTGGCCCCGTACACCGGCAAGCAGTTGCAAGTGGACGTAGACTTGAGTACGTTCGAAATCACGTCCTGCCCAGCCAAAGACCTTGTGGTGTCTCGCATCCTGGCAACTGTTGCCGAACGCGAAGATTCCATCGTCCCCAGTGTGCTCTTGTCCTCAGTCAAGGACCTTCGTTATTGCTTTGTGTCTTAGATGCTGCCGCTTCTACCACACATTTGCAAGACAGCGCGCTAAACCCGGAACCTTAGTCCAGTGTCAGAGCTCTCAAGGACCTGGTGAGCCGCTGTCCATCAGAGCGCCTGCAGCAATCCACGCAGGCACTTGTTCCAGAGCGTCCTCTTTGTGAGGACTGGGCAGCATCAGCTATACCCCTCTACGTCTGTAGAGCAGCGGTCGTTAAACCTCAATGCAACTTGAATGCGGCCGAACCCCAACATGGGATGAAGTGGATATACGAATTGGTACCATGTCCTGAGGCCTCATGTGGGAATATCGGGGAGTGCGGGCCTGCTAGGACAGGACGCGCCTCAATGAAGTACTGAACTTCGATGATGTCCAAGCACAGCTACGACACAAGGCGCCCAGTTTTCGGTTTAGGGTAATGGTAAACGCTTGCAAGCGCAAACGCGGTCCAAGGAGGGGTCCAAAGGGGGGTCTCAAGGGGTCCCTGGCAGAAGAGGCCCAGGGCAGATTCAGGGGTTTTCTGGGAAGGTCTGGGGAGGGGTCCCAGGCAGGTTTCAGGGTTGCCATTTCGCGGGTTGGCCTTTGGTGTGGTCTGTGTGTGCCCTGCGGCAAATTTCGGCTTTTCCTGGCGGTTTGGGCAGGTCCCACAGGGTGGTGGGGGGGTTGAGGAGGTCTGCTTGTTCTAGATGCCTCTCGAGGCTGGGAAGTCGAGGCGACTTGTGGGAATTGGGGAATTAGGGTAATTACATCGGGTCAGCATGGGCCAGCCAGCCATACACATACTGGAGCACTGCTTGTCCTCGATGATTTCTGAACCATGAGTCCACAATGACTAAATATGACCAATCAAAAGTCCTTTTTGTGTTCCAGGAAACAGCACATGCAAGCATTCGAGGAGGTCTCTTTGTCCCTGTGTCGAGTCAGGCAGCGGCTGCTGAGGATGTGGCCCAATTTCTGGTTGGAAACAAGGGTTTGCTCCTGATGCGTGGCCCGGATGCCTGCCTGCTGTTGGCTCACTGACCAAAGTCGGACCATTGGCACCACTCAATCACACGGGGGGTTTTGCTGTGTGTGCAACACACTGACAAGGATCGGACTCGCTTGGATGAGATTCTTCGCGAGCTCCGTGCAGTTTCAGCGGAACGTAGTTTGGTCGAAAAAATATGTGAATATTTGTGTCAAGTAGTAGGCTTGAAGCAATTGTTTTCTCTTTGGTTTTGGCTTCCGCCCTCAGGCACTTTCGGGCAAAATACGACCGTGACGGCCAAGCTGCTGAAAAGGGCCGAGCCTTTGCTTAAGGCAGGTGCGCTCTGTCATGGCCTTCCGGCTTCGTCAGTGCCAGTCTTTCGGGGATCGCACTCATTAGGCGTAGGAGTAGGCTGGATTGCACACCAAAACCTAAAGCAGGTGCTTTCGGCTGCCAACAGCCGCGGGGAAGGTCTGCGCCGTGGATGCGTGGGCTCAGAGGCCAGAGAAGGGCCAAGCAGTGGTGCAATGCAAGTGGCAAAGCAAGCCAAGTGGATTTTCGAAGCCTTGCAAGCGTGTTTTCTTCAGTCTAGGAATACTCGCGCTTCGCATCTCACAGGCATCCCTCATCATGGCCCTGCTGCAATTTGGACTCTTGGTGGAAGCAGGGTCCATTGTTAGACAAGTTGGGCCCCGGGTGTCGAGTCGGAAGGTTGAGCTTGCGCCTAGTCTGCTCGGTATGTTGAGGTGGCCTGGTGCGCGCGCAGCGAGGCACCTCACTGGGACATGGCATGCCATGATATGACATGATGATCAAAACTGCAGTTGATGTGTGCTCGACTGTGCTCACTGCAGCTAGTTCTGTCGCTGCACACGAACTTGTGTCAGCTCCTTCTTGTTAATTGCCTCAGGTTGTAAACTACTGGCTGCTCTTCACAGCCTCCGCAGTCTCCAGCTGCGCAAACAAGCCCTCAGCAAGGTGGTGGAAGTGCACCCCTGCTTTCATTTCAGAGAACCGGCAAAGAGAACAGGGTGAGGTAACCTGACAGAGTGGTCGCTGGAAATCAATTCTGACAATTCTGCCCCCCCCCCCCCCAAATGCTCGGGGGCAGAATGCTAAGGGGCAGAATGCTAAGGGGCGCTCAAAGTGTCAGCGCCTGGGTCTTCGGAGCTAAGGCCGCCAGAGAGGCCTCCTCAGGAGCAGGCCGGGCCAGGGGTTCTAGGGTAATTTTATGATAGAGAACATGGAATTCGATGTAAGTATCGATGTAAGTATCGATAGTATCGTGAAGAGCTATGCAAAGCTACCACACCCTTCGTCGCAGGCGCGCAGAGAGAGAAGAGAGGAATTGCTGCCATCTGCACTCAGGTCAGAGCCATCGAAGCCGCCCTACGAGCAGTGGGTGGCGGTGTGAGTATCCTGGCCGAGCAGGCGCGAGTCTGTCAAAAATGAGATAAGAGTTTCGCAGAACCCCGGACCCCATGCAGAATCTCTACCGTCAAAGGGTACTTTACTGTATCTGGAAGCACCTTTCGCTGACACAGCAACCCCATTCCCGTGGCAGCGCAGAGGCGCCATCCGTTGAAACTGTGCAACTGGCGTAGGGCTGTCAGAGCTGTCTCCCGGAATCCCACAGGCCGAGAAGCTTGCCCAGGAGGGGAGCAGCATCGTGGCAAGCTATAGCCTGGAGCTCAGGGTCGGAAGACCGAAGATGTTGTCAATTGCTGAATCAGTTGGCAGTATGTTACCTAGAAAGTGGTTGGATTCGTGTTGGTGACATGCTGAGGTCACAGCCTGGAGCAGCTTCTTGAGGTGCATGACAGGGTTTCGGGATGTTCAATGTTCAGGGTTGGGCGATGTCGAGCGTCGGATGAATTCATAGCACGTCAAGCTAGCTTCTCAACCCAATCCTACCCTTCACCCAACGTGCTTTTGCAACCCTTGCACGAGTCTCTGGTGCCGGGACTCAGTGACAGGCCACGCAACAGCTGGCGATTCTTGGCAAGCACAGGAAGATCTTGTTCACATCATCTTTTTAGCTGATTGCAGCTGCTTACATGGTGCCGACCGACGAGTAGCCCCCCGAGGCTGAATCGAAGAATCGACGTGATGTCGTCCAAGGGCATCACCCAAGAGAAAATCGACGCTCATGGCTCCAGCCTTACTTGCGGATGCGCGAAGCCGCAAGGGCATCGTGGGGGCATTGTCTCAGTTCTCTCTTAGCAGCGAGGCATGGAAACCAACTTCGAAGGCAAGCGTGTTGAGATCGACCTCTTCCCTGATCTGCCAGCGGTGCTCGCAGCGGCACCGCAGGCGAGATCGCCTCAGTCAAAGCCTCATGGCAACACTGGCCATCCTGGTCGTGATGCAGCGGCTCTGACCCCGTATGTGCTGAAATACCAGCAGGCCATGCTGAAAAAACAGTTCAACCTGACAAAGTGGCTGCGATGTGCCTTGATGCCAAATCTGTCCGACTCGGACTTTGTGACGATGCAAGAAGCCATGGAGGCTTCACAGGCCTACCTTCGAAGTCACCTGCCAGTGGAGGCTGAGGTCAGTTCGTCCTCGGCCAGCAGTGAAGACTCCAGGATGTCAGATTCTGTGTTCAGCCCTAGATCCAACAGGTTCAACACACAAGACGGCCTCAGTCGAGCATCCCTGGGATCCATATCACCCCGGGCGCAGCCCGGGCGCGGCGAAGATCCCCAGGAGGCTTTGAGCACTTTGCTGCGGCAGCGAAGCATCTCCGACATGCTGCATGACAGGCTGGACTCAGAGTGAAGACAACAGAGAGTGCATCCTTAGGACCCTCCACGTGTGCTGGATTCCTGGACTAACCCCCCTCATCGGCAAAGCAATGACGCAGGCGGATGAATAGAGGCATGGTCCGTCAGCTCTCTGAGCGCTTCGAGGCAAATGTCGAAGGTCCGTTGGGCCTGAGCTTGTTGGTTTTCAGGTCAAGAGGCTATTTGAAATTTAGAGGCGTGAATAGGGCGAAGGGGTTTTCATAGGAGTGTGGGGTTGGGCACCCTTCGCCGAGCGATCATCAGCGACAATCCAGAACAATCCTGAGTCTAGAATCTAGACTGCTAGAGAGACCGGGACACGCAGGCTATGTCAACCGTGCCAACGTGCACAGCTACAAGCCTTGCTTGCTAGACCATGTTTTCACTGTTGGTTCCATGCATCTGGCGCAGCTGTGCTGAACGGCGAAAATCTTTTGCAAGCCAGGCTACAGGCAATCGTTGGAAGACAGATCTTCCTCCGAAGACGCAGACTTGGGCGTGGCTTCATCTTCGGAGGTCTGGTTTGCTCGAAATTGCAAAAAGTTCATGTCATCTGAGAGTGTGGGTCGACTTTGCCAGGAGGAGGTGGTGAACGAGGAGATTTTGCAGAAGCGCTCCGAAGCCACGTTCCTCAAGTGGTCTGCCCCGGCCAAGGCCACACCGAAACCCAAGGCCAAGGCCCGAGGAGGGCTCCGGCACGGGTCCAACTGGGCGAAGACGGCGAAGATCAGGGACATTGCCAAAGAGTCCGCATCCAGTTCCTCGCCTTCGCCGAGGCCTTCAAAGCTGTCGCCGCGGGTTTACAGAGACTTGGCCGGCCGGCAGGTGGTGGCACACACGAGCGTCTCACAGCCAGCAAGCAACATGTTTGCCAGCGAAGCTGCGGGTGCGACAAGCGACTCAGACCCCCAAACTTCACCGCATGGCCTTGCCGACAGCCTCGGGGGCACACCGCGGCGGCTTTGGGCTGCTGCAAACGAGGAGGACGATGAGGAGGCGGCAGAGGAGGCAGGGGAGGCAGAGGAGGCAGAGGAGGCAGAGGAGTCAGAGAAGCCAGCTGGCATTCAGGAGATCAAAGAGCAGGAGGGTGAGGCTCCTCGCCAGGATCGCCACCTCCCCATGCCTTCCTTGCGGCATAGGCCTAGGTTGGTTCAGGGATCTACGGATGCATCGTCATTGGTGCTGGCAACAAGCGGCACAGCACGTGGCAGAACTCAGCAACAGCCCGCCGCAGGCAAGACCAGATCCCAAAGCCCCAAAAGCCCTTCACCTGGGCCTGGACAGGCTCCACTTCGGGAACCTTCACTTCCGAAGCTCCGGCCACTGCAGCCTGCTCTCCATGCTGCAGGCAGAGATCAGGATCTGGCAGCGCCGACGTACTTGCAGCCCGAGTCCGAGGAGGAGGAGGAGGACAAGAAGGAGGAGATGAAGGAGACCACCCCAAGATTCGACAAGCTGACGGTAAGGAGGTCCTTCTCACACAAGCACCAGCCCACGCAAGACGAGCTCGGTATGGAGGCGGAGGATGCGGAGGATGCGGAGGATGCGGAAGAAGTGGATGCCCCTTTGGTTGGCCCCGCACCTTTGGTTGGCCCCGAGACCACTGAGGTGAACAAAGACGACGGGGTAGATGGCCCAGACGATGGCCTGGACGACGGCCGGCGCGAAGAGCCCGAGGAGATGGAGGCCTCCGAGCCTGCCGCGAGCCTGCACTCTGCTTGGGCCGCGGGGAAGATGCACCAGGTCAGCCTGGAGAATGTGGAAAGCCTTGGCCCAGAGCATGAGCTCGCCTTTAGCCAGGGGCACCAAGAGCCTTGGCTTTGCAGTTCGGACATCAGGGTAGGAAGGGTCCCAAAGCAGCACAGCGAAATGAAAGTGTGAGAGGGGACACGTGCCGAGTGTGCTGCAAACAACGCATCTCAGTCGGCCGCTTCCATCACCAATGCTGCCGCGAATTTCAGGCCCGCGGCAGTTCAACTCCATTCATGCCAGTAGAGAGAGAGAGAGAGAGAGAGAGAGAGAGAGAGAGAGAGACAGAGAGAGAGAGAGACTGCGGAAACCCGGACCGCGGAGGCTCCCCCAACACTTTCGTGATGCCCTACGTATCCTGTGCACAGCGCAAAGCCTGTGCAGTGTACGCCATGAGCCAAAAGAAGACCCGAGCGACCTGCCAGGTCCCGGAAAGTTCTGGCCGAGAAGGCTCCACGACTTGGACGCGCCTTCCCGCCGGGCTGTTCTGAAGCAGCTCGGGCAGCAGAGCGAGGTGGTCGGCTTGTCACGAGCCGCCGCGCTGGCCACGAAGTTTCTCTTTGTGTTTTTGGGCCTTGTGTGTGGTGCAGTCCATGATGCTAAACGATTCAAAAGTCTGAAAAACAATACAGGGGGCCATAGGCCTGTCATCCGAGCTGTGGCCAACTCAGACCTTTGATGGTAGGTGTGCAAACGTACCTGCGTCCAAAGTCGACCACTTTTTCATTTCACGCAAAACCGGATTTTCGGCAACTGAGCGGGACGTGCCGACACGCGCTATCCCTTTAACTGTCAGCAGGTTTGCCATGTGAAGACTTGCTGAACAAGGACAGTTTCGAGGATCGTGAGAATATCAGCAACGTAATGAACGAATCCTGTGTTATTCGGGGCACAGACTGTGCTCCAAGCCTTTGCAAAGCGGCTTAAGCGAACTAAAGGGCGCCAGTTAAGAGAAGCTGCGTACCAGTAGCACCGCTGCCAGCATATACGTGAGAAGAGTTGAGTAGGCTGTTACCCAGGCACCGGCTCTAGCACCAGTGCAATCAACACTCTGTTTAGCTGTAGGACTACCAATACTACCATTGGCGGTGCTGCGGCGGTGCTGCGAGATGACCAGTACTCAGTACTGTTTCCTAAGCCGAACAAGAGCAAAGCAAAGAACCCTGCCCCTCCACAAGAAGAAGAAGAAGAAGCACTTATCTTTCAGAAGCCAGGTCACAGTGGATGTTTGATGGATGTTAGAAACAGCCGACACTGACAACAATGATGACCATGGACGTGTTGTGCTCAGGCGGACAGGTCGCTGAGTGGCCCACCGGGTACAGCGCGCCGGCTTCAGCTCCACAGCCGGCCTGGTTCCGGGAAGCGCTCCGGCGTTCCGCGCTCCGAGGAGCTGTGGATCTTCGCCTAGGTCTTTTGCTACTCTCACACCTTCAAGGCTGATTCTCGAATTCTTGAATTCTTGAACTTTGGGAACACAAGGCCATGTGTACACATGTGTCAAATCCATGTTGAGACATCAAGCTTGAGAGACTTGATTTGGAGGAAGCCCCGCAGGCGGCGCCTCATCCACCGGCTGGGAGCCGAGCGTGTGGCATACTTGCCTAGAGGGTTCAGGCGTTGTCGTCTTGTGGACTCAAGCATGGCTTAATCAGGAATAGTACCCTGTGCCAGAGAAGCGTGTCGATGCACTTGGCTTTCTCAGTCTGTGAGTACACGAGAGGGTGTTTTGTTAAAAGGAAGCCTTGTCGTCGGGGATGCAGGCCGATCCAGCTGCTGCCGCAACAGACCAGAACATCCGCGCCGCGGCGCTGCGCCAGTGGGAGAGCGCAGGCCCTTCAAGTCCCAAAAGCCGAGCGGCGCGCAACAAAAAGACAACTAGCTCTTGTAGTAGCTTCTGGGAATTGTCCGCAGCAGTGCTAGTTACTGCTAGTCGACGTGGGAATACCGTGGCAACATAATGTGCTGACTGCTTATGGCTGAGAATTGAGAAGGTTAGATGTCGGAACGGGCAAGGGCAAGTCCCCTCCAAGGCTGGCACCTCCGCCCGCCTACTGACCTGCCAAGCGCAGCCGTCGCCACGACTCTACCGGAGCACGTGGAGGCAGGCAAGACGACAGCGCGGACCGCGAGTCCAAGAAGCACGCTCCATGTGTACCATACATACTGTAGCACATGTTGCCCCAAGAGTCGTGGCCGAGGAGAATGCGAATAGACCCGGGCATTCTACTTTAGAATGTGTATTGCCAGGGACACACCAGTCCAAAACTCTGTACATCTGCTGGGCGGTGGCGACTGTACTGCCGAGCAAACCGTCAGCAAACCACAAAGCACAGACCACACTGTCTCTGAAACAGAACAAGATAGCCCGATCAAATTCATGTTGACGCATCTAGCTCGCCAGACCTGATTGGGAGGCAGCCCCCAAAGCGGCCCAGCATCCACCGGCTCGGAGCTGAGTTGCAGCCATGAGAAGGGCTCGGCGTTGATGGTCAACAACGTGCGCAAAAGCAACTGGATCTTGAAAAGAACCTTTTCGTCGGGGCTGTAGGCCGATCCAGCTGCTGCCGCGACAGACCAGAACATCCGCGCTGCGGCGCTGCGCAAGTGGGAGAGTGCCTTGACATGCCTCGAGCCTTGCTATCACCCGCAGCTGTAGTGCCATGGTGCCATAGCGTCGGTCTTGGTGTTTGGGTCAACATAAGTAGTCCGGCTGTCCTGACTGAGAGAGTCAGTTAGATGCCAAAGTCCCCTCCAAGGCTGGCACCTTCGCCCGCCTACTGATCTGCCTAGCGCAGCCGTCGCCACGGGGACTCTACCGGAGCACGTGGAGGCTGGCAAGACGACAGCGCGGACCGAGTCCAATAAGCACGCTCCATATGTACCATACACAGTGTCGTCATCCTCGCGACGGCCTTTTTTTTTGAACCACGTTTAGGAGCATGCACAGGGGCCGGGGCATTTCTAGAACGCGTGTTGCCAAGAGACACACTGCTGGCAGAAGCGACCCTGAACCAGTCCAAAACTCTTTGCGCCGTAAAGTTGTAAAGTTTACGCCCCTCCGAAGCGCCTGAACGCTCTTCCTGTCTCTTCCTGTCTCTTAACCTCCGCGCGAGGAGAGCTTGCGCCCCAGTCGGCCCAGCTCCGCTCCTTGGAGGCCTAAAGCGCGTCCGAAAACGCCGAGGCCTCAGGGCGGCTGCAGAGTTCTTTGAGGTTTCTTGAGGTTTCTTGAGTGCGCAGCTCCTCGCAGCTCCTCTCTCTGAGGCCTTCGAGGCCGGCGCCAAAAGTCTGCAGAGACTTTGCCGTGGCCGGCCAGAAAGTGGCGGGACAAAAGCCAGTTAGAAGAATTATTGTGAGCGATGAGGGGGCGGAAGCTTTGAGTGACACAAGCGACTCAGATGCCGAAACCTCACCCCATACCGGATACGACGTCCTCGAGTGCACAGGGCGGTCGCTGCTGGCTGCTGTGGCAGCTGGCCTTCGGGCAATGAAAGAGGACAAAGAGGCACCTGGCGACGATCCCCGAAGCCGGCCCTCCTCGGGGCACAGGCCAAGCCTGGTTCACAGGTCAAGCCTGGTTCAGGGATATCTGGATGCCTTGACCTTGGCAGCGCACGGCACAGCATGCGGCAGAGCTGAGCAGCAGCCCACTGCTGGCAAGCCCAGATCCGAGAGCCCGAAGAGCCCTTCACTTGGACAGACTCCACTTCGGGACCCTTCCTTTCCGAAGCCGCAGCCCGCTCAGCCTGCTCTCAAGTACTTGCAGAATGAGAGGGATTTGAGAGGCTTCTCACAGAAGCGCCGGCCATCGGCGGACGTCAGGGCGAACGAGGACGCAGACTCAGTAGGGACGCCTTCGGTTAGCCCCCAGCGCACCCAGGGTGACCCAGATGAAGAGAGCGACGGCCTTGAAGATAGTGCTCCGAATGCTCCGAATGCTCTGGGTGTTTACGTGTTCATAGACGATGGCCTGGACGACGGCCGGCGCGAAGAGCCCGAGAAGATGGAGGCCTCCGAGCCTGGCGCGAACCTGCACTCCGCTTGGGCCGCGGGGAAGATGCACCAGGTCAGCCTGGAGAATGTGGAAAGCCTTGGCCCAGAGCATGAGCTCGCCTATAGCCAGGGGCACCAAGAGCCTTGGCTTTGCAGTTTGGACATCAGGGTAGGAAGGGTCCCAAAGCAGCACAGCGAAATGAAAGTGTGAGAGGGGAAACGTGCCGAGTGTGCTGCAAACAACGCATCTCAGTCGGCCGCTTCCATCACCAATGCTGCCGCGAATTCCAGGCCCGCGGCAGTTCAACTCCATTCATGCCAGTAGAGAGAGAGAGAGAGAGAGAGAGAGAGAGAGAGAGAGACAGAGAGAGAGAGAGAGACTGCGGAAACCCGGACCGCGGAGGCTCCCCCAACACTTCCGTGATGCCCTACGTATCCTGTGCACAGCGCACAGCCTGTGCAGTGCACGCCATGAGCCAAAAGAAGACCCGAGCGACCTGCCAGGTCCCGGAAAGTTCTGGCCGAGAAGGCTCCACGACTTGGACGCGCCTTCCCGCCGGGCTGTTCTGAAGCAGCTCGGGCAGCAAAGCGTGGTGGTCGGCTTGTCACGAGCCGCCGCGCTGGCCACGAAGTTTCTCTTTGTGTTTTTGGGCCTTGTGTGTGTGTGTGTGTGTAGAGGCAACCGCTGTACATGTGGTGTGTACATGAAGCAAGCAGTTAGAGAACACCAGGAAAACAAAGCTCAATTGCATTGTGCAGGGACCAGTGCAAGCCTCCTGCCAACGACACTTGCCATTGCTGGTGTAGCATGCTGGAACGCCAGAACATGTACCTGCGGAATGTGGTTGTCCCAGACATCCTGTAACAGCAAGCTTGCTGTGTATGGTTGGCACTCGTCTTTGCTTCGAAGTTTTGTTGCAAACGACAGAGGTGGAGCATCTGAGCTTGCTTTTTGATTTGTTTTGCATGGGATGTGGCATGTTTAGCATGGAACAGCAATTGCAGTCTTGCAACACAAGTGCTTGTGGTGCACGTCTCGGATGACCCCCTTGCCACATGTGGACGTGTCGAGCATTCTGAAGCCGGCTGTTTAAAGGACGCAAGGGATGAGCATGGTAACCTGTGACCATGGAGCATGCTGTGAGGTAGTGTGAGGGATTTGTGAGGCACATTGTCGCAAGGTTGGAGGAGAATATTTGTTGCAATTCAACCTTATCAACAAAATCTCAACGCCTCTCAACACCCAAAACCCCTACATCATACCCACATAAACGCCACCGGTTTACGCACGTTCCAATCGAGAACCGAGGCCAATTTGAGAAAGGTTTTGGCTACGCTCGCAAACCAAGCCTAGCTTGAATATGGTACCGGGGCCGAACCGTTGATGATGCAGTTTCTAGGCTTCCAAAAGCCGCATGGCACCGTTTTGTGCATGTCCAACTGTGCGACGCACGAAAACCAAGGCAAGCTGATTCAGGCTTTTGAGTTTAGCCAGATGCATTTTGCGGGTTTGTTTTGCGCAGGTCCCAATTTTCTCCGATCGAAAACCAGGACTCATTCACGTTTTTGTGCAACCGAAACAGGGACAGACAGATGACGTGGCCAGACCTGTTTCAATTCAAAAGGAATGTTCGGCATTTCCAGCGAGGTTTCGTGAAGCCGCTTTCGCTGCAGCCCCAAGCCAGGACAGATGAGAAAGACCGCTTAGCCAGCCTCAAAAACGGGGTAAATGAAGAAATATGACACAAATCCAGCTGCGCGAATAGCTGCGCCTGCATGAACGCATTCTGCTGTTGGGGATGTCGCACATTTTTTGTCATTCCACCCGTGTGCACAGCAGGTGATGGTGCTTTGTTGAAAAGCCTAGGCCGATCCAGCTGCTGCCGCGACAGACCAGAACATCCGCGCTGCGGCGCTGCGCAAGTGGGAGAGTGCCTTGACCTGCTTCGAGCCTTGCTATCACCCGCAGCTGTACTGCCATAGTGCCATAGCGTCGGCCTTTGTGGGCAAAGCAGTTTTTGACTTGGGCTTAGCATACGTAATCCGGGTGTCATGGCTGAGAAAGTTGCCGGAACGGGCACCCGCAACTCCGCTCCAAGGCTGGCACTTCCGCCCGCCTACTTATCTGCCCAGTGCTGCAGTGGAGACAGGGACTCTGCCGGAGCACGTGGAGGCTGGCAAGACGACAGCGCAGACAGTAAGTCGAGTAAGCGCAATCCATATGATATGCACAATATGCACATTATACTCCAAGAGTCGTGGCCGAGGAGAATGCTCAGAGAAAAGGTTTTTTTTTTAGAATGTTTATTGTGACGAGAGAAACTGCGCCTCCATCCAAGCAACATAGCTGATGGCAGAAGTGACCCTGAACCAGTCCAAAAAATCTACACGCCTCCGAAGCGCCTGAACGCTCTTCCTATCTCTTCCTGAACCGCCGCGTGAGGAGAGCTTGCGCTCCTGGCAGCTCAATCGGCCCAGCTCTGCTCCTTGGAGGCCTACAACGCGTCCGAAAACGCCGAGGCGGCTGCAGGGTTCTGCTTTGCTGTGGGCTCGGGTGCGTTGCAGAGCTGTTGCCGTGGTACCCTGCCTTGAAGAGGACAAGCCTGAAAATTCATGTAGACTACACTACGAGAATGTGGCCCTTTGGTGGCCGATGTCGTTCAAATATCCAGTGCTAGTCGTCTGCTCTGGGCTCTGCTGTGAGACCTGTAAGCGCTTTCTCAAGATGTTCTCTGATCTGAACCACCAAGCTGCTCAATGATTTGCTTCGACTAACTAAGAGCATTGCTTCACAGTTGCAATCCGTGGAGGCCGGCCTTTGGTAGCGGCGCCGCTGCTCGTGGCCCTGGGTGAGGAGGGCATCGTTTCTTTCGGCGGTTCCCGTTTGTTGGCTCTGTATCGTTCAGAGTCCCACCCATGATTTGCTGATGTTAACGACTGTGGTCTTCGGGCTCATGCTGCCCTAAAGCAAGGGCCAGCGAGTGCACCGAAAGGCTTTCCGGAAACTTGTACATAGGCCGACACGAGGCTCCAGCCTTCAGATGTTTGGGACTGGCAGGAGGCTTTGGAAATTGTTTCGATTTTGAGGGGTTGGCCCAGGTTCCTGATAAGGGCCATAAGGGGCACGTCCCAGGCGTCGCGGCCCCGGTCGGCCACCATAGGAAGCTTAGGGGGCAGCGAGCCTCAACACGAGGAGCGCTGCCTTTGTTGGCAGGTTTTCCCACGAAGAGAAAGGTGGATTCCGGCCTGTGATTCTGCATGTGGTCTGGAAACTGGTGCAGTGTGACGTCTATGAAGGTTGCCGGTAGCCGCACAGCCATTCAATATTAGGTACATGTTTTGAGACACCAAGACTGAATTCGAGACCAGGGCAGGGTAGGATCAAGGCAGTTTCGGGTAGTGTCGTACAGCAAAGATTCTTGTACTGTCTTGCTTCCTCGGCCATACATGTTTCCCTTGAACCGTGCCGTTCCCACGAACCCTGCGCTCCGAGGAGTTGCATTGTGGAAACAACGAAAGAATGACGAGACGGGAACCCCCAGTTGCGGCTTCGGGATAGCAACAATTAGACAGCAGAATCGTCGGGCGAAGGCGTTGTTGGAACATCTGTGGGGGGGTATGAGACGTGCATCCTTGAGTCTAGCGTTCCGCGTTGACGGCGAATGCTGCAATGGCAGAGCCAGCTCGCTCGTCCTTTGGACGCCGCCAGAAGGAGCGGGTGCGCGAGGAGTTCCTCAATCTGGTGCAAGGCACAGTCCCCTTACCAGCTTACCAGCTAGCCTTTTGCCATATTGAAAAATAAGGGGGAATGTGGGAAGTTTTGAGACCCATGATACTGGGGTCCAAAGAGCAACCCTGGCACGCCATGCCGCTCTGGCTACCCTGAGGCATGCTTCAAGGGAACGGCACGACGGACAACATGGCCACGGCACTGGCGTGGTGCCTGGAACGCGTTCGGGAGCACAAGTGCATGGACACAAACACCTCGGAACCTTGGGTGAAGTGGACTCGGGGTAACATGTCTGAAGCATTTGCATAGGATGCATACTCGAGTATGCATGCCCTGGTTGGGAGGCTTCTTGCGTAGATGCCTTTCTCAAAGCTGAAGCCCTGTCTTGGTCAGGAAGTGAACCGGGACTTCGCCGGTCTTCTGGAGAAGCTGCGGGTGCATTCACAGCTGGATGCCGCTGACTACCTAGACGAGCAGCTCAGGTCGTTTATGAAGTGCACGCTTAGTTCCCAGTATACTCTGGAGCCTCATGCTGCCATCCTGCGAGCGATGCTGTCATTGGCCCGCTCGCCTACACAAGTCCCTGGACGGGTCGTGCGCATGTTGCGTGGAATCTACGAGAGCCGGAAGAAGCGTGAGAAACTGCAGCAGCGACAAGCTGGGGAGCACGCACAGGATCGAAAGATGTTGATGGAGCTGGAATTGCAGCAGGCTCGGTCACACGCACCCTACTCATCTACATTGTATCTATATCTCTATAGTCTATACTCGTATGCCTTTCCTCAGATCTTCGTAAGCTTCCCAGACCAACAGAGTCTCCACTCCTCCCAGGTGGCCGACCATGCTTGTGAAGATTGGGAGGAAGCCTGGTCTGTAGCAGACTTGGTGATGGACGAGACGGTGTCTTGCTGCGAATGTAGACTCATCTCATCTGCCCAGGGCCCCGAGCAGGACTTTTTGAGTTGTCCTGTGTCTCCGCCTCCTCCTCGCCTGTCTCTCAGGCTTCGCCGCAAAGTGACGGGGTCAGCGGCGCGTTCACTGCAGCTGATTCAAGCGAAGGCCCTTTGGGCTTAGATAATATGGATCCCGGATGCACCTCAGTCAGCGTGCGTTGTGGATAACCGATGGCGGCTGCCGAAACCGGATAACATCCCGCAATTTTGTACGATTCTCTCAACCTCGCTCTGCCGAAACCGGATGACATCTCGTCGCTCTGGGAGTCTTGGCCCAGGCCCCAGCTGCGACGAGCTGTTGGAGGAGGATAAGCCTGAACTACCTGCAGATGCAGCCTTGTGAACCTTGGCAAGAAAGATTACAAGCATGCGCAGTGGGCCATTGGCTTGCTGGTGAACAGAAATCCTCAGCTGCGTCAGGTCGTGACTTGCATGGCCGTCTGCCACGCCAGCCCTGGCAAGATGCTTTAGAGGAGGAGCGCTTCCTCCTTGAGAAGTACTTCCGCGGCCGCGGCGAGGAACAGGAGCTAATCCACTTCACTACAAGAGCACGTGAACTGCAGATGTTTGTAGTGCACCGCTAACTGCCGCTAATTAGAACCTTCAGCAGCGGGCGACATGCATGTGTGACTCGTGTTTGATCTCTCCGGATCAGCAGCGCAAAACTGAAAACCAGAAACCAAACAAACAAACCCCCCAGGGAGAATCTCAGAACTCGTTTTGCTTTTTGTTTTTAAGTTTGTGTTGTTTTACTCGAATTGTTTGAGTCTGGTTTTGGTAGAAATTCCCGAGGGTAACCCCCAACCCCCCGAAGCCAAAAGGCAACAAAAACATCGAGGACAAGCCAAACACCATGGGTGCCAGCAGCACGAAAACCAAAAAACCCAAGATCCAAGCCTCCAGGTAGAATCTGAGAGCTGGTTTGGTGTGTTTGGCTCTTGATTTCTCATCAAGCTTTTTGTGTTTATTGGTCCGGGGTTGCCCCCGGATCATTTCAACCAAAACCAAACAGACAAAAAAAAACACTCGAAGAAGAACCAAAAGCAAAAAACAAAATCACGACACAAGAAAAGCAACAAAAAGCAAGCGAGTTCTGAGAATCTTCCTGATTAGTGGAAATAGCCAAAGCCGCTATCTGGAGCGGACAAGCTGCTCTTGCTTTGACAAGTTTAGCCCCTGCTTTTCCCCCATTGCCCCAAAGCAAAACAGTCAGCATTGCGAGACTCTGTTATATCCTTCATGTGTGTAGAGGCCAGTGAGTCATGATTTGATTTATCATAAGTCGACCAGACAATCATATCAGAAATTGAACTAGTGGACCTCCAACCGTATTCATCAAAGTAATGAAGCGGCTTACACTTTGAAATTGAAGAAAGCTGCAAAATCAAGAGCATTATTGTATACGTTAGTGCATGAACCAAAGGAAATATCATTGTCAAGTAAGACGAGGCCAGCTGCTGCTATGAACTCAAAATCATGAAACATAAAAGGGTCGTCAGCTCTTAATTCAAATTATTGATGCCAATCAAGGGCTAGTTTATATTTTTAGTTCGGGGGCTAGTAAAATGCATGGCAGCAACATGAACCATTGGCCTTGGCTTGTAAACGAAAAGATATCCGCCTTTATCATGTTAGCCCCCCCAGTTAAAGTTAACATTTACTAGGCCAGCTATGTGCTTCAAAATATGATCAGGGAATGTCGAAAGATAATGAAGGGGAAGCCACTCGAAACAAAAACACACATCCGAGGACAAGCGCGCAAACGCGTTCTGAGATTCTGCTTGGGAATTTAACCCAAGGTACGACAGACCATGGCTTTCCATTTTTTGAGCACATGCTTTAGAAGCTGGAATTTGATCCTACCGCAGGCTGCGTCTGTCGTGGGGGAGCGGGTTATGCGCAACAACACCTCTTTCGCACTTCGCGCGAGCATCCAATCGAAGTGCCCAATCGAGCACCCTCTACCATAAGCCCGGAACCCTAAACACCGATCGGCTGAACAGGGAGGGCACCGGAGTTGGGTTTGCGGTTACCAGTGTGAGGAGTTTTTGGTGTGTGTGGGCAATGGTTTCGGGGTTACAGGGCTTGTAGGTCATGGGAGTTAGGGTTCGGGGTACGTATCGTTCAGGGTTTAGGGTTTTTGTTTAGGCATGCGCATATGGACTGCTCGAACTTTCAAACTGCGAATCTCCAAAACGGTCAAAGTGTCAAAACTTTAGTGCTCGAGTGTCCTCAAACTACAAAGTATTTTAAAAGTCCCAACTTTCTCCAAGCCTCAATCTCTCGACCTCTCAATTTTTCAAACTTTGAGACTTTGCATCTTTCGATTTCGAGAAGTTCTCGAACTCCAAACTCGACACCCTTGACACTTTCGAATTCGAAAGCCAATCCCGCCGTGTTTGCTTTCATGCGCGTGTGGTTGAGTTAAAGTCCTCAAACTTTAAGCTCCCTCTCGCCTCTCACTAACTTTCGACTCGAAATGATGTTTCAAACTTTCAAGCGTTCGAGCTCCATGTCGTCTGTCTTTTCGTTCTTCAAAGTTTCGCACTCTTGGAGCAGCGGCGCCCCTGTCAAGGAATACCTGGTCGCCTTGCCATTGTCGGAGGAATCCCTTCTCCAGATTGCGATTCAGATGCTGTGTGGGTTTTATGGGGAGATGGTGGCACCTGACCAGAACGGAAATCTCCAGTGGCGGCCCCTGCACTTACCGGGGGTGCTTGGACCAAAAGCCCTGGCCCCACTGTTGCAGCAGCTTGCGGACTTGGGCTCCTTGCTGCAGGAGCTCCGAAGTGCCACAGCCCTCCTGGAAGCTGTGGCTCCTCCTTTCGCGCCGGAGCCCCTCCTGGAGGCCTTGGCGCAGGGCCTGCAGGAGGGAACAATCTCTGGACTCACTGGCCTGGCTCGGACATGGGACCTTTGGAAATCCAACCTTCTGAGCCAAGAGGAAGGAAACGAAGCCACTGAGCCTGTTAATGCATTCGGCATGTGCTGGCAAAGTATGGGCCTGATGCTCGCTGAGTTTCTCTCCCAGTTCGTGGAGGAGTTGCAACAGTTCGAAGCATCAGCTCCAGATCCAGACAAGCCGCGAACGTTAATGCGACTTCTTCAGCTGACGCAGCCTTGGTTCGAGGCTGCTGAGGCTGTCAAGAACGTGTTGGACACCACTTTGCAGACTCTGCATCAGCGGTATCGCTGCACCGAAACTGAGACGACTGACTTGCAGAGTCGGCCGAAGCTCGGGCCGAGCCTTGCGGGCCTTGCAGCCGAGGAGCTGCTCTCGGCATTGAGCAGCTGTGCCAGCAGCCAGGGCCTGATCCGTTCCTTCAGTTCCTGTTCCGGCAGTGCCGGCCGTTCCTCTGGCCAGCGGGAAAGGGAAGAGCTTCTGCGGGACACGATCTCGGAGCTTTGGTGTGGGGCTGCCCGGCCACTGCTGCGTGCTGCTGAGCAGTGGGGGAGCGTCGGGGAGCTCGGCTCCGAGTTTCTCTCTGAGGCACCTCGGATGGTTCAGTTGCTGCCTAGTTGCCGCTCAGCCTGATCGGACATGTCAGGAACCTAGACTAAAATGATTTAAAGCCCTGAAAAAAATCGGGAGGGGGGGGGGGAGGTGCCTTCGCTTCTGCCCCCAGCAGTTGCCAGTGCTGGCCGAAGTGTTGGTGCGCTGCGGGCTTGGTCGCAGGTCTGGGTCTCAGCAGATCTTCACGCTGGAGGGTCAAGTGCAAGCTTATACGCCCTGTAACCTTTCGAAATTGCAGCAAGCTCTGCATCGTTGTGTCCACCGGGCTCAGAGGTTGTACACGGCTTAGATCTAGGCTAGGCCCCTTGCGCCATGGACTTTGTGGTGCTTTGGCTGCACAGAATCTGCTTTCAAGTTGCTTGTCACCGTACAGTCACCACGCTTATTTGACGGAAAATATGCAGACCAGATCCGCAGAGCCCACAAAGGCTGCAAAAGTCATGTCGCCCACTGCGGTCCGGAGCAAGGGCCGTCAACACTTCCTTAAACCTTGTGAAGCCTGAGGCGGGGCTTTGGAAGGATGCACCTGCAGTGACCAGAACACTCACAGCTGTGCCGCTGCTCCTCAATGCGGCTGGAAACTCAGCCTGCAAGTTAGACTTGGTTGGCACAACGACAGTTTCGCCTTTCGCGAACCCAGACATCCAAAAGCGACGAGAGTTACGAGCCGATGCGCACGGCGCCTAGGCGAGAGGGCGATTTCCAACATCACAATTTGCAGATCCCCATAGTCTGGCCGCATGCAGCAAACCAAAAAACGCAGGAATCCACGCCCCTGCCACATCTCCAGGACACTTCGCGACTCAAGCCTCAAAAAGTGCACGGAACCTAGGCGGAGAGCACGGTTTCCACCCGTAAACACCAGAGCAACTGCACGGGGCCTAGGCGAGAGCGCGATTCGACACAGTCCGCGAAGCCAAAAGCATGTAATTCGCGATGTTTCTTGGCCCCGAGGGATCCGTGCAGCTGGCTCCAGAAAATCTGCAGTGTCCATCAAATTGCTTAGTTAGGCTTAGTTTCAGGGTGACGATGTCCGAAGTAAAGGATTTGAGGTTCGGGGATCTGGGGGTCAGGTTAGTGGCTGCACGCGGCATGTGGTCCCAGAGCAGGATATTTCTGGGGGCCGCAGCTGGCTCTTCTGAGCCTTTCGCTGGCGTCCTTCAGGCGCCTGGCCAAAGCTATCTAAACATCGGCTCTTGTCTTCATAGCATGATCACAAGCGCCAAGTGGTTCGGGTCGCCGCCTGACCCATATCAAGTCACACGCGATGTCTGGTGTTTGTACCATGTTCGGTCGCGATCCACCCCAGCATGCAATCGGTAGCACTTCCAAAGCAAAGCTCACTCAGAGCCTGCCGGAACCGAAAGGCGCGGATACTTCTGGGGCTTGCTGACGTCTGCTGTCTGGGAGCCAGCAGGCGGC